TATGGGAAGAGGAGAACAAAATGTGTGAATTTCATGGTCTCTGCCAACCAGGGGCATGGGATGTGGCCAAAACCTTCAAAATTAGTACTATCTTCAAAAATCATCAGGCAGTCAAGCTGTTGGCATTACATGTACATTTAATAAGCATGAAGCCCTATACAAAAATTATTTTAATGATCATATTGTGAATATGCCTACAGTGCTCCAGTATATATAGCAGAAACTAAAGTACATGATTATAATGAGCTAGGAAGCCTCTTCCAAAATTCATGGTCCCTGGGTCAGGGATTCTGGAGTTAATTTAGATGGGGTCTATTCCACTCATGTATGGATATTGTTCCTCCACTTTAGGAGAAGTTGTTCCCCTTTGTCATTTAACTATGATAATTAATCACTAAAAGTAATGCTTTGATAGGTAAATCAAATAAAAGATGTGCTGATTACTCGTATTATCAGATTAACTATTTTATTCCTCGTCATCCTATTCCTCTTGTTTTTTGAGCAACATATCTTCATCTATTATACATTACAGGCCCGTAGAAAGCAATTTCAGTTTGGGGGGGGGGGGGCACAGCCATACATTTTTCAGTTGACAGTTGAGGGGGCACTCAAAATTCCTTGACAAGCCAAAAAAAAAAAGTCATCAGACGTTTTTATTGAGGGGGCACAAGCACTTATTATCTATGTTTTCTATAGGATATATACATCTATATATAGGCAAAATTATTGGGAGTGGGCAATCCCCCCCCCCCCCCGGTTCCTACGGCCATGCATTATCTTGTTTGTATTATAATAATTTACTTGTCATTCCATGAATCCTTTACAGAGTTGTATTATACTCAGGTGACCTTTGAGGCCCCTGGGCTTCTTTTTCTTTGAATTCCCCCCTTTATGCCCATGTAAAACCACATGGAACGTTTGTATAACTTGAATCAGCACTACCTGAGAATGCTAACATCTAAAAATTAATTACTAACCATGTTCTTTAAAGATTTTTTTCCAGTATATTCTCATGTAAATCCTCGATCCCTCGTCCTACCCCTGTGACCATGATTTTAACAAGCTTGAATCAATAAAACTTATAGTTTCTTGCTTATTTATTTGACAAATAGTGCACCTGCTGTTCTTACAAAAAAAATATTTTTAATGCATAATTGTCATGAAAAATTGAAGTCCAACCCTACCCTGAGGGGCCATGACTTGAACAAACTTGTACCTGCACTATCTTAGGATGCTTGCTTTTTAATACCACTAATTATGACATTGCTGCATATTCTTCGGAATACTTTAAAAATATTTCTTCCTTTATTTTACCACATTAAATTTTGATCCACTATTTTGGTACTACCCTACACCTGCATAGGGGCTATGATTTGTGATAAATTACCTTTTTCTGACCCGATGGTTCTTGAGAAGATTTTTTAAAAATACACCCAAAGTTAAATCCATTTTCAAGAGAAATTGAGTAATTTTGCATTCATTTCACCCAAGAATGGTTTGGGGCAACTTTGGTTGATATTGATCTCGTGGCTGCAGTGAACAACGTTGAAAATGTAAACCGTTAACAAACAGACAAACACGTGATCAGGAAATTCACGTGAACCTTCGATCCAGGTGAGCTAAAAATCGTTTCAACTTGGGAGGAAGTAAACTGTGCCTACAGGATAAAATAAATAAGTCGCTTATAATATTAAGAAGTGTTTATCTCACCATTTTCGCGTCAGTCAAGTTAATTTCAGGAATATCGGATTGATTTGCAATATATAAAACCCTCTTTTTGTACACGCGTACAGTATGAAATACTTTGTTTTTGATTTTATTATAACGACCACTAGGAGATAATACTCATGATATTTTTTTATCTCTATATTTCAGGAGATTTCCGAAAACTTAGTCCTACTAATGTGGGGGTATAAGCTGACAATAGTACCAAATACCGGGGGGGGGGGGGTGAAAATATTTATGCATAGGGATATTTCCTTGACATATCAGCCACCTAGATTCATCATAAAATTAAAGCAAAATATATACGAGATCGGATTTCGGACCCTCCTGGGATTGTCAAACCTGGACCCCCTCCCATTAAGGGATAAGAATTTCTTTTAAAGTAGGTAAGATTACGTGTAAGAAAGCGTCTCCTTTGATCTGATGATCCGCACCTGTCAATTCGACGTGATACGGCTCTTCGGATGGTTGAGAAATGTTAAATATAGATTATTAAAGTCGTTAATTATACATGTAGTTCTATAGTTTATGACTGATATTTACTCAAGGTATAATCAACTGTATATAACTTTTTCGTGAATAAATTAAGTTCGTAGAAGTCGTAATCTGATTTCCTAGTGAGTCATGCGATTACTTTCCGAAGAAAACATCACAAATTGAAAAAAAAAATAAGTACGGAACGCATTGTCCATTTCTTCAGATAATTTTCTTTTAACTTCTACTTGATCAGGCTCTCACTTTCAAATTCTGGTGAAAATGAATTGAGTTTCTGTTCAAATAGTTTTACTAATTGACTTACACTTATAGGTTACCCAAGTGAACAGTAACAATAAAAGAATATGAGATTTGCATGTGCGCATCCTATAGGTAGAAACATATAAAAATCAAAAGCTACTTCATTTCGGACCATACCTCTTTCATATTTCGAAAATTATACAATTATCTATCAAGTTATATATATAAAAAAATACACTGTACATGCACGTGTCACTATGACAGGTGCTTGCATGGGGATGCCCCCCCCCCCCCCCCCGTGTTCCGTACATCAAGGTACGTTGACCTTTTTTTAAATGAAATATTTTTCTATTACATATTCTCAAAGTATTACAGCTGCACGGCCATAGGAACGGGGGGGGCACGGGGGGGCGTGCCCCCCAATAATTTTGCCGATATATAGATTACTATAGTAAACATAGATACATGTACTATATGCTTGTGCCCCCTCAGTAAAAACGTCTGATGACCTTTTTTTTTTTTTTTGCTTGTCAGAAAATTTTTGGTAGTTCCCCCTCAACTGTCAACTGATAAATGTTTGGTTGTGCCCCCCCCCCAAAAAAAACTGAAATTGCTTCCTACGGGCCTGAACTGAAAAATCTAAAATATAATATCAAACTAGCCTTTTTAGCATCAGAGAGTGTGAAATTTTATAAAAGGCTAGTTTTATGTCATATATTGGATTTTTCAGTTGAAATAATTTGTGAATGTATCAGAAAAATATTTTATCAAAAGTTAAAGAACCCTAGGGATACGGAACACCGGGGGGGGGGGGGGGGTCCGTCACCAAGCACCTGTGGTCACTATCAGTTTCACCTGGGTTAATCAGTTTACCCGCTGTGGTACCCCAGGGGAGTAGGCCTGTCTTACAATTTTATTCGTCCAAGTTTAATTCCTAAGTTCCTGTGAAATATTTTATACCTGTCTGTTACGTCTGGTCTTCGGGTGATAGGGGTAAAGTGTACTTTGATGTTGTTCCTGGTTATCAAGTTACGCATTAAACACTGTCTCAATTTCTTAGAAATATAAATATAGGCATAAATTGCAATTAACACCAGTATCTGGGGAAAAGGATGAAAGTAACAAAGATATGTTCGATAAAGTTTTTTTCTCAAAATTTTTACCAAATATTAATTTACACGCAGATGTTGGCAGATGCATGTATTTAAATTACTTATAGTAATACATGGACATTAATACATGCGCGGATCTAGAGGGGGGTCGAGGGTCCGCCCCCCGGAATTTGCAGAGTTATTAAAAGTGTATACAGAAGCAAATAAAAAATATGTAAACACTGTTGAGTTCAGTGTTACAGCTCTGCAGCAAGCTCAGTCCTTTCTGAATAATTCAGAGCTCAAAGATGCTTGTATACTAACAAAGTGTGTTCTATAGAAGAACCAACAGACCCACAGGAACCAGGGAGGTGTACGTGTGTGTGCTCCTACCCTCCCAAATACATACTTTTCTGTGGAAAACAAAGTTGATTTATAGTACGTACGTCCCCTCAAAATTATTGGCGGTGTAGTTATACAAGATAACAAATCTAATTAACACTCATGCCCCCTCAAAAATAACATCTGACAACCCAAAAACTGAAATTGCTTCCTACGGGCCTTGTCAATATTCCTAATCAAGCACAAGCAGTTTGGTTTTTATATATAAAAGACCTGCTTCAAACAACTACCATATTTTGTTCAACAAATTATTGTACATTTATGACAATGGTTGTTTGACAGTTTAGTCAAGTATTTACATTTCAATCCCAGTGATACTACTACCCAAATTTAAGGCAAGTACTTCCAGGCAAGTAGGAAGAAAGAGGAATGGGGTTAACCCCCCCCCCCCAATAAAAATATATATAGAACAAAATATAATACATAGACACACCAAAATAAAATACAGCAGAAAATAAAGATAATTTATGGTCCTGCTGAAGGTCCCTCAGTATTAAAGATATATATGGTTATCCTTTTCTTTTACCCTGCAAATTAAGGAATTTCTAATTTCTGTTAGGTTACAACCCCCTCCCCCCTCCCCTACTGAAATTTTCTACAGGCCTGACTTTACAAACTAGTGAAAATCTAAATGCTTCTTTTACAAGTTATAATAACTGATAATAGGGCCAGTGCACAAAAATTCTACTAGATTTGTTTTTGTAAACCTTTATCCAAAAAAAAAACCCCTCATACTTTTGTCTGAATAAAGTGGCTGTCAGGTAAATCAGTTGGACTCTGGTTCTGAGCAAAGATGTCTCTGTCTAAAAAATAATTCAATCTCAATATCTAAGTTGTATAACCATGATAACCAAGATACAATGCAAGAGAAATGAGCATGGAAAATAGAGTAGAAGCACTAGATGGAGACTCAAATTTAGAACCCAATGATCCAATGGAACAAAAAAGCCACACTTATAGAGTACCAAATTATCAATCAGAATATAAAGTGTTTGATATTTCACTTTGCCTGTATCAAGATATACTAATCATAAACAAATAGGAGTCTTATCTTTAAATATATTTATCTCATATTTTTAATATAATATGGAATAATATTTCATAAGTTTATGCATCAAATAATAATTTTTTTCGAACACAGTCTTCCCAAACATATCACTCCCCATCTTTGTAAAGTCTGCGTAATTTCTCCCGTTTCCCCTTGTTGTTGTGCTTCTTCCATGGTTTTCCAGCCACAGACATCATGCTGCTGCTCACACTGTTCCCCCCATATGTGGCCCCACCGGACTGTTGGGCACTGACCATTCCTTTGGAATGCATACCAACACTTAACTTCTGAAAAAAGTCCTTATCAAGCTTGCTTTGGCGTGCAGGGGCCTCTTTTGGTTTCTTTTTTGACAAAATAGATTGTTGTTTTTCTCTTATGTCTTTAGGAACAATTCCTCCCAACTGGAAATTTTTTTCATCCACATCAGGTGGTGGGTGACAGTAGAGGAGGCGCCCATTCACAAAGTCCTTGAGGATGTACCTGGCTGTCCGTGGGCAGTCTGGGATACCATTTACAGACATATATCCCCTCATACTGCCATAGGTTGTCAGAAGTTCTTCTGCGGTGGGCCAGCGATTTGGGTCCTCCCCTTCTGGGGGTGGTGGGAGGTTTATTCCATACAAAGCCTCCAGTGTTTCCCTTTGGATGTAACTGCACACAAGATTCACTGGGGGCCAATGGTCCCTCATCTGGTCAATTGGTAAAATTCCATTTACAATTAATTCTGCCTTTGTTGACACAAATGATGGGAACACAAGTCCAGGACAATCACACAGCATCAAGTCACTTTCCACATACAGGGTCTGGAAGTGTTTGGTTCTCCCTGGGGTTGAAGACACTGGTACTTTCTTGGTTTTTAGGATTGCATTAATTGTTGAACTTTTCCCAACATTAGGGTATCCAATCATGCCCACTGTTGTCTGTCCATCGGTCACTTTTTTCTCCCGGTGAACGCTTCTAAAATAATCAAGTAATTCTTCTGCATTTAGTACTTTAACACTATTATTCATTCTGGCACCTCCCGAAGCCACACTCCCACTGTTAGTTTCAATATGATCAAAAGGAGACTCACTTGTTGGACAGGAAGTTTCTTCTGCTAAAATGTCTTTATGATCATCAACTTCAACTTCATCTGAACCAGGTACATTTTCCTCAAGTTTGTCACTGTAACATTCAATGTCCTCTTCCTCACTAGTGTCCTCCTCCTCACTGTTTGATAACATCTCCTCCACCTCTTCCCCCCTCTCTGCTCTTTCATGTCTCTCAGATTCCTCTAGCGCTGACCAAAATGCCACCCGTGTTCCCACTTTATCGAAATACTCTTTCCACATCTGTCTTTGACTGTAACTAAGAAAATCGGCTTTATTGATGAGTAAAATGTTAACTTTGCTTGTATCAACTTCCTTGACATATTGTTCTAAGTCATTACACTGATACAACAAGGGATTCCGAGCATCCACTACTTGGACAATGATATCACTACGTTCTATTACTCTCCACAGTTGTCGCCAAAACTCAAGATTCTTTTCATACGGAGTCATGATAATCCCCTCAATCTCTTGTAAAGCAGACAGACCTCTTCTCCACTGCAGAAAGCTTTCCCTTTCCATTTGATCTAACTGTTCAGCAGTGGTTGTCTCATCCCAGAGAGGTCGTCTTGGAATTCTTAGCAATGTCTCATGTTCTTTGTGTAACTGTTTAATGTGGTCTAGTTCCTCAGGTTTTAATCCCGTATGTTTATGGGGATCAACAAATTGAATGTTTAATTTCTCAGCTGTAAATTCGGTCCCTGCAAGTTCTGCCGTGGCCAGAAAGTCGTCTAAGTTACTCTGCTCAGTAACAGACTGCAGGTTCAACCTACCCCAGTCATAACCGTCCTGTAGTTCACTAGTGTGAAGAAACGAATCATCCCTCTTGAGAATGTTTTTCTTGCCAAAACGATCCTTTATTAGGGATTTCCCTAGATTCCCACCAGTTTTCTTTCTCCCCATTTTCAGATGATTTCACAACTTGCACATGTCAACACTGAAGATGGCTACTGCAAAGAGGAATAACTCTCATGAGATTTTTTTTATTCTTAATTCTGTTTTCGTTTGATGGTATAACAAATCAGTTTGTCTGAGCATATTGTATAAAAAAAAAAGACACAATTATTCAACAATCTGAATAACATATGCTTATGATGGACGTTTGATAATTTTATGTTGCATTTTAATTTTCCGGGAATTGTAATTCTTGGACCTTGGCTTCAGGTTTTAGGTTTTTATTTCCTGGACGCACCTGATTGGTTGGATCCTTCAAAGAAAGATAAATAGCAGGCTGCATTTGAACATTGGCGGCGAAAGGGATCAGTGGATGACAAAGTAAAGATCACAACAACAATGTCTTTTCCGAAGGCAAACATCAAAAGATTCAATGAAGTGTCGGGTAAGTAGAAAGGCCAATCCGTATTACACATTTTTATTGTTAAGATTATGCAAGAAAAATTGAAACCAGTGCACGAAATTATTCTTATTTCGTGATGCAAAAGTGAAGTTGATTAAACTAATCTGAATGTTTGAAATTTAATGCTGGACAACAGAAAATCATAAAACACTGCACAAAGTACGCGGTACCTTTAGAGAAATATTTCCCCATTATCATGATTATGCATTTAAATCACAGGCTCAGGTTTCGTATGTACAGGGCAACCCCTCCTTTCTCTTTCCACAATGCACCTAACTCAATTTCAGACACCCCCAACCCTTCCCCACAAAAAGGGGGGATTAAGCTGCTTCTTAAATCAGTGTTTGAAACTTGTCGTCATACTTGCCAACCTCCAATCTATAAAAATCAGTTCATGAGTCATGACCCTCTTTGGAAAGTAAAAAATCTGGATATAAATAGGGTTCGACTGGCCTTACTAGTGATTCTATATCTTTTTAGTCCACATGCTATTTTATGAGTCCGTCAAAAAAGGAAAGATCAATGATTTGTTACATCTTTCTTTTATGTGTCATACTAAATATGATCACTAAAACATTGTAATACATTTTACTTCATATCAATCAGTCAAAAAATTAAATGCTGAATTGACTCGAAATTGTCTAACTACCCATCAGGAAGCTAAAAATAAATGCAGGGTTTTCCAGTAAAAGATGTTAAGTATTGGACATCCGTATTTTTTTCATATTGATTTCCAGAAATTTTTTTTTCTATTTTGATTTATTTCTGTGAATTCAATTTCAGAAAAAAACTATTTCAAAACATAAAAAATATCATAAATACTAATCAAAACTATAATTACAATGTACATTCATCATATTCATATGATACTAACTGGGCAAGTTATTTTTTTTATTAAGATTGAATTCATTAACTCATTCATATTATCTTCAAGAAATAAAAAAAAAAAGGGGGGGGGGGGGACTGCATGACGATATTTGTCAGATTTATCAACTTCAGTTAGATTGGACAAGTTAAATTTTCAAACTTTATTCCTTTAAATATATATTACGATGCATTGGTGAAATATAGGTAATTCCAGGTAAATCCCAGACTGAGATCAGACTATAATTGATATCAAAACATATTTCACACCTATTGTTCTATACCTAATTATCAAATGTGTGCAAAACGGTAACACACCCATTCGGGCTAATAACCACAGAATTTTTTAGTCCCATTGAAAATGTATTAATCTGACTGAGACCAATGGACCCACGTTAGTGTCAAACCCTGTCATAAAGCATAAGGACATTCACAACATATTTACCATGGTTACATTATATTTCATATTAAATATATTTATTTAAGAAATTTTTAAACCTGTTGCTATTTTTTAAAGAATATTTTAATAAAAATTATTTGATATGGCAAATATTTGTTTACAGTAAATTATTGCCTTTTTCAAAAATTATTTTTATTCAAATGTAAAACCATATAAGTTCTTACATGGTCTACCTTGCAAGTGGCTGGCAAGTTGCAATCCTAAAAATTCATTCAAAAGATGTCTCAATCTAATTAAAATTAGATCCTTTATGCTCCTGTATTTTGTTATGTCGCTGTACAGCAACATAACAAAATACAGGAGCGTAAAGGATTTAATTTTAATTAGATTGAAAGACGTCTCAGGTCTGTTGTGACTAGGACTCAATCCCTAATATATAGACTGATGAGCTCTGCCACTTGACCTATTATGCTTCGCTACCTGTTGAGCTGGTGGATTTTAGTTAGATTTATCAATGTAAATTTTAGTTAGTGAAAATTTGAATACATCAACATGGTCCAGCTGGGCATTGATACAAGTAAATTAAATCTCCCAAACCAAAATGTATGTTTCTCGGGTGGTCAGGCGCACAGATATTTCAACATTGCTTATAGGCAGCATTCTTAGGTCAAAGTTGTGAGTTTGAGAATAATCAGTGGTTGCAGGTATTGATATTTCACTTGAGATGGAGTTGGCAAAAGTTTAGTTTTCCAAATGGCACTGGTTTTCATGTTTTCCTGATACATTAAAAATTTGGGTGAATTAAAATGTTCAGTTTTTATATTGTGTATTTGTAAATTTGGATATTTCTATTCATCTTGCAGGATGTGCTCCCCCTGTAGGAGCATATGACCCCAAACTTTCTTCCAAACAGACAGGGGGCCTTATAGATAAATCAGAGAGGTTCAAGGCTCCACTAGGTAAACACATGGTAAAAGACACAAAGAATAGAAATATAATTGTTTTGAATGAAGATCAGTATCATAAGGTATAATTTTAAATTTTAATGACCTAGTGTAATGCAGTAAGGAAAATGGTACCAGGTGCTATTCAGTACATCAAGCAAATGTAGCCTTTTGGGTTGTAATATTTATTGATATGCTTTAAAACCATAACAATCAACATGGTTTGACTCTAACTGTACATCTTTAGTCCAGGGAAAGAATCAAAAACATGATGAAAATGAACTCCAAGATCAGCTAACTTTTAAGCTACATTGCAGTTTGGGAAGAGAATGTCAATGCCTAGAAATCACTAAATTGCTTATACCTTCAATTATCTCTTAGTATTCAATCTAGTCCTGGTAACCTCTAACCAAGACTACTGATTTAGATTTTTAACTAGTTTAGTGCATCTTTAGACTCATGGTTGAACTTTGGTACACTAAATTAAATATACTTGACAATTAATTTCTTTGCCTTGACTAGATTCAGGATCAGATGTTTTGGATACACCATCAAAGAAAAGGATTCCTAATGACTCAGTATGCGGCAATACCTCAGTTGTAAGTAAATTCTAATCAGGCCCCAAGACCATAAACTCAGAACAGACTTAAGTCAAAATTTTGATTTTGAATATCTTGAGTTGTATTTAACCTACATACTTAAAATTTTGCAGGTTTGTATAATATTCCAGTATAAATATATGATGAAAATTTTGTTCTGTTATCAACATTATTTCAAAAGTTATGTGGATTTGAAATTTTGACTTAAGTCTGTTCTCAGTTTATGGTCTTGGGGCCAGGATATTGAAGTTTCGTTAAATGACTTTTAACTCCTCACAGTGAAACTGTATCATGCATTATTCTCTCCCCTCTGCTCTAGTTTGACTGCAGTGTCTTAAAACCTAAGGCAAAGAAAGCTGAACAGACTCCATCAGCTGATGCTATCAAGATAAAGGAGCTAGAAAGAGAGGTAATTTCAGAAAATTAGGAATTGTTTTCAATGATGTATTAAAATTAATTTTTTACAATTATTTTATTTAGTAGGTGACATATATAGGAATCCACTATTTTTTCAATGCTGCTTTGATAATTTGAATGTATGTAACCATTTTAATATTTTTCTTTTTCAACATGTTCAGCTAAAGCCTTTGTCACATTTTAAGCTCGATTGTTCCATATGAAAGCAAGAAAAATATCACATCCCTTTTTTAGCTCACCTGAACTAAAAGCTCAAGTGATTTTTTTCTGATCACGTTTTCTCCATCGTCTAATTACCAGTCTATCTGTAAACTTTTCACATTTTTGAATTCTTCTCAAGAACCACTGGGACAGATAAGATGAAACTTATGCAGAAGTTTCATTACAAAGTTTAAATTCTAGTTTCTTCAATTCATGACCCCCGGGGATAGGGTGGGGCCACAAGGAGTGATCAAAATTTTACATAGGAATATAAAGTAAAAATCTTTAAAAATCCACCTCTCAAGTACAGCAAAGCCATGATTAGTCATGTTTATGGAAGCAACCTCGGGAAAAGTAGATTCAGATTTGTCCAAATCATGACCCCAGGGGTAGGATGGGGCAAAATGGGTGATCAAAGTTTTTCATAGAAATATATAGGAAAAATCTTGAAAAAAAATCTGTTGAAGAACAGCAGAGCCATGATTAGTCATATTTATATGGAAGCATCCTCAGGTAGTGTAGATTCAAGTTTGTTCAAATCATGACCCCCCCCTTCCCCCACCTTCAAGGCAGTAGGGTGGGGCCACAATGGGTGATCAAAGTTAAACATAGGAATATATATGGACAATCTGGAAAAAAAAATCTTCTTCTCCAGAACAGCAAAGCCATGATTAGTCATATTTATATGCAAGCATCCTGAGAAATGTAGATTCAAGTTTGTTCAAATCATGACTTCCGGCTATAGGGTGATCAAAGTTTCACATAGAATCTTATTGGAAAAAATCTTTAAAAAGCTTCTTCTCAAATGCAGCAATGTCATGATAGAAATATTATATGGAATCATCCTCAGGTAGATTCAAGTTTGTTTGAATCATGACCCCAGAATGTAGGGTAGGGTCATAATGGGCAAGCAAAGTTTTACATAGCAAAAAAATAAGGAAAAATCAAAAAAAGCAAAACCATTATTAGTCATATTTATATTGAGCCTATTTGAGGCATCCTCAGGTTTTGTAGAATCAAGTTTGTGCAAAACTTCACCGTAGGGGCACAATATGTGATAAAAGTTTTATATTGGAATAGATAGGAAAAAACCTTTGCTGATGATGAAGTGCAGGGCCGTTAGTTAATCAGGTGAGCATTATGGCTCATGGGCCTCTTCTTTTTTTTTTTTTTTTTTTTTTTTTTTTTTTTAAATCCTAAACATACATCATGTATTTTAAGTACAATCACATGACTATTTAACAATGCTTTATCTAGACATCAACAAGGGATGTTAATCAAGCATTGAAAGTACACCCTCTGCCAACAGAAATGTAAGGAACAAGAAGAATCACAATGTCTCTCATTATCATGATTATAGATGTCAGCTTTTTGGTTTGTTTAGGCTATAATTTTTTTCTAATGGAGAAACATTAGGAACATAAACTTTGCATAAAGGTTGCTTATGACCAGAAGCTGTGTCCTAATCCTAATCCATGGTCATTTAGACAAGATAAAGATTGAAAAGTTAAAGTTGAAAATTACTTGTACAGGCTGTAAATAGGTAATGAAGAAATTACCAATTTTCCTGACACCATGGTTGCTGTGTAAAAAAGTGTACAATATTCTTCAGGGGGCTTTCATACCGTATAACATAAGGAACCTTTTAAAATCAGTTTAATATACTTGTGTGCAATATTCCTATTATATTTGTTTTTAATGTGTCTGGTAGGGATCCACCATTATGTGTGATTTGAGTGAATAAACTGAACTTTAATTTGAAATAAATTTCACAGAGAAAGGTCTAGTTTTGAGTACTGTAAATGTACTAATTTCCAGAGGCTCATATTTTTGTGGAATGACTATTCCTATTCACTGGGTAGGTAGAAAATGATGCTGATTTCTTGGATTGCCTTTGTTTGTCTTAAATGCACTTGAAGTATGCTAGGACAAATTTCTGCAGAAAATTTGTGCCAGTGTACATAGTGTAAATAAATCCCAAGCAGAAAAAAGTAAGTCTACAGTACATGTATTCGACTCTTTAACATTATATTATAAATTTATAATATTTACTGATGCTTTCAGATTCGAATTCTTTTACAAGAGAGAACAAACAGAGACAGGGTTTTAAGTCATCGAGAGGAAGAAATAACAAAATTAGAGGGTCGTTTAGTAAATGCTCAGACTGACCGAAGCTCTCTGACTGCCAAAGTTGCCACACTGGAGAAATCCATGAAAGATGCCAACAAAAGCAATGACCTTTTGAAAAACAAGGTAAAACAGATGGGCAGTTTTAGGCTTTCTTTTTCTTTCTTTCTTTTTTTTCTTTCTGTAAATCACTTCTTATTTGTGAGATCTTTATCTTGCATAATTACACAAAATCTGCTCTAGAAAATTTATTCTTGTATATATTTGTTTTATTAAAGGTTATATTAAACAATAACCAAAATATATTCTTGCTTATAAATACCAAATAACTGTTTTGCAAAAATAGGATGTTGCCAAAAATTGATATTCTACAGTAGATTCCAAACTTAGGGAAACCCTGAAATTACCCAAACTTGTTTTGTGAAATTTACAATACATTCTGTATAATTTTACTTGGCACATCCTTATAACCTCAATTTGGTGGTATTGAGAGATGATGATGATATATGTATTTTGGAAATCTTTTAGATCTCAGCAACAGAAAATGCAGGGAAGAGAAACGAAGCTGCACTGGCGGAACTTTCCAATCTGAAATATCAACTTGAATTGAAAGACAAAGAAATCCACAGACTTTGCCAGGAGTTAGATACCTTGAGAAAATCTCAACTGTCTGATTTTGAATTATTTGAATCTATTATAGTCTCTCTGGAAAACAAAGTTGATAATTTTGGTAAGCATATGGATTAAAACCTCTGATTTTGCAATATTTGAATTTTTCATATTTATTTGAAAAACAAAGTTGTCAATATCGCTAAGCATATTGTTAAAAGAAAAATATTTCATAGAATATTTTGGATGTGTTAACTTTTGCTCATTGAAACAATTTTCTTGCTGCAAGTCAACCCTGAAAAAAATGGAGTTAAAGGTTACCCGTTTCAAAGATAGATTAATACAGTAATTTCATGTATGTTGTAGCAGAAGTTGGTAAACTTTGTGGATCTCCTCAGAAAATTGAATCAATAAAAACAGACTCAAACAAAACGGGGGAACCAGTTCCAGCTAGTGGGAAACCAGGCACATCAAAGAGAAATGTTGAGGTATATTGCACTGTTGTTAACCACAAATATCGCATTCTTTAATGAAACATGGTTATAATTTTTCCAGCATTAAAAAATATCGAAAAAAATAATATGGAGGGAAAAAAAGCTTACTTTTAAGAACCTGTTCCTGATAGTTATGCTTGTTTACATGCAGATGGTATGGGTTATAAAGAAGATAAAACAGGGATAGAAAAATAAGGGGAAAAAATCCTATTAACCTTTATCTATTGGTTATAGTAATTTACAAGCTGATGACACAGGCTGTGTCACACAGCTAGAAAGAAAGGAGATCTACAGTGAGGAAACACACATAAAAGTAAAAGCTCAGACTTGTCGAAATTTTGAAATCACTGTCAGACATTTGGTCTGACAAAGTCAAATGTTCTGTCGGACCGGACGAATGTTTGTCAGACCAGATACATGTACTTGTACCTTATTTTGACGCTGAGAAAGGAAAATAAATAACAGTACCAAAATGCCCTTTATTATTTTCAACAGCCTTCAATTATCTCACAAGTATCTTTTCTTAGGATAGAGAGTCTTTAATAGGAGACATAAATAACAAATTTTATGTCTTTGCTGTAACTATTTAAATTGACCATCGTCCCCACGCGGACATCTTTCTGTGTTTGTGACCTTCAATTGCGCATCCCGATCCCGACTTTTTGAAAAAATTGCGTCACGCTCGATTTTTTCAAACGGTTATTTGGACCGACATTTTAATAAAAGTTATCAGTCCAGACAAATTTTTACCGGCCCTGCCGACAGGACCGATGGATTTCGACAAGTCTGAAGCTTTGTTTTAATATGGATACACAATGTGATAGACATAGTTAAAATGTTTTTGTTATTAAGTATAAGAGCACTATGTAGTGGCCATATTATAAACTGTCAAATTTAGTAAACAGTTTAGTTTATGAGATTTATCAGGAATGTTTGAATTTAATGCTCTTGAGATTGAAGATCATGGGGTGTATTTCTTTTGATCATTATTTCTTTCTCTATGCACAACTACAACATTGATAAAAGCTTTTTAAGTAAACAGCATAATCTTCATATTTGGCACAAACAGGGGATAAAAGAATGTGCGTGGCACAAAGTAATTAACTAAATGTCAAGTCTCATATATTTAAATCTATAAAATTATTGTCTTGTCCATAAATTTCTGAGAAACATTAGATGCTGTTTTGGGGAAATAAGTATTTAAATTATTCTGAGAATAAGACCCTTGTCCATTTGAGTGTGAAGAGTTCTTGTCCAGTCCATGATATTGTACCATAGGACTGGCGGTAAATTTAGATTTTGCTTTCATGTTGCTGTGGTGTATTTGCCAGAAGAATCACAGTTTTTTTTTAAGTCACGCCCACCTTTTGGCATCAAGCCATACTGTGTCAAGACCTTGACTAATGAATGAATGATGTCAATTTCAATACCAAGGCAATGGCTGATGAATGAATTAAGTCAACATTTTAAATTTCAAAAATACTAACATTATTTAGCTTGTCGGTGTCCGCTTCATAAATGGTTCTGTATGCTTTCTCCGTGTATCCTTAATCAGTAAATGATACGTCCTATCTCGAATTCTCATCATTTTCTTTCCCGTCTCCAAATACATATAGCAATTTCACATCAGAAGTCCCCGCATTTTTTTTACTTCCAATACCATTTCAAACTTTCATTAAAATGTCACAAATCATTTCATTTTTTTCTGTACGCCGATTGCCGTAAAGAAAAAGTTCACTGCCGATGTTTCCCATATCCATCCCCCCTTTTTTCAAAAAAAAAATCTAGAAAGACAACTTTTCTTTCAGAGTTGACGGCTTGAACATAAAAGCCTACAATCGCTACCCCTATACCTGTACCTGACAAAAATCATGTTTTCTGCGTCTTCAACATTTCAAAGGTACAATATCTTCACACGTACCAATTCCGATTTTTTTATCAACAACTTATAGTAGCAGTGCCGCAGTAAAGTATGATCCTTGCAGATGGAGACAGCTATTTATACAGACTCCGGACCGTGTCTTGACACCTCGTAGTAGGCGGTGCTATTTATCAACTCCCTTTTCTCTCATTGGTCCTCTGGTACAAGTAACTTACACAATAGATATTAATTGGTTAGCTGTAAATACACTCACAGTTTTTATTCACTCAGGGCTCCGCCCCTCGTGAATGAAAAACTGTGAGTGTATTTACAGGTAACCAATTAATATCTATAGTGTAACTATGACTTGTCCATAACATTGTAATGGAGAGTGTTAACCATTCATACTTGTTGTAACAAAGATAAAAGCTGTGATCAAAGGATGCGTCCTAAGGCCAAAAAAAAAAAAAATCTTGTTTCCTGCTACCAGCCTGAAAAAAATAGGGTAGGTAGGTAGGACAATTATTTTATTTTATATTTTTATTTTATTTTTTCCGACAACATTTTTTGGATATGAACTAATACAAGATAAAATTAAACATGTCACAGGTCAACATTGTCTTTTAAAATTGAATTTCATGTCTTTTATGCACAACTCAAGTGGTATTTTATGAAAGTCCATATTTAAAACAAGAATTTCATGAAATGCTTGTTTTGTGTTAACACGGAAACCGATTACAGTGACAGAACGATGAAATTCCAGAAATTCCCGATTTTTTTTCTTCCAAAACTTGAAAAAAAACTTTAGGGTCGGGTGCAAAAAAATAGGGTAGGTCGGGTAGCAGGAAACAAGACTATTATTTTTTTTGGCCTAACCTAAACCAGGGTAATCTGGACAAGGTTATATAGTAAAACCTCTCCCTGTTAAAACTGGTCCAAGCTTGGGGGTCATTAATGTTTAAAACACACTTCTTGTTAACATGTAATTTGTTGGGGGAAATAGATGATCATTAAAATGTGCAGTATACAATTTCAAGTTGCATGTGTCTTTGCTCTCAAGATGCAGAAAATGTACACGTATACCGGTATATTCATTTCATATTGTAGTCTTTTGTGATTTCTCTTTATGACGAGACTGGAAAGCATTGATGCATGCAAAAAAAATTATTTATGGTATTCATTTGCATATTTCAGAAACTTAAAAATAGATTTGAGAAGGCCATTCTGGTGTACAGCAGTAAGGTGGACAGTTTGAGACACTCCATGCAGGAGAAGTATAACACAGCAAGACAAGAACAGGAAAGTTTAGAAGCCACACTTAGAAAAACAGAAGAAAACATGTTACAGCAGTCTAAGGAGATACAGACAGAGAGGTGAGAATCTGTAGGGACATATAGTCAGAGAGGTGAAGGGTCACTGTGTGCCTTAAGACATACAGTTCATACAGTCCAGGTGAGATGGTCCTAAGTAAGTTATTGCAGTTGTTTAATGCCCTGTTCACACGGAGAGTTTAATTCGAATTAAACGTAAGTTACTGCGAATTAAATTTGATCCGCGTTCACACGGAGAATTTAATGCGAATTAGTTTAATTCGAATTAGTTTACTGCGCATTAAATTACTTCGCATTAGCTCCGTGTGAACGCTAAGCGAAGCTAATTCGAATTAAATTTTGACGCATGCGTAAGGGCAGAATTAAGTCACATGCCACATGTCGCTGGTCAAATATAGGTATTTGCATTATTTTTGAGTGGAAAACAAAGGAAAACTATGTTAATCACTAAAAACTGTACAGACACTATGAAATTATGCCAAATGTACATCTGCTCTGCACAGTGTGACGTGACTTGCAAATGACGTCATAATAGCCTAACTGAATAGCCTTATAGTAGAAATAAAATTTTGATTCGCATTAGCTGTCATGTGAACGCAATTTAATTCGCATTAGTTTAATTCGCATCATTTTACTTCGCATTAATTTACTGCGAATTAAACTCTCCGTGTGAACAGGGCATAAGGGTAGTTTTTAAGAGGTTATGTGTCTGTAAACACTTAAAACATGCAGTGGGAGAAACAAAGATTCATTGTCAAATAAGATGCAACTGTTTAAAAAACATACCGTGTGGGAAGTTTGAGGTCATTAGTAAGATAAAAACGGTCTAAGGACTAGAAGTCATAGAAGTGAGTTGTCATTAATCAGTTACTGCACTCTCAGGACAATCAGCCATTAGGATAATGGGTCATGTTACAAGTCTTAATGTGCACAATCCAGTGGATAAAGGGTCACTATAAGTTACAAAAGTCTGGAACATACAGTCAGAGGGGCAAGAGGTCATAAATAAGTTATAATGCTGAGAAATTTTAATGAAAAACAAAACAAGCTTTGTCACATTTTTGCATTTAATGTATTGCCAATCCAAGATGCATGTATTTAGAGTCCATGTTTTTGTTAGTATGAATAAAAAGATCAAGAATTAGAAAAAAATGTGACAGTTTAATTTTTTAAATATACATGTATTTAGAGAAAAGACAAAAGACCAGAGGAAGTTGCTGTACAGTAAGATCAGGAGCCTTACAGACAGGAACTGGACCAAGGAGGATGAAGTCAGGTAAACATAGATTCCATCTCTGACACTCAGCTCAGCTGAAGGTCATAAAACAAGGATAATTCCTTTCCTTTGCAGGGGACTCAGCTTTAGATATTTATTATATACATGTGATTAAGGAAATACAAATGAATCAGAGGCTGTTATGTTTTTGTTTTTAAGATTTCTGAAGGGAGAGGTATCGGCAGTGTCCAATCTGGCCGGGGAGATGGACCAGGAAACTTTTGAGCTGGAGGCTGAGGTTGCTGTACTGACGGAGAAGATGGATCAGTTAGAAGAGTAAAACTGAAAACATATGTTCTTCTTTATTAATATACATGTATTTAGGGCTCCGGAAGGATTTGTGGGTGCCCTATAGTAATCACTCTGTCTGTCTGTCCATCTATCATTCTTCCGTCCACAAATTTTCTGATTTTTTCTAATAACTTTTTTTTATGGTTAACCATTTAAGTCCAAATTTGGTATGTTGGTTAAATAGGCAGTAAGACATATTTTGATGTTAAGTTTAAAACAAACCAGTAGAGCTACATTCTCTTTAGATACTTCTTGTCCTTTCATTGTTTGAAATGTGAATAGCAACTTTTTTTTTGCTTTCAAGGGAGAAAAATACTTTGAATGAAAACATAAGGATTCTAATGGAAAAATTTCAGATTCTGGAGAAAAATCATGGTATGTATATGTCTATGTACAGATATGGTCTTACATCTAAATAAGCAAGTTATATTATATTAATATTGGTAAAACAATGAACTATACACTAAGGATTTGGAAACATCATTACAGATTAAATAAACTGATGTACCAAAGATGCTAACATATATTAAGTACATGTATCTGATCTCCTCTGATGTATATTTACATGTAAACCAACCATAAATTGCATTCTTATAATTGTAGGACAAGAGAGAAAGTTCAGTGGAGAGATTATAGAGAATCTGAAGTACCAGCTAGGTATTGCTCAGACAAGTCTTGCTGACATCCAGAAAGAGAAATGTTGTCTGGAGGAAAAAAATAATGAGCTTATAAGGAAAATGCATGACCAGTTGGTAAGCATATAGAACACTAAGCATATACTGTAACCAACTTTTATTCATGTGCAAGAGATATCCGCAGGTTTTTCACCTTTTTTTCATGCAAATTTTTCATCAGGAACAGTTATTTTAATTGTATATACAGTGGCACCTCGTTTATCCGGACGCCTCTGTCCCCAACGAAATCGTCCGGATAAATGAATCGTCCGGATAATTGAATCACATATCAAAAAGCACTCTCTATATAAGCATGTATATATGCACATTCTTGTTTCAAATGTGACAGCAAAGAAAAACAAACTTTTAAATTATATTTTGGTTAATTGTTTTAAGAGCAGTAATTTATTAATGAAAAAATATAGAAAAATGTAATTTACACAATAAAAAAAATGGATGGCCAATTTTATGCCGAGACCTCCTTTTTTAATTCACCTTCTCTTTGACATGTGACTTCATGGGTTGAGCAAATTTTGATCTACTGTTGTTTTATTTTGCCATATATTATAATTATTGAAACTTATATGATATGACAGAACTGTTCAGCACCATCATTGAAAATGTTCAATTATAAACTAACCCGGTATATTCCCCGTATATTCATTACACAGGGTTACTGTAAAACTAATCAAACAAAGTATTAAAAACATTCGTAAACGCAAGCCATCTTCATGATTATCAATATTATTTTTTTCTACAGACGCTAAGTTTGAATTTCGATCCTTAAAAAATACCTTGAAAAACGTAATCAACTTCTGTATGTAACGCCAGTTTTATATGTAATGGACGTTTGTAAACAGTAGTACATTAGATAGAGATATTTCTTCTATTATGTACCTTTCTATACTGTCTTGTGGGAAAAAGGTGTTTCAAATACATTTACGTTTTTTAGAAATGGAACATCGTATTTTAAACTAACGTAATCGACATGATAAAGAGCATTACGAAATCGCTCGTTATTTATTGTTCATTTTATTTACAACTCTCCAAAATTCTCCTGAATTTGCCGATGTATATACGGTTAGCAAATGAATATGATTTGGAACGGATTATTATTTAATTAATGCACAGTGTCAGCTAAATTCTTTGAGCTTCATAATAAAGATAAACGTGTGATTGAATTGGGGTAAACACACGCTAATTATAGACGCTATTGTTTGTAGGTCACAGGTAACCGCCTTCAAATTGACTGCATGGCCAATGTTTTTACAACAATTAACTCGAATGCAAGATAAGTGTGAAAATGTCGTTTTTGAAAAATAACCGTCCGGATAAACGAGTCATTTTTCAATGAACTATTATGTTTTGTAGTAGAAATTGACCGTCCGGATACGGAACGCGAATTTCCGGATTAATGAGACAAAATAACGTGGAAAAAATCGGTTCCCAAAAAATATCGTCCGGATGGTGAAGCGTCCGGATAAATGGCGTCCGGATAAACGCGGCGCCACTGTACATGTATTTACTGTGTATTTATGATTAATATTTTCTTGCAAAAATCAGAAGTCGCAGATAGATTTTAAATTTGATGAATTGTGAATAAAAGTCATCACAAATAATAGTTGGTTTACAGTAATCATAACACATAATCACCGTACCATAAAAATAATGTAAAAGTTTGCAAACATACATTTATGGTTTGAAGGATTTCACTACTGTATGAAAATAAAAGATTTTATATTGGCTTAAATTTAAAATAAAAACATTTCATCTATAAATATGATAAAGACTTTATTTTTCTGCTTGCAGGAAGAAATAGAAAATCTTGCATTTCAGCTAGAGGATAAAGAAACAAAATCTGATGAAATGGCAGAGCTTATTAAGGAGAAAGAGAACATGATAACAGACTTAGATGTACAACTGGTCGGGGCAAAGATTGCGATGGAGCACCTGCGAGAGCAAGCAGAGGTTAAGGAGAAGGAAGTGGAAATGCTGAAGGCAGAAATCCAGGAAGAAGTGGAATCATTAAGAAGGCAGTTACAGGAAGAAGAAGAGCTTCACCAGAGAACAGCCAGAGGCCATGCTGATCAAATTATTGATTTGGAAAAAAGAGAGCTAAGTTTGGTTGAAGAAAACGAGAAACGTGGAAAGGAAGTTGAAAAATTCACAGAAAGATGCACAGAGTTGGAAAATATGATAGAAAATCTGAATGCTGAAATTTCAAATCTCACAAAGCAGTCAGAGAATGAATTAAAACGCTTGTCTGATACTAAAGAAAATGAGCTAAAGACACTAGAAGCAAATTTACAGAAAGTAAGAGAAGAAAATGAAAAACTTGAACGAACCATCACCGAGAAAGAGGACAGTTTGTTGAACTATCAAGCCACAATATCAAGTCTAGAAGAAAAAATGGCAATTCTTAGAGCTGATGCTGAATCTTTGGAGAGGGAATATGAGGAATTAAAACAGAGTCACGGAAACACCGTTGAATCTATCATGAAGAAGGCAGAAGACAGAAAGGAGGAAAATGTTAAACTGAAAGAAGATTTAGAGTGTATCATCAAAGAGAAACATGAATTATTCTGTAAAGTGGCTGAATTACAAGTGAGCTTCACAGAGGCAGACTCTTCTATAGCAGAGAAACAAAAACTGATAGAAACTTTGTCAGAAAAGAATGGCAATCTGGAAGAACAAGTGAGAACCATGTCTGAAGAGAAAGAGACATTAGACATCATTGTTACAGAGCTGAATGTGAAACTGAAAGAAGCAGCAGAGGATATTGTGAGAGAAAAGAGTTTACTATTAGTGACAGAATCCACATTGAAGGCTCAGCTTGAACAGCTACAGCAGGAAGTGGAGAAAAACAAAGATGAATGTGTTAAGAAAGAGAAAGATGTCACAAGTCTGTTAGTGGAAAACAGTCAGCTTATGAAGGAGATTGACTACCTAAACGCTGTAAAAGAACAAGACCTTGACCAGATGTCTGAACAACTGGTTGGTTTTGAGGAAAGAGTGAAACAATTAATTGAGGAAAAAGCTAGTCTGTACCAAAAAGCAGCAGACATTGCAACAGAAAAAGAAAAACTGGAAGTGGAGAACCTGAGGTTGAAGAACCAGGCAGAGGAAGCTGTTGATGATTTGGAGAAAGAGAAGTTAACGTTAACGGAGAAAGAGGAGTCCATGTCAGCACGTCTGAATAAGCTTCAGGAACAAAAGCTCTCTGATGAACAAGTGATCACAACATTGCGTAGAGAGTTGAAGGAGGCAGTGGAGAAAATGAAAGATCAAGAGACCATCTGTGAACAGTTAACTAAAGAGTCCATATCTGTACTTACTGCTAAAAAAAGTCAAATTCAGGCACTGGAGTTAAAACTAAATGCTGTTACTGAGGAGAATTCATGCTTGACTGATCAAATGGGTCAAGCAGAACAAGTTAAATGTAAACTGAAAGCAGAAGTGGAAGATCTGAAAGTAAAGATCACAAATATAACAAAATCCCATGATGCTGAAGTACAAAAACATTTAGACAATATTCAAGAACTTCAGAAATCACTTTACATATCCACAAATTCCAACCAGAAGGAACTTAATCAGCTACAGAGTGAGTTGTCCAATGTTGTAAAGAAGAAGATGGAGGACAATAAACTGTTCACAGAGAAGATCAGCAAAGCTAAGTCTGAGTTACAGAGTGAGAGGCAGATAAGACAGACATTAGAGGAGGATTTTAACCTTCTGAAGAGCAAGTGTAGGGACCAGGAGACTGCTAATCTGGCTCTTACCAAGAGTGTAGACAAGTAAGTTCTGATTGCTCTCATTGCATTGGCTCCAACATATAAATGTTAAGTAAAACTAAACAGTGCAAAGCTTTAGTTATTGAGAATTGAGTCTGTTAGACATACCTAAACTTTCAGGAAATTACAGATGAACTCAGTTTGATAATTGATTTGACTGTAAAGTACTGGCATGTACAAATGTACATGTATTCTCTACATTATCTGTGTAGACTGGAGGAAGAACGAGATCTTTTGAAGTCACAGAACCAGGATCTTGGTGAACAGATTTTCCAGAAAGAGGACAAAGAGCAAGAATTGTTGACTGAAATCCAAAAACTACAGAGGTAAGAGCAGTGTTTGTATGTTACATGTACCAGTACATATGATAAATCTATTAAGGGGCCAATTATTGCCTAAATGGTGAGTCATCCATTTTTTATGTGCCATTGATTGGTAACACTGGGCATACCATTGTTTCCAAGTCACTGTTGTATGGACTGTGTGATGTAATGTTTTCTATCCAGCATCAACAATGAAATACAAAGTAGGAAATATTTGCTGATAATAAAATTAACAATGACCAGATTGACCTTTAAAAAAAAGAAACATATATGGCTTATATATGTTATTAGAGTTTTGTAGCATAACTACTGTGGACACAACAGAGATTATTAACATACAGTTACATATAGCAAATTTATCACAGAATAAATACATGCCCCATCTTAGTCATGATAATTTGGTGTTTTTACAGTGCTTTGAAAGACATTGAAGTGGAGAGTTTGGAGGAGAAAGAGAAACACAGACATGAAATTGATGCCCTTAGAGAGTCCATTCATGCTCAGACTAACCAAGAAGAACTAGATAATATGACTGCTGAAGCTGAAAAGTAATTGATTGATAATTATTTCTTAAACAGATAAAATTAAAAGATTTCTGATAGTCAAGTTTAAATAAGTGTATGATATTTACATGTATAAACAGGGTATAGAAGATTAATGTATATGACACTTTCAGTGATTCATTTTGGTGTGCTTCCTGCGTAAATTACGCACAAATTTTGCTCAGGACGCATTATTTCAATAAATGTGCATCCCACTGGACGCAATAAATTTATAGAAGGACATGTACTATTTTAAATTATTTCGGTATAATCTGATTCAAAACTTGACCGATTGCATCATATCCACATGCTAAATGTTATGCATGAACGATTTTAACAGGTATAAGGTTGCCAACAACAGGTCAGATTTCACAACTGCAGTTAAAAGCAATTATCAGAAAATATTTGAAAGTTAGATGGCATAGTTTGATTATCACTGATTAAGTCTATACCGTGGAACGTTTCTGAAGCAAATACTATACCTTTGTATTTAAGCTGTAACCTGTATCATTGTTTTTTTTCTTTTCGTTTTTTCATTACATGATAAGAAGTATAAAATTTAATCAGACATTTTTATTTCTGACTATTTGTCATTTCTTCTTAAACTTTTTTTTACTTCATTCTGCTTCTGTGCATTTTATAACTGATACAATGTGCGAGATCGTATGTACGATCTAAAAATAGAACCAACGTGCACAGTGGACAATATATTATTTTTACGACACAAAATCATGTACTCTTACTTGGACAATTAATAGTAAAAGTATAAATCACTCACAGCTACAATAAAACATTTGCACTTTCGTGCAATACCCTTTTTTTCACCAGAATTTCCTCTGTAACATCTAATATACAGTACCCTTGGATTTGGACGCATTGATTTTGGCACGGGACTCATTGTTGTCATTAAGAGGGGTCCTTTGGACCCATGATAACCATTTTCAAAATGAATCACTGCACTTTGTTAAAGGGTTATTGGCGGCTATATTTTCCAGATATTACTATAACCTATCTATATTTCATTTAAGATGGCAGAAACTATTTGAGGATCTTCAGACTAAAGTGGAACCTTTTATGGAGCAGTTGGATGCTTTTGAATTAGAAAAGCAAGCTCTTTTGGGTAGGTACTGACCTGTCAAACAGTTGTCAAGATCTGTAAGATTAATCATTCTTTGTTTACTCTGATGTTGTAAAAATCCTTAATTTATACATGTATTAGGAAAAATATACATTATATACACAAGTATTTAAGTACACAGGCTATAAGTTATGTCATACATATACAAGTATTAAAGTTATATTGTACCATTATTCACTACGATTTTCTGGGTTAAACAAAATCTTGAAATCATCAAGCAATCAGCTAGCTTTTGTATGTTCAGTATTTAGCACAATAATGGTCTCTACCCACTTTTCCTATAGATCAGTATTTTGACCAGTATTTTAACATACATGTAATAGCAGAAGAAACTTTTCAGTATGAATCTGATTAAGTTCAAACTTTGAATTCTCCCTACAAGAAGTTAATTGTGTTTTATTTTTATGAACAAATTGAAAAGTAAATAAAGGATCTGAAATAAATTAGCCCCACCCCCTCCCCATGATATTTTTTTTTTTTTTGGTTTTGTTTTTTTTTTTTGGCAAAATGTGAAATTTGCCACATTTACAGAAGTAATTTGACATTTTAATATTTTTTATTTGTCATGCACAATGTTATAAATGTAGTGGTCAAAGGAAAAAAAACATCTCTTATTGCAGGCAGGAGTAATCATGCCCAGGCTGAAATGGACAAATTATCAAGTCAGTATGCCAAACTTCTAGGACATCAAAATCAGAAACAGAAAATCCACCATGTGACCAAAATCAAGGAGGAAAATAACAGCCTGAAAAGGGTAAGCTGACGTCTCATTAATAAAATGCTTCCCAAATATGTTTTTGAAAGAGTCTTTGTATTGTAATGATGAACTTCCCAACTGCAGAACGTAAATTAATAAAGATGCTCAATTTTGGCCATGTTGGTATTTTGCCCTTAGGAGATGACTATGCTTAAAGAGCAGATAACCAAGCAAAAGAGAACCATCCAGAAACTTGAAGAAAAGGCTGGCACAACTGATGGCAAGAAAAAGTTTGACCCCAGTACGGCCTTCAAACACAGTAAAGAAAATCTGGCACCTGCATCATCACCACTCAAAGATGGTAAGTTCTAGTTAAACTCTGTTTCAGGTTGTTGTGTTATGTGTAAATGTCACCTGATTTTGGTGTTATTTATTGTTGATTCTGCTATTATCTGTAGCATGATTCTATGCTAAAATTATAAAGTTGACTCACAGGATTTGATAAAAATTCTTTCTAATTCTTAAAGACACATCATGCTGTATGTTCATAAACTTCTCCATATCATATGCAGATTTTTTACTGACTTTGCTACTTGATTGATATTTTTATAGTGTGCCTTTGGAGTTATTTTTATAGTTAAACTTATGATAAGGAACTCAGATATAACGACATCTCGGTTATTAGGAAGTTATATCTTTTCCCCATTCCTCATTTCATAACACTTTCTTATATTGATATATAAAGAAATTTGCTAATATTAAGGATTCCGAACTAAAATTCCATGTCCACAGGACTTCCTTATCAGCAAGTTTTGCTGTATATTTGATTTAATGTTTTTGTCTTGACATGTTTTACAATTATTTCAGACAACTCATGCAGCATTCAACAGCATGTTGAATCTTCAGAGACTATTTCTGTGCCCTTCAGAAAACACAAATATTGTCACTCTTGTGGCAAACGTAAATTATCAAAGGGTAAAACTAAACTGTTCAACAGCATGGTTCTTTTTGAGTCTCCTGATATCTCTACTTCTCATTTGTCATATTTGAGACACCTTTTTCTGAATCTAAGATGCAGACCAAAACAAAGGAAGTCTGTAAAATACCTGCTTTTCTTGATTTGCTTGATGGATGATGCCACTAAGTAGTGAATCACAATTTGCCTTCAAGATGCATTTTATTTCTCCTTTTCAGAGAAATCTGTGTAATGACTATCATCTGGTTTTGAACTTTGTCTATACCCCAGTTATATTCCTTTTCAAAACTCTGTTTTGAGCATGGGACTTGTATTTCCTTACAGTTTTCTCTCGATTGCATGTCTTCCTTGGTTTTATTTGGGAATAAATGGATGAATTTGAAATATTAGAGATTATAAGAGTAGAAAGTATACCGGGTATTTGAAATGAATTTTTCTCAAAGCTACTTAATTTATGTTATAAAAACTGAGTTACTACATGTACAAGTTTAGAGAGCATATATTCTTGTATCATGAAAGACAGATATGTTGTCAGCATTATATTACAACAAAGTTATGTAGATGTAGCTAACAAATAAATTATTGTTTTAACTTTACTGTAAACATGCCAGAAACTTTCATTAATATGTCATTGTAGATTCAAGTCTTTTAATTCAGTTTCTTTTTGCATCACAGATATTTAATAGTAAAATTCATCTAAATGAGTTTCTTTTGCATTTTCAGGCAACAGGAAATAAGGATTCTGGCAGAGTTAGTACAAACAGACAGGATAGGCAGCTTATAACTCAGGATATATTTTTAAAAATCCCATTTTTCTCATTTTTAATCATTTTTGCTAGCGAGTTGTATTAGATTTTAGTTAATTTTATAATAGTCACTGCTAGGTTTACAGACAGTCACTCTGTAGTTTAGTGTTGCTGATTGTCAAATTTGAACACATATCAATTATGTATTCAATAAACTATAAAAAATTGTTTTTGAGTTATTATAATTCTATGTGTACAAAGAGGGCATTTCGCTCAAGGTTAATGTTTAAGAGGTCTTTTTTAAAAGTGTAAACAGGGACAGAGACTATTAAAATATTTGTATTCTATAGAGTCCAAAATACATGTACTTTTTCAAAAAAAAACTTCTCTATGTATGCTCTTCCAGGGGTGTGTATTAGACAAGACCATAGGCTTTATTGGGTTTTTTTTCAGAATTTTTTCTCTAATCCCAAGGCCTTGAGAATGCACTTTAAGACCACACTATTGAATAACAAGGTTTACAAAGCATAAGTATGCAGTATTATTTCATTTTCAACAGTGAAATACTGTAATTTATTTATTGAAGTGATATTTTGTCACAATGTAAAAGAATATCAGAAGTGTGGCAAAATTATCGATTTTTCCTCTTCACTAAGAGTGTTGTTAAAAATACTCTCTGGCGTGTTATAAGATAGAGAGAATAATAACCACACAAAGTTTCTCCAAAAATTTTGAAATCTATGTTTACAATATTTTCAATCTCGCAGTAGCTTAGCTATGACGTCACAGGCTATGACAAATGACAGAGGCAAAGGGAAAATCAAGGAAAATGTAGAAAATCAAGGAAAATGTAACAAACAGAAAATTAAGTGTCTTATAGTTGAAGATGGTATTTATTTCACTTACCAGATAGGATTTTTTTTCTGTGAAATAAATTCTTTATTCAACTACAAAACATTGAATATCTTCTATTTATTGATGACTGTTTGAATAATAGGATAATGACAGACTGCAGGCCCGTAGGAAGCAATTTCAGTGGGGGGGGGGGGGGGGGCACAGCCATACATTTTCAGTAGGGGCACTATCAACTACCAAAAATTCCTTGACAAACAAAAAAAAAAGGTCATCTGAAGTTTTTATTGAGGGGGCACAAGCATATAGTAGCTATGTTTTCTATAGTAATCTATATGTCGGCAAAATAATTCGGGGGGGGGGGGGGGGGGGGGGGGGGGCATGCCGCCCCCACCCCCCAGTTCCTAAGCCATCGACTGCATGAAATCTGAAAGTGTATTAAACTAGAGAAGTATGGTTTTGAAAAATTGTAAAGACTTTTAAATAAAAAAAAAATCCCTTTTTTCTTTTAATATATCCTTAATATTATCTTCCCTTTCTTATGGGGGACATCTTTATTTCTATATACAGTAAAGGCCGTTTAGTGGGTATAGTTGATTTACAGATATTATTGCAAAGTTTATGGGAGGATCCCTAGCAAAATTTTCAACAAATCATTGTAAAATTTTACAGTTATAACGAACTTTGATATATAACAAAATTATAGATATAGTAAGTCATACAGGAAATATATGTTAGTGCTTTATATACTTTACTGAATTCATTATATAGATATGACGAATTATGCATATGGCAAAGTCAATTCTCGGGTCCCAGGACTTTGCTATAACAAAGTTTTACTGTAAATGAAATCCTTTGGCTCAAGGAAACTGATAATTTTGATAAAAATTGACCAAGTAGAAATATGGCCCACATTCCAAAATGTTTGGCACACCACACACAGGGCTATATAGCATTAGCCCCAGTGTCAGGGGCCCTGGAGTTAAGGCTGGACTCTACTGACAATATAGTGAAAATGCATAAATTCTTTAAATATCATCTCCCTCCCTCCCTCCCCCCCCCCCCCTTGTATATTTAGAAAGAAGATGGGTGAACAAGGCATGCAGAATGTCTATAGCTTCAGATATTAAAAAAATCATATTCAATTTGTGAATTAAGTATTTAAAGTAAAGTTCTCATGATTGAAATTTGTGAAATTATTATCAACAAAATTTTTCTGAGGAAAAAAGATCTCAGAAAAAATTTTATTGTTTTATTAAAAAAATAAAATGGTATTCGAACCTCTAACAATAAAAATCCGGAGTATCATATTGCTTTGAGACAGACTAACACGCTAACCACTATGCTACACAGCTCCTGATGAATAGTGGCATTTAAATCATGTTTTTGATATGACCCTTCACTTAATGGACTTAAGTATTTCTCGGAAAGATGCAAACATTTTGTCATAAAAGTGTACTTTTAAGGTATATTGGGTTATTGTACACCAAAAACGTATATTTTTATGCAAAGTTTTAGGATTAACTTTCAAAAAAATGGAGCAAAGACCCACTCATATCGAAAAATTTTGTTTAAGTATGAGAAAATGATCCTTTTTGTCCTCTTTAGTGTGTGTACGTATGTATTTCGTAGACAAATAATTTCAGTCTTTGTGAGATTTTTGTAAATTGTAGAGATTTTACAGAAAGTAAACTTTAATGTTAGAGGAAATATCAAAGACAATTTTGTTATAATTGAGATTTTATTTTTCACTTCATGTTTGTCACACTATAGGCACTTTGCCCGCCTTGTTCACCCATCTTCTTAACTAGGTGCATGATTATGATCAGCAAGGTTGCCTCTTCCAAAATTGAGAAATTTGTGGCCCGGGGTTCTGGTGTTAGAGTGGGCTCTATAGATCTAGTGAAAATGCAAAAATTCTTTAAAAATCTTCTTTTCTCCCCCTGTATATTTATCAGATAAAAACTAGGTGCCTGGTTATGATGAGCAAGGGTGTCTCTTTCAAAATTGTGAAACTTGTGGCCCCATAGTCAGGGGTTCTTGAGTAAGAGTGGGGCTCTAATGATCATATAGTGAAAATGCATAAATTCTTTAGAAGTCTTCTCTCCCCCTGTATATTTAGAAGATGAACCAGATGCATGGTTATGATGAGCAAGGGTGCCTCTTCCAAATTGTGAAATTTGTGGCCTGAGGGTCAGGGGTTCTTGAGTTAGGACAGGGCTCTAATAATCATAATTTATTGAGAAACTGTATAAATTCTTTGAAAATCTTCTCTGCTTCTGGGTATTTCACAAACAATCAAACTAAGTGTATAGTTATGATAAGCAAATGTGCCTCTTCCAAAATTAAGGGAATAAGAGAGACCAGTGGAAAAGGGAATGTGATTGGTATTCTGATAATGCTGAAGCACTTTTATTTAGTCAGAATGTTGATAGGTGACAAATGGGGGCAAGTATAGACAAGTAAATAGATCCGCTTTAACATTTGTTACTAAGTAGTAGACTAATTATTTTGTTGATCCCTGATCTTCTGATTTCTCTTGCTTTTGTGCACCATAGCTTTGATCATCTATCAGTTAATTTTTGTTTTATTCTATACTTCTGTGAATCCTTTACAATGTTGTATTATACTCAGGTGACCGTTAAGGCCCCTGGGTATCTTGTTTTCAATACCATTTGAAATTTTGTAATAATTGTGAATTCCTATAACTTTGATTAATATCAATACAAACATTCTTAACATTATAGCTAACAAGAGGCCCATGGTCCACAATGCTCACCTGAGTTACTAAATAACCCTTCTGTTCTTTATCTGTAGGTTTTCTCCTTAATATATATTCCTATGTAAAATTAAGATAACATATTGTGGCCCCATTCTACTCCCAGGCATCATGATTTGAACAAACTTAAATCTACACTACCTGAGAATGCCTCCATATAAATATGACTAATCATAGCTTTGCTGTTCTTAAGAAGAAGTTTTTTAGAAAAAAATTCATATGTACTCCTTTGTTTAACTTTGATTGCCCATAGTGGCCCTGCCCTACCCAAAGGTCATGATTTGTACAAACTTGAATCTACACTAACTGAGGATGCTTCCATATAAATATGACTATAAATCATGACTTTGCTATTCCTGAAAAGAAGAATTTTAAAGGTTTTTCCTATGTATTCATATGTAAAACTTTGATTGCCCATAGTGGTCCCACCCTACCCCCAGGAGTAGTGATTTGAACAAATTTGAATCTACAATACCTCAGAAAGCTTTCGCATAGGTTCCATTTTTTTTCTAGACCAGTTGTTCCTGAGAAGATTTTTAAATGACCCCACCGAATTCTCAGTAATTTTTAAAATTATCTCCCCTTGGAAGAAGACGTCGCCCATCATTTGAACAAACTTGAATCCCTTGTACCCAAGCATACTCTGTGCCAAGTTTGGTTGAAATTGGCCCAATTATTCTGGAGATGATGATCAAAATTTGAAGTTTATGAGGACAGAAAAATTTTGCTCAGAAAATCTCATTTGAGCCTTCAGCTAAAAATGACTGATATCCTATATTGAATATGAAATATATTAACTCAATATTTTGACCTTTATACAATATAATTTTCTCAAAGTGCTAAAAAAAAATTTCATTATTGTATAGAGGGTCCATAATTTAAAACTTTTTAATGATAACACACAATATTTAAATGGAAATATTTAATCAACAGAATAATTAGCAACTAAAGCATACATTTTGAATTCTTATGTGCATGAAAAATAAAATGACCAGATCTACAAAAATATGTCAATTTGTCAAACAAAATTTGAATTTACTACTTAGGGGAAATTCATCATTTGTGTAGTAAAGTTTTGCTAACCTTGTGTACATGTTGTAAGATCTATACATTACCACTACAGAAATCTTGAATCAACAGAAAATTACAGCAACCATATTTAAGTACCGGTAATTGTATATTACAGTGGCTTCCATTTTATCGGATAGCGGTTTAACGAATATTTCGGCTATTTCAATATAATATCAGAGCACAAAACCATTTCTTATATATTTATTAATAATTTCACCTGATATTCTGATGAGAAAATATTGGAATTTCGATTTATCTGATACAAAAATTGGGACTATCAAAGTGTTTTTTGACAATCAGCACCATGTTCACACCTCCAACTTCGTATGTGAAGCCTTTGTTTACACAGTTTGACACCAATTACCTTGACTGGCTTCAGTACGACAATGAGGGGATTAGTTACGGCTGGACGCACACAGGCACCTTACCTGCATCAATAGTGGGCATAGTAGATAGATATGTTTTGATTACAGTTGTGATCAGCTTGGGTTCAATGATTTTTCATTCACAAATAACAAGGGTACATTTTGGTTTCTTGGGCTCACTGACTCGTTGATGCCACATTGTGCCCATCACAATCACTCAGACGCTTTATGTATAAGTACTTCTTATGGGTAATTATAAAGCACTTTAGTGATTACAAAATTTTTCAAGAGAAAAATACAAAACATTCGGACAAAATTCAAAAACAAATATTTTCTAATCGCCATGTGGGCAACTTGATTGTAATTTTAAGTCGCCCACTGGGAACATTAGTCGCAAATTGTGAGTGGGCAACTGTTAATTTCAAACCCTGAAGTAAACTAATCAAACGAAAACGAAAGTGCAAGTTTGAAATTTGCTATGATGTATTATCAATAATGTAGCTCTGTACATCTATCTTTGGACTCGGTATGGAGCAATCGGCTAATCTAATAATCGGCTATTCTGATAAAATTAGACTGACAACTTGACTATTGGATAAAACAGGAGCCACTGTATATCGAGAAAAAAAAATAACTTAAAAGTCACACAATAATCTACTGAAAAATTTCATTTTTTCTGTCATGAATTCCACTAACTGGGCAGAACAGTTCCAAGAAAAATTTCTGTATACAAGTTCTGCTGGGAAACTAATCATTGGCTATATATATAAGATCTCCCATGGTTTGTGGTTGGATATGATTTTTATCCAACAAGTTGTGTGTTTCTATCCCTGAACCTTGGCGAGGGGATCGAAAACACGAGTTGGATAAAAATCATATCCATAAACCAATAGGAGATTCTTTTAATCATGTTTTACACATAGCTATAACATGTTTTACACTGTTTTTATATGTGAATTTACTTCACTTGACTTCATCAATTTTACACAAAAACCATTTTTTACCACTTTTGATATGAAAAAGATATCATATGAGCTATATCCACTGTATAAAAGAGTAAACATGTGATAACAGACTAGTATATAGCTATATGATTAAAGGCAAAATAAATCTCATAATGTATAGTGACTATAAACAAATCCTATATAGAGACACCTGACAAGATAGATTCATATCAACAGTATGGAGACCCACCCTCCTATGTCTGAGTTAACTCTTAGAAACTGGAAAATTATTGAAGATAATGAAACTAAAGCATTCATTCAGAAATTGAAAAACTTAGAGCACAATAAAAAAAATTTCTAACAGATAGCAATACAGAGTAAAACTTTACTGCAGGCAGAATGAATCAAATATTGTGAACATGCTTAATATACTGGCACAAATAAATTTACAGCATTCTCGGACATGAACACAAGTGTGCAATAATTATATAATGAATTGGTGCACATGGAAAACTATAAAAATTAGAGTTTAGTAAGTTTACAGTACATCAATCTAGAAAACCGTTACATATCTTAAAGTAGCACATAAATTTGATAATGCCATCAGAAAATAAGAAATACATGCTAAAAGAACAGCAAAAATAACCTGCACCTAGTGCAGTTCAATAGCTTGATGTACATCAGGAGTGCAGCAGTAATTGTTACTAAATAGAGAAATAAATTTTACCAAGCACAGAAATTCATTGGAATGTCTAATACATGTATCTTGTTTTAAAAGTCAAGTTTATTCACAGTAATCACATTATTGCTGAAAAAGCCCATGATAATACATGTAAATTTACTGAAAGGCATTCATACTATGAAGTACATAATAAATAGTTCCTAGCATTTCAACATTTAGCACTGAAATGTTCAATGCACTAATTAACTATATCGTACAATAATTAAAATAAAGTTTAACTGAATATAAATAACAGTGGAGAATTTACAAACATTTCTACAGATATATACTGCACACATAATAATCTGTCATGACTAATATTTTCTTTCTTTAAAATAACTTATTTTTATAGGAGAGATATTTTAAATTGATTACAGAATATCAACTTGGTTGTGCATAATGCATAAATTATAAAACAAGAATATCTAGTCAATAAGAGTTAAAAAAAATACAGGAAGTAAGCTATGATCTCCTATCTATAATAACATTGCCATCACGATCTTTCACTCGGATCCTGCCATTGGAATACTTGGTTTCCTGTCGTCCATCCGGATACACTGTCTTAACAGTTCCATCTGGATATTCTCTTCTCTTGTATTCCTGAGTGTGAATCTCCTTCTGTCCATTTGGAAACTCCATAGTCTTGGTCCCATCTCTGTCCACCCGAATCACTGTTCCATCAGGAAAGATGCTCTCTTCGGATCCATTCAAGAACAGGTATTTAATTGTCTGATCTGGGAATATGATTTCTTTTGTGCCTTCTGGATAGTGTTTCTCAACTTGGTTGTTTGGAAACTGTATAATTTCAAGTCCATCTGGATATGTGCTGTGTGTTGTTTGAACTTCAGCATAATAATATATAACTCTCTGATCTGCAGTTATTTGTTTCACATCACCATTACAGAAAGACACAACCACAGATTTTCCATCTGCAGAAATTTCTTTCCTTGTACCATTTGGAAACAAAATTTCACGAACTCCTGTGCTGTAGGTTTTTTCAACTTTTCCATCAGGATGTTGAATTTCTCGGAATCTTTTATCCCCTTTATCAATGACTGAGCGATCGATGGAATATTTCTGAGCAGTCTTTCTAGGAACACATTCAAGGTAAGAACCATCCATGCCACTTTCTGTATACATACTTGTGTCCTGTGGAACTGCAGAGACAACAGGATCATCTCTTGGTACGTCCTCCTTCATGGTTTGGGAGTTTTCACTCAGCCTATTTTTGGGATTTAGTGTGTTTTCTGGCTGTGCTGTGTAGAAATTCCCTGAACCTGTGACAGATCTTTGCCTTAGAGCAGCTGATCTTTCATCAAACTGTGGCCTGCTTGAATCAGACTTGTGTGAGAATTGAGAAGACATAGAACTAGCTGGTCTGTTGATGGGAACATCTCTCACAGGATCTTTCTCTTCATCAGAGTCTGTCATCTGAAAGTCAGCTGATGTTGATATACCATGTTGCCTTGCAGCAGATTTAGACACAGCACCTTTTCCTTGGGTGTTCTTTTCTTGTAAATTCTTCTCTTTCTGCAGCCACTCTAGGCGTTTTCTTTCCATTGCTTTAATTTCCTCCTTCAGTTGTGAATTCTCCTGTTCAAGCTGTTTAAGTTTTTCTTTTGTTCTGGCATCATTAGACGCCCACCTTAATTCCTTTCTTTTCAGCTCTTCCTGGAGTTCTCTCAGCTGAGTTTTCAACATCTCTATTTCCTCTCTCTCTTTTTTATCTGGGTTATTTCTTTTAGCTTTTTGTAACTGTTCAAACACCTTCTTTTCGTGTCTCAGTTTCTTCATCTCTTCTGTTTTATATTCTTGGATTCTCTTCAACTCTTCTGATTTCTCTTTTTCAAAATCAGAAACTTCCTTCTTAAGCTTTGATAAACCTTCCTCTCTTTCTTTCCTTAATTTCTGAAGATTCACATTTTCATTCCTAAATTTCTCTATCTCTTTATCTAACTCTGCCAGTTTCTCTCGTAACAACTTTGACTGAACACCTTCAGACGGCAAAACATTGTTCACATGAAAATTGCCCTGGTTCTTTGTCTCTTTAGGTTCCTCCTTTTTCAATTTTGGGAAAAGTTTGGTCATCAGTTTTGAGGTTGGTGGTGTGTCACTCTCCTCAGGTTTGGTTTTCTGACTAGAGGCCTGGGGTGAGTGGGACGTCAATGTTGTTTCTCCCCACTCCTCTTCATCATCATATTCAAGAACATTTGTTTTTCTAGCTGTTGCTTTGTCTTTATTTTCATCTTTGTTTTTCTTAATGTTTAAGTCTGAATAAGAAACCAAGCTTCCCTCACTGTCACTTTCTTCAGTGCTTCTGGTAAGCAATTTACTATGCATTTGAAAGTCTTTTTCACTATCATCAGTTTCACTTAGGTCATTACTATCGTTAATGTGGTCAGTTTTAATTTCAATAGTTTTCTCAACACCCAAACTCTTAAACAAATGGAGAACATTTCTTTCTCTTGTGAGCTGAGGAACGGGACTTGATTTATCCTTCTGTGCAATCTTTCTCTTCATTAACTTTGATGGAGACATGACTCTTTCTTCTTCAGCATTTTGATTGTTGTCCTCTTTGGCAGTGTCCTTAACGTTTTCTTGATCAAGGTCACTTTCTGCATCCTGTTCACTTGTTTCAGTGTCAGAGTCACTTGACTCGGAATCATCAGACTCTGTCTCTTCATCACTGCCTACAGTTTCACTTTCAGGTTCTTCCATGGTTGACTTAGGTAGCTCTTTGTTAGCTAACATAGGGGATTCTGATCTTGTTACTGTTGTTAAAGCTGTTGGAATTGTAACTGGTTTTGGAGCTGTCTTGTCTGTTTGCTCATTCTTCTGTACATTTGGTTTTACAGTTTGTGAGAGAGGTTTTAATGACAATGTTGTTTGTCTTTTCTTTGTCTCCTTTATCCTGTCCTCCATTCTCTGAACCATTACAGATGTGTTACTACAGTATGACATATTGTCAGCCAAATTTTCCAGCAGTTCAAATTCTTCAAGGTCACCTTTCTCAAACTCTTCCTTGATCTCTCTTTCTCTGAGTTTACCAACAAAGGATGCATCATCTGGGATGGAATCCCTTCTCTGAACATTTTTCTTCTTGATAATATTTCCCTCTTGTTTCATGCTATTTTCCTGGCTGACCTTATTAGACATTTGACTCTGGGTGTTAGAAGCTTTAATGTTTTTAGAGACATCATTTGTGTTTTTAGATGCTGTTGGTTTGGTCATAATAGGTTGAGCACCTCTGAGTATCTTTTCACCTTTTTTCTGTTCATTATGTTTTTGTATGTTTGTCTTTGAAGTTTTTGCATTTGTTTGAAGTGATCCATTCTTTGTTGCAATCTTTTCTGGTTGTTTACTGGTATTTGATTTCAAAACCAGAGTCTGTTCAGGTTGGGGTCTTGGAGGAGGTCTTATATTGCCTTTCCTCTCTTTTGCAGAACCATATCTTGCAGTACCCTCTCCTTTCTTTAAGAACTGGTGCCTTGGACTGTCCACACTTTTCTGATTTTCAGAATTCCTCTTTTCACTTTCAGCTTTTAACTGTTCTTCCAACAGCTCCTCAAATGTTTTGGTGACTAGAATTGGTCTCTCATCAGGGTCAGTTATCTCCCTTTCAGTTTCATCCTCCTCCTCCTCAAAATCTCCCTCCTCTAAATCAGAATCAGACAGATTTTCTATCTGGTCTTCATCTAACTCCTCTTCATCATCATCTACCTCCTCTGCATCATCATCATCATCTTCATGTTCATCGTCAACTTCTGGTGACTTCACTTTCCTCTGAATCATTTCCTCTCTGTAAAGTCTTTCTTCAGTCATTTCACTTGTGCGAGAATTTGTGTCACTGAACAAATCAGGATTAGTATTTATTTCATCATTATCATCATTAAATGGAACATACATCACTGGGACTGGGAGCTGCCCACTACTATGCATTGGTTCCTGTTGTGGTAAATTTTTGGAACTGTACATTTCTGCTGCTCTAGAGTTGTGTTGTATCTCCCTGGGCCTTGTGAATCTTTGGGAATGTGGTGGAGTCCTGGTAAGTGCATCATCACTTAGTGCCATTCCCCCTTTCTTAGAGTCCTTGTTTTTACTAATCACAGACTTGACTACCATCTGCTCTTTGCGTAATAGTTCTAACTGCTGTTTCTGTTGATTCATCAAGGATTCCTGCTGCTGCATCTGCCATTGCCTGAGTTCCTTGAATCGCTGTAACAGGAGCGCTTGTTCCATCACCTGTTGTCTCTCCAAAGGATTGACCTCAGAATCTTCTTCATCATTATCTTGGTCATCATTCATGACTCCTGAAGCATTACCTCTCAGACCCAGTTGATGGAAAGCTGCATCAAAATTGATAGTTTGTAAGAACATGTTAGGGAGCATTCTAGAATATTCTCCCATTGTCTGGCTTTGTAGGGTGTTTTGGAGAGACACTGGTATAGAATGGGGTCCATTTGGATTCACTGATGAGTTTTTTCCTATTGGTTTTGCTTCAAAGTCCACCAGGACTCCAGATCTTTGTGCACTTTCCTTCTGTTTAGAATTCATTTTCCTGTTTTGAAGACAACTTTATATAAATAGAATTTGTAATGACTCTGGATTCCTTATCAATGATGTGATTTGGTGACATGTTGACTCATTTTATCTGTCCAATTTCTCCATCTTAATCCCTGCAAAAGAGAAAAAAACTATACTTGAATATACAGTAAAAATTGTCTAATCCAGACACTACTGGTTCCAAAGAAAATGACCGGATTACACAACATTTCGGATTAGACAACATTTTAAACAAATAAAGTTACTGAAATGGACATAAAATTAACATCGTATTAAGCAAGATTTTGGATTACACAACATCCGGATTAGACAAGTTTCACTGTAATTTTCATACATTCACCCTATGTAAAATTGACAAACTTGCAGGGTGAGAAAAAAAACTATGTAGCAATTGCAACCACCTGCTGGTGTGGAATATGAAATCATAACTATCTATCCTTATGGTGATTTTGATCATCCTATACAGTGTTTAATTGATTAGTTTGTTAACTAGGAATGAACTCTATTATATTTCAAACACACAGAACTACAGTTGATATAAAGAAAACTCATTGTGAAGAAGAGTATTGCCTATGCTTTATATTAATAAGAGCTGAAAGTAAAACCCCATTTGATTATGGGATTCTTGACATTCTTAATAAAATGCATGCCATACACCTTTTAAAACAGGTTAATCATGCTACTGGAAGTAGTAAAGTTTATATCAGAATATAAAGGCTAATTCTGCCTGCAGATCTGTATTCACAGTTCTCAAAAAAATGGGATGGACAACCAGAGAATTACAGATCCATCCATTTATAAAATGTCAATACATTGTATTAATTGCATACAAAAAATGTGCAAGTGTCATTTCACCATATATCTAAGATGTCACCTCAGAACGTTCCTTACATAAATTCCTTTACTACATTGTAGCCTTCCTGAGCCTGAAATTCAGATGATTGAAATATCTGTCTGTTTATACTGCCATTTTTGGTGGCAAAAAAAATCAACTCATTATTGTTTCGCAAGTTGATATTCAGTTAAACTTGGACCAAATTAACTTTTTTAAAAATACAAAACATATCATTTTAATGAGCTAAATTTGTATCTAAATGAAGTAAATAAATGGAAAAATAATTTACAGCACTTACATGTATATATAAATCAATAAAATGGTAACTAATACAGTAATGTCAGCTACTGTGTACATGGTTGTCAGATTGGTGTGAGAGCTCTGTCAATGTGATCCAAGATATTTTATGTTTAAACAGCTGGTAAAAAAATATTAACGTAAAGTCAGATACATGAATTCCCGAGATGGGATTAGGTGCCTAAGAGGACTAAGTGTCCCCTGTCAAATGGTAATACGCACTGTGAGCTCTATGTATTAATCAGATAGATGGAATAATTTGTAGTCAAATTTAATTTAAACAAGCAGATTCAAAGAATTGAGGTCTTTTGCTTTTGGTGCCTTAGTGTTTCAGATTCAATTATTGATCACATACTGTAACTGTCCTCTCTGTGTGTCATGTCTTGTCTGTGTGTGTTCTGTCTTGTCTGTGTGTTCTGTCTTGTCTGTCCATCATATAAAAAAAAAGATTTAATAGGTTTTTGAATTAATATAATTCATGACCAAAATTAAATTTTCTTAAAATTGCATCAAACTTCAAGGTCATAAAGTTAAATATCATAATAAATCTGAAAGATCTTGTCAAAAGTAATGCAAAAGGTCATCTCAAAGGTAATGTACATGTGAAATATGAAAGCCCTATCTTTTCTCATTGAAAAGTTATCACCATGATGACCAAGGTTAAAGTTTGGTATAAAATATGTCACTCAAAATATGATCCAAATATAATATAAAATAAAATGCAAGCAAGTTTCATTATAATGTACAGCAAGGTTCATTATAATGGCCATAAATGCTGACATCAAACAAGACTGTTAAAATCCCCTTTAACATCAACTTATTTGTCAGTAGCCTCCCTCAGTTTAAAAATTAATCTTACTCAGAGCATATTCTTGAGTCCTGAATAAGTTGGGAGACATAAAAACCATATGCAGGTGAACATGGAGTATTACTACATATACATTATAAGAAAATTTGATGTTGGAAAAGCTGAGGTCACCTAATTTTTATACAGCTTACTTGTTAGTCTATGGTCAGTAAAATTTCCAAATACAAAAGAGATGTGGCAGACTGTGGCACCTTTTTTATTTTGAGTTCACTGAGATAAATATATTGAGTTGTATATGAATGGAAGTTACTATCTATTGTTAATTGATAAACTTAATCAACATTTGGACTGAGTGAGTTGTCAAACCATCCAAATTAGCAGTATAAAACAGGCAAAATTTTCAATCATCTCAATTTCAGGCCCAGGAAGTCTACTTACATTGGTTGTGGGGAGTGTTTCTTTTTTTGTGGAGGTAGTAAAAAAAATCTCAGGAATATATGGGACCATCTTTGTTCTCTCCTGACTCACTGACTTAAAATGGCCCAACTTCACTTTTCTTACACCTCCAGCCAGGAAACAATGGTTTTCTCCCCACCTACTTAACCATTATTTTTTATTCTGAGTAAGGAAAGGGCAAAGCAAACACATTTTAAAAGATGGTTTGGTAAATAACATTCTGAGGTGACAGCTCAAATATATATGGAGATAGAGATAGAATGTTCTATCGTTAAAATGATAAATGTCCTACAGACCCAGTTTAGAATGCATTCCATGTATTGGCAATGTAGCAAAGCAAACATGAGTGACAAATCTAACTCAGTGCATTTGCTATGAAAAGTCAAGAGAGTTCCAAATGTCAATATGGCATGTAAATTTGAAACGAGTAAAAAAAAAAATGTTGAGAAAAAGTGTTGAATTCTGCTATTATTTGGATTAAATATTTGGTTGAAAGGTATCCACAATCTCAACAAGGTTTGTTTTACATGTACATAATTTGATAGTTATTTTCCATGCAACTTCATTTTTTTTCTCCAAAACTGTTTCAGAGCAATTCGGCAATTTTCTGCTACATTGCGGGTATATGGGAGGCATTCTAACTGTGGTGAGGGCTGTCACGACACAGTTTGATTATTCTAACTAATGGAGAAATAACTCTCAAACCATGCACACTTTTTTTGTGTGTGCAATAAATATACACTTTTTTGAATAGGGGATTTGTAGCTCTCTGTTTGTTCACCCCAATTAATATATGTTTTTTTTCAAGACCACTGTCACCAGTGAGCTACAGATCCAGCTAGTATTAATTCATGCCACAATATATCAAAATATTCTTCTTCTTCTTCTTCCATACAAGTCAAACTCTACGTAGAACATTATACTCGGGTACTGCCACGCTTCAGACAAAGCTAAAAACCCAATCAGGGCACTATGTACAATAAAAAAGGTAAAACTGGCATGCTTAGGAGATATTGGTAGACAGCTGGCACCTCGTGTACGTACTAAACCAATATATTACAAGAAATCAGACCTAGCTTTCACAAAAAATTGGTTACAAATAGAATTCGTGAATTCCAGGGCCAGGAGCCTTAATATTTATTACACGGGGCCCTCAGCCCTGTCAGGACTGAATTCTTGTCATCTCTAGCCGAACCTGGTCGGTTGTTTACATAACAACACTCATCTACCAGTGTTATAAATCTCCAATCGAACGACGTTTTCTTTTCTTACAATAAAATGTATTAAATACGTACCAATAATCAAACTGTTCTTGATCACAAGGTACTAAATAAACATGAAAGCACATGAGATCAAAACTTGTTCATATCGGTTTGTTGATACCGCCATTTTTTATTGTAAGGATGTTGATCCCGATCAAATTTAGATTAAAATCAATATATTCTTTTTTAATCAAACAAAAATACAATATTACAATATTCATGATATTTGAGAATAAAATTACAAAAATAGACGTAAATAAAACATTAATATTGACAGTAAAGATGAAAAAAAAATCGGAGGGTTGTGACTTGAATGCTTGAAAACGAAAGTAGGATACGTGTAGGAGGAACTCCACGCACGGAGCTTAGAAAATGGTTAGATTTTATTATTATTCATGTGTATTGATATCTTTTGTGTTTTTTAATTTGTACAGTTTTCATTTTTTGTTGCAATCAGTTTGGTTTTCCACTTTCTATTGTACACAAGTGTCGGACGGATATCAATGGTTGAATTCTTTGTTAGCTGTTTTGAGGTTAATCATGAATTTCACATAAATCATCTAACAAACCCGTCTCTATTACATGATGACAGTGTAACATATTTTTTTTACATTCTGATGTGAAACAATATTATGGCAGTTTTGCTTTTATCACCCAATTTCATCCATTTAATACACAAAATATATATCGTAATACAATAAAACTCGGTACTCTGTTTCTAGGAACTTCATAAATCATTCGTCATCTAACAGCAAGTACTTAGAAAAAATTATGTTTAAACCAAAAGTGCCAAATTTATATTTTTTAAAAAAGTGCAAATTTAGAGATCAAGGGAGTCAGGCCAAGATAAGTATAAACTTCATTGATAAGGTATTTCTTTGTAAGGTAATATTTTTCATGTGCATGACTTTCATAAAGCTGAAATAAAGCAAAATAACTTGACACTTACAAACCACATGGGAGGAAATGTTTGTCAATATGTTGAATGGTGGTTCCAATTTTATTGTAATTATGACACACCACAGATTCCATCTAACTTCAATTTGACGAAGAATACTGATAACGCTGACTGTGATGAACTTACAAACTATAAAGTCATGCGTGCCTGCATTTTGTGGGTTACGGCACATAGTACAACATACTATATTACATTGTGCCTTTTTTTGGCAGTGTGCACAAGTGGCACATGGCACGACCCTTTCCCCAGCCCTGCTGGCTGATCAAGTATACTATATATTCAAGTTCTTCGGAGCACAACTGCTAAATTCTGAATAAAAAATATAATTCTCTTTACATATTAAAATTTATATGATTTCCTCATGATCTGGCTTTGGGGCCATAAAACTTAGACAAGATCAGTTTTGATCTCAGTGTCACTTTTACAAAAGGAACATATAGGGAAAAGTGAGACCGAGATCAAAAGTTAGCTCATCTAAGTTTTTATGGCCCCAGAGCCTGATTCCCTCACCCTCACTTAAAACAGCTGTGCAGTGGCACTGTTCTCTTCTATCATATTTAAATACAGCAAATTCTTTCTAAAATAATTCATAAAAGTTAGGCCAAATATTTTATACCCCCGATCCTAAACTTTTTTTGGCAATTTTCATATTTTTTCCGGAATTTTCCCCGATTTCCATCAATGACTCCGGTTTAAGTTTTAGTTTCAGCAATGACGGCCTCCTTGCAAAACATAGTGCAAGTGTTAAATAGTATTAAGTCCAAAGCAAGCTTGCATGTAGGTGTCCCCTACCAATATTGACTAGTATATTATCACATCATGTCTAAATGCCATTTGCAAAGCAGTGATAGGTATTATTTCGAAAAATTAAGAAAATCATTTTGTTTGAAAAAAAAAAAAAAAAAAAAAATCCCTACCTACCTACCCTAATTTTTTTGGAAGTGTAACTGGAACCACACATATTTTTTTGTTTGGCCTTACTCATTGGCAACCTTTGCTTCTCAGGTTTTAGAGTATAGACATGCATGACTGTATTTCTCTTGCTGCTGTGCTGGCCCCTTGCTAACTTTCTTGATATCTTTAGTTAGTACATGTATATGCTTGACGCAACATTAAGAATGTGATATTGGATGATTTCTGTCTACAATTAATTCACCCCTCCAAGTTTCAGGACAATGGCAAAAGGAAGGGAATGTATGGACTATTGAAAATGAAATTTTTAATAAGGAAATATTTGTAGTTGTAAAAATGATGATTTAGTTTGACTTTGAGTCCAATCCACAAGCATCTGTAATTTTTTTTTATAAATTCAAATTTAATAAATATATTCTCTTATAACAATTTTTTGTATGTATGAGAAACAATTCTGTAAAAGAATGAAAGTCCCCCCCCCCCCAAGTTCATTTGAAGAAGATAAACAAGCTTAAAAACTATGAACACGATGAATTTAAAAATCATATATTTGAATATAATTTCTTCTGGACCAGGAAAAATCATACACAGTGTTTATACATAGTAGGAGTCCATCATTGATATACTTGTAAACATGTACTGGCAAGTACAGTGTAGTTATAAATGTTAAGATATGCTCTATTGAATTCATTGAAATTTTCAGGCTTTTGCTCGATCCTTTTCTACCAATTATGAAGCTCTTGGAAGAAATAAAGCAAAATACAATGAAAGACATTCCAGGGAAAAACTCGAAAATTTTCTCAAGGAATTCAAAATAAATTGTCCTGATAATCTTCAGAAAGAGCTTGGGAAAGCATGGGAGGAATATACATGGTTACTGAGGAGTGAAAAAACTTTAGCATACAAATATCCACAACAGGTATGTCAAAAAAATTAAGCTATCATAGATGCTGAAAAATAGTGAAATAGTGAGTGAATTGGAATCTTTCGTGTATTGGCTCAACATGGACTGAATAGTTTGAGAAGTGCAATAGGTAGAAGTTACTTCTTACTAATGATAATCCGTCCAAGTTCACAAACCAGGGAGTCAAATTAATATTATTTAAATTCAAAAATGAGTGAAAATTGGTGCAAAAGCATGAGTCTTGTAGATGATTAAAGATTGCAATTGACTTTAACAGAGTCCCTATAAAAGGATTGAAATATTTCAGTTTTTTACGAGTTTAAAAAATCCCAAAAGCCGTAAAAAGTACACCACCATGAGACTGGATCAGAGTCCTCTGTCTAAACTGATATCAAGCAACAGATCGTCACAGTGGAGGGAAGGAGCACAGATACAGTTAGAGTCACTACAGGCTTCAGATCAGCTGCTGGCACAGCTTCGAAAGTCTTATGATATGGTATTTTCAGTTTTGATATCCCAAGCTAAGATTGTTGAAGTGGATAAAATGATAATTATGTGAAGTAATTATTTATCAAAACTTCTTTGAGTTCATTGTTCATTGAAAATATTACAAACAAATATGAAAGTGCCTACCGGTAATTTTTGAAAGTACATTAATTGTTGCTCAAATGATGTACTGGTAACTTTATTAATCAATAATTGATTTCAGGAATCGCCAGAAGATTCAGATATTAATCTTTACCCAGAAGGATGTGATGGAAAGCAATCAATTTTAAACCTTTTTCTTGTAACTGAGAAAGACCTCCAGGCCTGTCACAAGAAGGAATACGTAAAATTAGTGTGTAAAGAGGCAGCTCTTAAGAGGGAATTTCCAGAGAAGGTACTAAACATTTCCATTATTGTTTCTGTGTCCGTAGTCTACTGACCAGGATCATATGGTTGATGTGTATTTAGAAATTGATTTATCTGTTCATCATTACTTTCAGTTCATTCTTACTTCTTAAGTTTTTAGCTCACCTGCACTGTAATCTCAAGTGAGCTTTTCTGATCACCCATTGTCTGGTGTTTGTCTCTCTGTAAACTTTGTACATTTTGACTTCTTCCTGATAACCACAGGGTCAATTTTATCTAAAGTTGGCACAAAGCATCCTTAGGTAAAGGGGATTCAAAATTGTTCAAATGAAGGGCAAAGCCCCCTTCTTGGCCCCTTCCAAGGGGAGATAGCCAACAAAAGGCAAACATAGGGAAGGGTCATTAAAAAATCTTCTCAAGAACTGGTTGGCCAGTAAAGATGAAACTTACATGTAAGCTTCCTAACATAGTATAAATTTTAGATTCTTCAAATCATAGGGAAAGGGTCGTGCAACAATAGGGGATCAAAGTATTACATGGGAATATATAGGGGAAAAACTGAGAAAATCTTCTTCTCAAGAATCATTGGACCAGAAAAGATGAAACTTAAAAGTATAACTCTTGCTGGCTGACCAAGCATCAAACCATAACTCTTAGTAATGTCCAATGAAAAACAATGCAAACAGTGTTTTCTAATATATGTATTCTGCACAAAGTTACAATATGTCACTGGATTTCAACTTCAGTGAGTTCCTGGTACTACACACTCCCTCAGGACCAAATTGAGTAAAAAAACAATACACAATATTAAGTTACAAGTTTCTACACAAATGGTTTACCATAAATTTAGCATAGGTTTTAGCAGTACTTGCATTTATACACACTGCACTTAACCACTCTTTACACTTTATTTATGCAACACCACACATACTCAAGCAAGATACGATTATGAAACGTTACACAACTGGAACACCATACTACAAAAGCCAGCAAAAGTTTACTACTAACACAACTATTTACAGGAACACAAACTATACAAACACTACAACAATATAAACATATACAGAATATAAAACAATAAAAAGTGTGCTAGTTGAACCCAGGACCTTGAAATTATCAAATTATGAGTTAAAGAATAAATACTGTGGTTTCATCAATATTCGTTGAGCACCATTTTTCGAGGATTTCGTTGTTGAGCAGATCCGCGAAATTAAATGTTCATTGAATTAAGGAATATGTTATTCATTTGTATAGGCAATGCTTTTGTCCACGAAATTACGCATCCTCGAAAACATCTGTTTTACAAAATACACGAAAATTGATGCCAACGAAAATTGATGAATCCACAGTAAAACTTGTTCTCAGCTACAAGTTGAGTACACTTCAGTCATAAACTTTTGATTATTTTCCTCTTCTCCCCAGGAATGCCTGGACCAGTTTTAACCATTTTGATATATAGCATCTACAGGTGAGGGGAACAAAAGTTGTGGATTTTATAGACTTTGCATCCTGGGGCGTGAGGGGTGGGACGAAAACTTAGTCTATCAAAATCAATGCAATCTTCAAAAATCTTCTTTCCCTCTTAACATCTAGCAAGGAAAATGTTAGCATGATTATATTAAGCAATAAGAGCACTCATACAATTAAAATTGTGAAATTCATGTCCCCTGGGATAAAAATCAGGCTCCAGGGTGGGGGCAGTTGGTCATGTATTGAAATCTTTTTCTTTTGAATTACTCAGGGACATATGGCTGGCTAACTGTTTTAAGGTTGTAATGAGTATTCATGAAATGAATTTATGAAAATTGTGAAATTCATGGCACCCAAGTCCTAGGTCCAGGCCATGTGATGGGGCTTAGTTGGACATATTGAAAATAAATTACATAATTGAAAATCTTCTCTACTCATGGACATGTAGTTGACAAACTTTTCAGTAATTCTATTGAACTTTTTGCCCTCTACCAAAATTTTAAATTTCTTAGCTCCTGGGCCGAAGCCCCAGGGTGGGTCTAAGTTGGTCATAGATTGAAAGTACTTCTTTGAAAATCTTAATTATTCATGGGAATCCAGTGGAAAAAGTCTTTGATCATTTAGTCTTCATTGGGAAGGTCATTGCCCTCTTACTCATGGTTTAGGCCTCAAAGTGGGGCTAACTTTGATTATACAGGAAAACTCGTTTAGTACGAACATGGATATAGCGAATTTATGGATATAGCAAAGTTTTTTGCAATCCCTGGCAGAATTCTTAACAATTCCTTGTAAAATTTAACAGATATAATGAACTCGGATATAGCGAATTTACAGTTAAAAGGGAACTGATTTTGTATCCCATAGACATTAAAAATTATGCAATTTACATCTTAGTTTTATAGCAAATTTTCATAGGTTTTAGAATTTAAAATATTGAACAGACATAATTTTGTAAGTTTTTATTTTTGAAACTCAAATTAACCAAAAAAAACTTTAGAACTCCAAGGTTATTTTTATATTTTTTACTTCACTAAATACATTTGGTAGTCAAACTTAAAGGAAAAAAAATCTATATTATGAATTCGCTATATATTCTTTAAGGAATATATTATACGGATATAACGAATTATGGATATAGTGAAGTAAATTCGAAGGTCCCTAGAACTTCGCTATAACCGAGTTTTACTGTACTAGTTTTAAAACACATTAAATCTTTGAAAATCCTTCTTCATTACTCCTAGACATCTAGTAGGAAAATTGTTTGCATGATTATAATGAGCAGCTAGTATACAAAATTATAAGATTCATGTTCCCCAGGTCAAGGGATCATAATATTATTTCACACATTTATTTTAATTGCCTTATTTATATAATAGTGTTGTACTTTGCATGCACTATGCTTAAATAGTAGTCAGGGTTTGACACATGGTGTCACTATGTGTCAAACCCTGACTACTATTTAGGCAGAGTGCATGCAAAGTACAACAATATTGTTATTATTATGCTGACTGTTGTATAAAAACAACAATATTTTCTCCATTTCCAATGTTTCATCACCTCTTACATTCATGTTAGTACACTCCTATTTTGATGTCACATTGTGCTACATAATCTTTTTTTTTTGATTTTCAATGTTTTGTGCATTAGGTATAATGTACTGTCAGATAGTTTCAGAGAATTTAAGTCTAGTGATGGGAAAAAAGTTGCAAGAAACTATTTCAGAAAAATAAGTGTAAAATATTTGAAACTTAGTTTATATATATAATATTTACATTTCCAATGTCTTTGTCCGAGATAAAATTACAAATTGTAAAAACACTTTATTTCTACATAAATCTACTGGTTCATCGATAGGCGCGGTTAAAAAAAAGATCACGTGCGGGGCGGGACAAATAGAGACAGAAGCGGGGCTATTAGTACGGGAATTTGCAGAATCAGGAGCATACATGTAAATATAAGGAATAACTGTCAGATTTTTTGGATTCATGACGATGATCAATCGAGTGGCTTGCGTGATAATTTTATGCATAAACGCCTTTGGCGTTTATGCAAATTATCACGCAAGCCACTCGATTGATCACATCATGAATCCAAAAAATTAGACAGTTATTCCTTAATTAAAATACAGTGGTGTAGATAATGGCATCTGTGGCTAAATCGGTAGCGTGTCGGACTGACAATCTTGGGGTCGTGAGTTCAATCCCCGGCATTGGGTGATGTCAGATTTTCCTTAGAAAATGAAGCCGTGCACTATTTTGGCATAGTGTGCTTACGCTATATAATTTCTTTGAACACTATGCAATAATACATGTAGTTAGGTATTGATTATATAGAGGCAAACTGACAGGAAGCATAGTAATAGGCAATAGATGAGCATACATTTCCTTAGATGCTGGGAACAGCTGATTCAAAGCCAATGGCTGAGGGCAATAGAACAAAACGATCTGTTCAAAGTACTAAGGGAAATATATTCTGATCTATTGCCTGATTAGTATTTGATAACTGTTTTACATGTAGGCCATTGGCCTTGGGAAATAGAAAACATTGAGCTTTCAAAAAACCTCAAGAAATATATTCTGATCTACTGGTTGATCAGGCGTTAAATAACTGTATAATAAATTATAAAGAATGTTTAAAAAAACAGCAAAAAACAGTTTCAGTTAAATAATGAAATTTATTAATATACATTCTACTACAGTTATTGCCAAGATCAAAGAAATGCTGCTGACATAATTCTCCAATAAATCATGTACATCATCAAAAAATTATCAGATCAGAAACACATATCAAACCTGTACAGTTGAAATGAATATTTGAGTTTAGAATGTAATACTTTTTTGGACCACATTGACATGTTGTCTTCTTTAGTGTAAATTGCCCGAAGTACATGTAGCTGATAAATGTCTGTTTTTAAAGCTAAATAGTTCTGTTCCACGGACCTCCCCACAACATTTACACTCTGGGATTTTACTGAGAAAGCAATAAAATATACAACTGATTTGATACTTTACATTCATAAAAATTAATCAATTTATGTTACAAACAAATTTATAAATTATTAAAGGATATTTTTTAATCCGACAAAAGCTCAAATCATCTGCATTCAATACACAAGTAAACACACAAATTGACCCTCTGGTGTTAAGTGGAACAGCTAATCGACACATGGTGACCTAATTAATTTCTTTTTATAGGAAACAATCAGCCGTACTTTAGAGTTGTTAGTAGAGTAAAGTTCATTTTATATTTCAAACAACATTATCCACCTTGGAGGTTATCCTGCAACATTCACGAAAATGCAAACTTTATTTCTTAAGTATACCTTATCTTCTTTACACCCGGAGTTTTAGGAGTCAAGCTGCCTGAATATGATAATGATTATAGAATCCTTGCCAAACTGTATCAATTTGGTCACATACAAGTTCCATTCCCAATGGTACTAATGTGGTCATAGCCTGAGAAACTCATGATACTTAGGTGACCTTCAAGGCCCATGGTCCTCTTGTTTTTCAGAAAATATTATCAGTAGTTTAACACTGCAATAAAAGAAACAAACTGACCTTTTATTAATTTTTTTAATTACTTTTGCAAAAGTATGGGGACATTAAATCTCCTTAATTATCCATCTGTCTTTCTGTCCCTCCATCTGTCTGTCATTCTGTGTATCACAAAAACTTTTAACATCATTAGTCATAACTTTTGAATGAAAGAAGATATGGCTTTCATATTTCTCAAGACATATTTATTACCTATGACAAAATTTTCCTGAATATATCATGACTTTTGACCTTTTGACCAAGTCCTCAAAGTTTGACCTACTTTTCATTTGTTTGTTTTTTTTTTTTTGTTTTTTTTTTTACATTCATTTGGTTTTACTTTTGCTATTAAACTTTGAATGAGAAAAAATCAAGGCTTTCATATTTACATGTGCATTACAAGTGAAAAGACCATTTGCATATCTTGATCTTGGAACTTTTACCTACTTTTCAAAATGTTAACATTTGTAATAACTTTTGAATGAGGGAAGATAGATATTTCACATATGCATTACTAATGATGAGACCTTTGTAAATGTACCGTACTGTGATTTTTGACCTTATGACCTTACCTTGAAGTTTGATGTAGTTTTCAAAAACTTTAATTTTGCATGGCCATAACTTCTGCACCAGAACATACTGCTTAAAAAATCTAACACTTTTTTGCATGATACACAGACAAAACAGGACAGAAAAGGCAGTTACAATATGTCATAAATCACTGCACCTCAAAGAATAAGACCCAAAAGTGGAGGACCACAGTTCACTGAATTTGTTTGTTTTTAATTGAAAATGTATGTACCATTGATTTGGTTATATTTAGTTTTGGTATTGAATTCAATCCTCGCAGTACTATAGATTATATACTTTAAATTGATTCTACATATAAAGTTGTATATCTATTCTGTATTTCAGTATGAAAAAGGGATGCCAAAGCTTAGCCAAAATGCAGAGGACATAAAGGTCGAGGATTTGGATAAAAGAATAAAAAACAAAGGACCTTTGTATGAATTTATTAAATATTTCACAAAAGGGAACAATGAAATCATTGCTAAGTTAAGTTTACAAGATTATTACATTTTGAGTACTGCAGAAGAACTGTTATGTGAGAGTGATCCAAATTCCGAGTGGACTTACCGATATCCAGAGGATATCAAAGACTCTGCAACAGATCAGCCAACAGTTGCCTCAAATCCTGTGACACAAAATGTCACTGGTGATAATATAAGGAACACTTTTCAGGGTAAACCAAGTACTCAGGAAACATTGAACAAAGCTGGGTCAACTGTAAAGAGAAATGACCAGGAGAACAAAGTTCAAGGACATATGAAAGTTAATCCAGATTCAGTCACTAGGCCTACAGGTAAATATCTGTAACATTCAGTGTTCATCATATCTGCTAATGAAATTACAGTGTAAAAATTCAAATACTACAAATAAACCAGGATCAGAAATCTTCAGTGGTAGACATTGTTTTTTTTTAGTCTTTGTTTTCCAAATACAGATTTTAAACCAGTCAGTAAGGTCTTGCACAGACAGAACAACATTCCAGGGGATGAGAAGCAGAGACATGTTCCCACGGAGAATCGGAATATAAATACTAAACCTGCCGGCAGAAGATTGGAAAGACAGAATAGTAACCCACAGAATGAGGCATTTGGAGCAATTCCAGAACCAGGGGACCGCAGGGTGACAGATTGGAGGACGCCCTACTCAGATCTACATAAAGCTTGGAGTTTCCAGACCTCACAGATAGAGGAACTCACCAACAGGCAAGTAACATGGCAATACACTTCAAGAGGTGAACACAGTACAATACTTTATTAGATGAAGAATGTCAGCTGTTGAAATCATTATATCTAGAAACAAAGAAATCTACAGTAAAACATGGCAACAGCAAACCTGCTTATAATGAATTCATGCTTACAGTGAACTGATTTTCATTCCCTGTAGTTTTATTGGACTAATTAGGGCCCCGCAAGGATTTGCGGGTGCCCTATAGTAATCACTCTGTCTGTCTGTCCGTCTAGCTGTCTGTCTGTCCGTCCATCATTCTTCCATCCACAAATTTTCTGTTTTTTCTAATTACATTTTTTAGGGTTGACCAATTAAGTTCAAATTTGATATGTTGGTTGAATAGGCAGTAAGACATATTTTGATGCTAAGTTTGGTTCTCTATGTCATTCGGTTTGGAGCTGGGGTGGTGGGGTAGATTCCTTATCTTTATATAAGAGTGAATGGGCAGAGAGAGATAACTGCTGAGAATGTTCCTATTGTAAACTATGAAAGGCTGCAATGAGTCTCTTGGGATTAATTAACTTTCCTCTTGAAGAAAATCCAAAGCATTTATCTTTATCTGTCACATTGAGATTAAATAGCACCTCTGTCTGCAAATGAAGTTTGTTTTGAAGTTAAGGTCAATTCTGAATGATGTTAACATTCTCTGAAATGTGGATTTAAATACTGTTCATACTTTATTTTGGTAAAATACACAATGAGTTATGATTTTATTGGATTCTAAAAGCAAGATATAGATAAAGATATCTTTTTTATTATTTTTTTTCTTTTTCTTCCTTTTTTTTCTGCCGTATGTAAATTCAAGAATACTATTTATTTTAACAGGTATTAAGATAATAATCTCATTCTATCATTGCTGAAAAAGTTCTTATTGTAAACTTAGAAGTAAAGGTTGAGAGAGCAGTATAATTAATCCCCTGGGATTGATTATCTTGCTGGCTGCAGAAAATTTTAGATGGTTATCTTTCTGTCACTTTAAGATTAATTAACACCTTTGTCTACAACTGATGTTTGTTTTGAAGCTAAGGTCAAGCCTGGGTGACATTTGCATTCACAGAAGGCTGGCCTTTTTAGAAAACACATGCTTCATTCCTCTTAAAATATACATTTAATTGAGTTATTATAGATATGGTGTTTTTTTACTGCCTTATGTAAATACAAGGATACTATTTACAGGTTGTTGGATATTTAGCAGTTGCTGTTGCTTATTCTTCATTATATTTAATTGAACAGTCAGGTAATCACTGCCCCGCAGGACCTGACATGCATTGTTACTTGATTCTTTTTACACATAGGGTCATCATGATCTTTCCTTGGTGCCAGCTTTACAATAGACAACAGCTGTATAATTTTCATTACATTTATTAAAGACTTGAACAAAAACATGTACAATCTTACATTACTCATAACTGTGATGGACATCAGGGAATTGGCATTAAATGGCCGCATTGCATAAATGTACAATCAAAAAATAGGGTCCAGGAGGGATAGCTGGCATACCGACTAATAAGCACCGGGCAAAACCAGTGGCCCTGTGTTGGTCACAGATGCCCGAGATCCCAAATTTAGGTACTAGACATTAGGGACCGAGAGATTTGCGAGCACATCTGTATACCCTGCTTCCGGTGATTGCTTCTGGTCAGCAGTACTTTTACACCCAAGTACTCCAGTACTAAGCCTCCCCTCCTGTTACAAGAGGTGGAGGGGGCCCCAGGCCTGCAGACTTGGCTACAACCCCAATCGAAAACTTTTTACTTGTCTTTTTACTTGACTTTTATTACACATTGCCATAGGTTGGATACTTTGTAGACAACCTGTCTACCCAACAATGTGCCCACCAACTTGTCTGATGGCTGGGCAGGGAAACAACGAGCCAGATGTGTTCACAACCCTCCCACTCATCCCTCCGGACCCTCCCCCCTTAAATACAATGCGACAAGGGTTTTGAAAAGGTCTTACAATATTGTGGCTAGTAGAAATAGACTATAAGATAGACATGTTAACCACTGTCACTATCAGTTAGTTTAATCACAAGTCTTGAATCACTGTTCCGGACTGGTTTTTGTGCACAAAATTGGATTGGCTGTCCTTTCTACGCATCAATCCCTATGAGCTGGATTTCCTGTTGGTACCTGTTTGTTGTTGAATATATGAAAAGCAAAAGATCTGGCAGCAGATTACTGCAATTTGGTGGTATTTTCATTGGCCAATGATTGCATTGGCTAATGATGGATAACTCTTTCATATTGATGATAGGTTTGGGATATTTTGGTAGAATTTTCTTGAAGTTTTATGGAATATATGAGATGGCATAAGGAATGTTTGAATCAAATAGTATGAAATTACATCTACAAAAAGGGGGTGGGTGGGTGGGTAATAATTTTGATGTGGATCTCCTGCCTCACTCTGTTGCTGGATGGCGGGAAAAGGAAGTGCTACCCAATTAATCAACTCGTACCAATATGAGTCTTTTTCCTTTTGGATTATAACCAATTCGTTCCACTATTAGTTTTAACGATATTGTAATGTGCTTCCGTCAATTAAATGAGATTAATTTGGTATAAGGGCAAATTAATCTGCCTTAATTGAACAGTCAGGTAATCACTGCCCCGCAGGACCTGACATGCATTGTTACTTGATTCTTTTTACACATAGGGTCATCATGACCTTTCCTTGGTGCCAGCTTTACAATAGACAACAGCTGTATAATTTTCATTACATTTATTAAAGACTTGAACAAAAACATGTACAATCTTGCATTACTCATAACTGTGATGGTCATCAGGGAATTGGCATTAAATGGCCGCATTGCATAAATGTACAATCAAAAAATAGGGTCCAGGAGGGATAGCTGGCATACCGACTAATAAGCACCGGGCAAAACCAGTGGCCCTGTGTTGGTCACAGATGCCCGAGATCCCAAATTTAGGTACTAGACATTAGGGACCGAGAGATTTGCGAGCACATCTGTATACCCTGCTTCCGGTGATTGCTTCTGGTCAGCAGTACTTTTACACCCAAGTACTCCAGTACTAAGCCTCCCCTCCTGTTACAAGAGGTGGAGGGGGCCCCAGGCCTGCAGACTTGGCTACAACCCCAATCGAAAACTTTTTACTTGTCTTTTTACTTGACTTTTATTACACATTGCCATAGGTTGGATACTTTGTAGACAACCTGTCTACCCAACAATGTGCCCACCAACTTGTCTGATGGCTGGGCAGGGAAACAACGAGCCAGATGTGTTCACAACCCTCCCACTCATCCCTCCGGACCCGCCACAGACATCGATATGATGTTCCTCCATTACTTTACATTAGGGGATACTTTTCCCTTCCCTTGAATGAGAGACCACAATCCACTTTTTACGTTATTTAAGAAAGTTCTGTTGCCAAGCTCGGAGAGGTGGGTACCATCATTTTTAAATTTTTGTAATCAAGTAAAATTCTCATCCCCTAATCTGCAACCATATATTTCTGCCCCTCGGTGGGGCCCTTGCTGGCTGGTCAGATTTCTAGTTATTTTATCATATTGTAACAGATAATGTTCATGAAGAATCAAAATTCAAAATTATTCATCCCTGGCACTTAGCATTAAGTGTGTTGTACTGTATGTCATGACAGGGTGCATGATAACTCATAAATAATTCCCTTATTTTTTTTCTGGAATTCACTTCAATATTTGATATTTTCTTGTAGACTAAGCAGTTTTGCAAGTAAACAGTTGACGGAGGGAAATGCTGCATTTACAGACCTAAGTGACAAAAACAGACCCACAAAGATCGGTGAAAAATTTGGACTGATCTATGATGATGAATGGTCAGAAGTGTTTGATGAACTCAAAGATAGCGGATTTAATGATGAGGATATAATCTCAAAACTACAAATAATGGTGGAGGTATGTCAAAAAATATTATAAATTAATCAAACTTTGAAATATGTTATTGTTTAAAACAAGGAAACATATTAGGTTTAAGCTACATAATGTATCATACTACAGTCAAACTAGTATCAAGAACTTTATGGGACCAAGAAACAAGAGGTCCATAGGCCATTACACTCACATGAGTCACCTTTGCCCAGCTGTCCTTCAGAAATAGATTGTTTTCTCTCTTTATTCCTATGAGAATTTTGACCCCATATTGTGAGCACACCCAAGCCACAAGGTCAATTACTACTAAACCAAGAATCCTTACAACATGGGGGTGCATCAGTATCAATACAGTAAAACTTGTACAAACACAAATATTAACTCACTGATTTTTTTTGGGGGGGGGGGATTGCTGGCAGAATTTTTAACAATTCCTAGTAAAGTTTTATTGTCATAACAAACTCCGTTATAACAAATTTACAGAGAAAGTATTTTAGTGTCACCCAGGGGCCATGATTTGAACAATCTGAATCTGCAATACCGGTACATTGGAACGCTTGCATATTAATGTGACTAAACATGGCAAAATGGTTCTGAAGTAGAAGATTTTTAAAGATATTTTTTATATATTCTCAGGTAAAATTTTGATCCCCAGTTGTGGCCCAACCTTAGCCCCATGATTCAAACTCACTTAAATCTGCACTACATGAATATGCTTGCAAAATAATATGACCAGTCATGATCCCACTGTTCTTAAGAAGAGTTTTAAAGATTTTTTTCATGCCAGGGTATAAATTCACATGTAAAACTTTGATACTCTATTATGCCCCCCCCCCCCCCCCCCACCTCAAGGGGCATTCTTTACCCAAGGATGCTTTTTGGTTAGTTGGACCAGTGGTTACAGAGAAGTAGTAATGAAAAGTTAACACACAGATGAACAGCTGGATGGATGAACAAGCAGATAGACACAGAAAAGCTCACTTGATTCATTTGTTCAGATGAGCTAAAACTTTATCCAAGGATTCATGATTTTAAGGTTAAAATACCTAGAGAAAAGGTGTTTGGGATGTGGGACTTCCAACTCGCTTTGGCATATCCATGGTGTTTAAGATAACAAAGTTCAAGATACCAAAGTTTGACTGTATATATGTTTTTTGTACTTTCCACTTAGGTCAATGTGATGTAGTGAAATGTGTACATTGTATCATGATTGTAATTTTGATACCCCTATAATAATTGCTGTACATGTACTGTGTTTATCTTATTTTTTTCCTTTCTCTTTTTTGCAGTATGGCTATGATTTTTGTTTTAAAAAAGCTCTGGAACAATTGCAGGATCTTGAACAAGCCATGAAGATTCCAATTCTCCAACCATTTCACACCAAACAAACCCTACATGTGAGTACATGTTCAAAATTACATAGGATGCACTTTTGTACAGTAAAACCTAATGTTGGTCATCTAATCTCCAGGTGATCATTAAAGTTGCATTGTTCCTTTATAGAGTTTTACATGTACTCAACTTGGATTTTTTTCATTTTATTCATGATCAAGGTTCCAAAGGATATGGCCAAAATACTGACAGCAGCCACAGTAAAACATGCAAAAGAGTACAGAAAGGTCACAGCCTCTATTTCATCTCCAGAAGTTTGCAAGGTTTGTGAATACTGATAATAATAACATCTGTACTACTTCATTGTATTATACCTCTGCCAAATAAGTAGTCTCATAAAACCATTGAAGTTGACCATTACTTAGATGATGATTTGATCAGATTATGGGCATAGCTAGGAGAAAATGACTTGGACAAAGACATAGAGGTGTGGGATCTAGGGATGAAACTTATTTTGCCAAGCATTTTGTAGACAATATTATTGTAGACATTAAAGAGCGATACATATATATGATTATCTGATCTTTTAAAACTCTTATACAATATGTTCTAATATGGTGGTGAAACTTTTTCTGTCATTTTGATCTACAGAATTTAACACAACCAGATATTGAATAATTATGCTAATAACCAAAATAGTTGGTTAACTTTCAATCTTTATCAATTCCAAAATCTTTCTCTCTCTCTTTCTGTGATTATAACAATTTTTAAATTAAACATTTTTTTAATAAAAAATAATGTGTGTTTTTGAATATAGGAAGCTATGCCCCTGCAGATGCAAAATATGTACTGAAATGTGAAATGTTTGCTTTGGGGGGGGGGGGGGGGGGGGGTTGCAATCAGATGATTTGCAAAGTTAACTCCCCCTGTGAAATATTCTTATATCCTTACTATAAGGCTTATACTGTACAATGTATAAAATTATTATGATAAATCATTTTTCCTCATTTTTGCAAAAATATCCCCAGGCAGAAAATTTGGCAAACAAAAATGGCAAAGCAGTGATAATAGTAATTTCATCAATTTCTGTTTATTTTTATTTTTTGAAGGTATTCTTCAGAGAAGAAGCAGACTTTATAGAGAGAACTTTCCAGAAAAGCTCTTCTGCATCCAAACTGAAGGCTTATATAGAGGCCTGTATTGAACAGATGTGGCTAATGTGTGTGCAGGACCCACAGATGGTCATAGAATTCGCTGTTCCAGGTACCCCCATAGACAAGGAACTGTTCAAATTCTATGACAAAAAAGGGATTATTGTACATCTAACGGTTTGGCCTGTTGTTTACCTTCATAAAGGAGGACCCATCGTCAGCAAAGGATATGTCCTACCTAAATAGTCCCAAAGTCTGTACCAAAGGAGTGTTTCTGTGTAAACTGGGCTTAATATACATGTATTACATCATGTTATGAACTTACAGTAAATACTGAAAAATTTAATATTGTAAAGTCTTTATGTTAAAGGCAGTGTACAGTTGAACTTGTAAAAAAAAAATCTGCACACAGCAAGGTAATATTCTCACACCAGGGAAAACTAGGTGAAATACATGTAACTTAAAAATATAAAAGCATACCTGGTAATTTTGGTTATCCTTGACTTTACTGACAATGTATGAAAGGAGAATTCGAAATTTTTATTTAGATGACCATTTTTTATACAGATCTACTACCCTGGTAATAAGGGACTGTTTGTAATGTAATTTCAGTATAGATCTACTGTTATATGTACTTGCATGGGCCATGGCTCGATCATTAATATAAGTTTTTGCAAGGAAATATAATGTTTTTTGGGGGGTAATGTATATTTTCATCAGGCATAAGTGTATTGGAGATTAAACAGGGGTTTGTTAAAAAAATCTAGTCAAGAAAGAGAAAACAGGACAGGCAGCTATAAGGTGTGCATTCTGTAGAAGATAATAAGATGATAATGATAATTTTGTATAATAATTTTATTTCACAGAAAACAAATATTTTCTGGGAATTTTATTTATTTTTTTTTTTTTTTTAGAAATGAAAGATGCATTTCCATGTATTTGTACTTTTTAAAATAAAATATATACATATATATATTTTGGGTTCTTTAACTTTCTAGAAATCTGCTATGGAATACAAGTGAAAGAATGAAGGCACATTTGATTTGGATTCAGCAAGAATCTGGGTGCACTTGAAAAGTGATAATTTCATTGATCCATCACATTATATTTTAGCAATCCATTGATATATTGGGTTACTGTGAAACAGGAAAGGGAATTTTTTTTTCCTGATATTGTTTTTTAATTTGCTGACTAGATGAAACATTTGGTACAAAATGTTGGGTTTGTCAGTTTGAAACCCAAAGAATGTGGGTGTACAAGCAGAGGACAGTTACCCGCTCTGAGATAATTTATTGCTCAATTTCCAAAGTTTATGGAAACGTTATATTTTTCAGAAACTTTGTTGTTAATAATGTCACCTTGGACACATTTGATTCATTTAATTTATTGAATAACTTATTGGATGATAATTTGTATTTTAAGTTGACTGTCAAAACATATTTCTTGGAAAATGGGTCTATAAGGGCCATTAGTAATGATTTTTGAATATGAAAGAGTCAAGTCTCCATTCTACATAAACTTTTAATAATGGAAAAATGACAGGAAAATGAATGCAAAATCTTTTTGTGTTTAAAAAAAAAAAGGAGTCTGAATGCATTCTTTGATTATGAAAATCTGAAAAATGTATGCTTCAACAAACTCGATTATTCTTTTGCATTTGTTTTTAAAATATTGTATTGAATACATAAAGTGGATATACTGACTGTGATATATAAACTGTATTATTTGTAAGATAGATCAATAAAAGATGCAAAAAAAAAAGTAAAAGAAGTTTAATATTATGCCTTGAAAAGAATTTTGGAGTGAATTTAGATCATGTATGAGGCTCTTTTTTTCTTTCTTATACCTTAAAACATAACTGGAAAAAGAAATATTTTATACCCCCAAAAAATTCAATAAAATGAGATGATATTGACATCACAATTTTTTGAAAAATATAGCTTTTTTGATGAATTTATAGAATTGCAAAATATTTTGTCTTTGGGGGTGGGGGGTGGGGGGCTTTGCCTTGTACACCTCCTTTCTTCTGGATTTTGTTATGATCGATATCACAGTGGTATATGAATTATGATGAATTATGATATCTGTCCATGACAGTGAGGAATCTATTATTGTGTTTTTAGGTGATCTATTGCCATCTGTTTTTGTCCATTGTGGTGCCTTGTTCAATGTGTTTGTTTATTGTTGTTTAACATCCCTCTCGAGAATTTTTCACTCATATGGAGACGCCACCACTTGCCGGTGGAGAGCTGCAAATTTTTTACTTATACTCGGCACTCAGGGCCATTGAGCAGTGAGGGATCTTTTTCGTGTCAGCACCTACTGCGACACAGGACCTCGGTTTATACGGTCTCATCCGAAGGACCGGTCTCCATGTCCCACAGTGGGATTCGAACCCGCGACGTAAGATCAACTCCTTACTCCGCGACTCTAGAGCGAATGCTCTAACCACTGCGCCACGCAGGCGACTTGTTCAATGTGTGTTGTCCATTAACATTTGAACATTTTCAGCTTTTTCTTTGAAACTACTGAACCAATTTCAATCTATTTTGGCATACAGCATATATGAGTGAAGGGAACAAAATTAATGAATTTCATGGTCCCTGCCTCCCCCCCCCCCCCCTCCCCCCCTCTGGGGACTGAGGGGTTGGGCTAAAACCATCAAAATTAGTACTATCTTTTGAATTCTTCTTCTTTACTCCTGGCCATCAAGTAGTTGAATTGTTGTCATGATTGTAATAAGCGTTCAACCCTCTACCAAAGTTGTGAAATTCATGACCCCAGGGTCAGGGGTTCTGGAGTTAGGTTGGGGCTATTAGATCATATATTGAAAATGCATAAATTCTTGAAAATTTTTTTCCTCTCCCCATCATATATTAAGCATATAAACTAAATGCATAGTTATGATGAGCAAGGGTGCATCTTCCCAAATTGTGAAATTTGTGGCCCCGGGGCAGGGGTTCTGTTCGTGGGGGAGGGGCTTTATTTGATTATATAAAGAAAATACATTAACTCTTTGAAAATGTTCTCTGCTTCTGATGTTTAGCAAAACAAATGTAGTGCATAGTAATGTTGAGCATGGGTGCCTCTTCCATAATTGTGAATTTCATGGCCCCAGGTGTTAGAACAGGGCTTTATTGATTATATTAGTGGAAATGCATTATTTCTTTGAAAATCTTCTCTTTGCTCGTGGGTATTTAGCAAAAAAAAAAAAACCTAGTGCATAGTCATAATGAGTGCATAGTCGTAATAAGCAAGGATGCCTCTTCCAAAAGTGTGAATTTCATGGCCTGGGTCAGGGGTTCTGATGTTAGGATGGATCTCTATTGATAATACATTGAAAATGCATTAATATAAAAGGTTAAGATAACAAACAGTAATCAATCTCAAAAAATCCACAACCAATACAAATATGTGAAGAGGGCACAAAACATGGACCCCTGGAAATTCCAGAGGTGGGATCAGGTGCCTAGGAGGAGTAAGCATCCCCTGTTGCCTGGTTACACCCGCCGTTAGCCCTATGTATTGATCAGGTAGACGGAACTATCCATAGTCAATTCAGTACAAAAACAAAGGCCTAACAATTGATATGAAACAAGTCAGTCAAAATACGACCCAAAGATAGGTTATACTAACAAGGTCATTATAACGACCATAAAATTGACAAAATGCTGACTTTAAACGAGGCTGTTGAAATCCCTGTAACATCAACTTATCAGTGAGTAGCCTGTCTTGCTTTAAAAACTGATAATACTCAGAGCAAGCTCTTTAGTAGCAAATAAGTTGGGAGACATAAACACCATAAGCAGGTGATAGTGGAATATTACTACATAAATAAGGAAAGTTGACAATGGAAAAGCTGAAGTCATCTCGTTTGTAATACAATTTAGTTGTTATTTAGCCTTTATCATCTATAGACAATAATAGTCAGTAAAATATTAAGAAACAGATATGGCAGACAGCTCTGTGGTGTTTATTATTTCAAGTGTTCAGGTGCTGGGCAGGGCTCTGTTAATTTGAATTCTACTGAGAGAAGTTGTTCCCCTTTGTTATTCACCTATGATAATTAATCACTGTAAATAGTGTAATTGAAAGGCCAATTTGATTAGAGGTTTATACAAGAATTTTCATAATATATAATACAAAAAGTACACCATAGTTTTTACTGGTCACGTTGACTTGTTAATTATAGATAAATAGAAATGAGACAAAAATACCTATCTTTGTACATTTACTGTTCTTCATAGACCAAGAGAGGCCAGTGTGAGAGGGATTGAGATGAATTTTACCAATAGTGCTTAAGTATTATTGTTTTGTTTATTTTCAAGATACTAGTTACAAATGGGGGGGGGGGCAGGCAAGTAAATAGATCTAGTCTAAGATTTATTGAGGAGTACTAGACTAATTATTTTGTTGATCCCTAATCATGTTATTTCTCTTGCTTTTGGGCAACATAGTCCAACTTTCAACTGTTTTATTTTATACTTCTAAGGATCCTTTACAGTGTTGTATTTATATTCAGGTAATTGTTAAGGCCCTTAAGCCACTTGTTTTTTGGTTCAATCCTCAACAGCATGGAGCTTTTCTTTATTATTTCTTTCTTTTTTTTTTTTACAGACCACCAAGTAGTCTGTCAGTTTGATTTTATATACCGATGTATTAACATTTTGAAATAAAGTTAAATTGTTACTCTCTTGCACCGAGAGTGAAAGCCCGATCCTTTCCACCTATTGCAAATTAAGGACAGATGATGCAAACAATTTTTTTCTTTGGAGGAGACTTAATATCATGTCAGTTTTAGAAAAGTGGATAATTCTTTGAATATTTCTCCTTAGACTCGGAGAATGAAATACCTTCCATATTTCCCCCAACAAGTACACAACTAGAGTAATCATGGTAACATTGTTTAAAAATCATTCATTTACCCTCTTTTTTTCTTCAAAAATGTTTCTAAAGGAGCACAGAGTGAACTGATATTACATTTACTCAATAACCTGTTGTATTTTCTTGCAAAAAAGAAAGACACTTGGGAAATTTTAGTTGATACTTCAATAAAATTAGAAATACTGGACAAATCACACCCAGTAAAGGTTTACAGATGAAAATAAATTTCATAATATGTTAGCTTGGTGCTAAAAGTGTAATATAAACTTTAGATAAATATACCAAGTCAGGTGAATTTTATGAGGAAAAGCAAAATGGTAAAAATTAGCCTATGTGCTGATTTTTACAATTGTTTGTATCATCTGTCCTTGATACATTTACATTTAACTATACCCTATTTGGCCTATTATTTGAACGTGTTTTTTTTTTATTAATAATCATGTGAAGTGTTACTACACTGCATGTTATCGTAACAAGCCAAATATAACCATCTTCTTTGTAAATTAGATGTGTGTATTATTTCTCTCTCTCTCTCTCTCTCTCTCTATATATATATATATAAATTCTTGTGTCTTTTTAATGGAGGGGGGGCACATTCAGGATAACAATGGAAAAGACCTGTATGACCAGGATTTATAAACAATGCAATTCGTCGCACCTCATCATTTGTAATTTTAAGAGTTATCAAAACTGAAAGGTTTACTGCAAAATAGATGAAGATATTCCACAGAATGGTAAAGAAAGTATGAACACGAAATGAATCGAGATACGTTTACGACAAGGCTCCGGGGCCTTAAAATTTGACAAACTCACTTTTTGATCTCAGTCTCACTTTTACGAAAGAAAATTGTGGAAAAGTAGGATTGAGATCAAAAGTGAGCTCACCAAAGTTTTATGGCCCTGGAGTCAGAAGAGCTCATGCGATGCGTCTGTCGTCCGTCTGTCAAATCGTCTGTTTGTCTCAAAATATAATTACTACTGTTTTCAAAAGTAGAGCTCACTATGATCGCGGTTTTTTATTTCGATGAGCGGTGTTGCCTTGGTTACTAAAGATAGAATTTTGTGTGAAATTCCTTCAAAACGCTACTCCTCCTACAGTTTTGGTCCGATTTCAGTAAACTTTCTACACAAGCAAACTGCACCAAGATACATAATTCTGTGTATAGGTTTCTGATTGTGACACCCGGTGTTGTTATCATTGCTGAAAATTAGGGATGTCAAAATATTTATTTTCCTTAGTCAATTATTCGATTTTTTTTTATTCGAATAAAAGTCGATTATTCGGAACATTTCAGATGAGAACGACGAAGGCCATCAAATTTCTGTTGTGAAAGACACATACATTGTTTTAATAACTATCAATGCCATAGTGATACCTGCATATTAGTGCGTACTTATCAAGCTTGTTTGTTTGACTACCAGGTGCTTAGAGGTTAAAGATTATTATTCGTCTTACTTTTCAAGCTTAATTAAGGATGAAAAAAATATTATAGTATAGTGACGTTAACAATCTTTAACAAGCTATTGTTTCTTTAGTTACATGTACCCCGGTAGCTCTCAATAAAATAGCCAAGGAATAATAGTTGAGAGTGTATTATGTAAAAAAGTCCTTGCAAAGTCATCACTTTTTAGAGTCAGGTGCTATTTGGGATTAATTAAATCCGTATTCCTTAAAGGTAAAATAACACCTCTCCGAAAAACGTTTAATGAATTCCAATAAATCGCACTGGTCAATAGACAACATCTATTGTGGCCAAGATAGCAAAATATTTTGTTCGGTGGACACAAACAATTGACTCAGACCTTTAAAATATAAAACAGACACATGTTGACCATTTGAATCGGACAGTCCAAAGAGATGGCAATTACAAAATTAAGGGTGCTTTTGGTAACGAGTTCATTTTTGTTGAATTTTACAGTCGCCAATAGAACAGCAACGGAGCAGCTATATACCGATTTATTGCAGAATTACAACCCGTATATCCGACCTAACACGAACCAGAACCAGCAGACGATTGTGGAGACGACCTTGCATCTACTATCTGTCAATGGCCTGGATGAACTCTCTGGTACCCTGTCGACCGTGGTCTATATAGACATGTCGTGGAAAGACAATCGAATGGTATGGAACAAAACAGACTATAGTAACACTTGGCAGATTTTATTTCCACAAGACTTGGTATGGAAGCCGGACTTAGTCGTCACTAATCCGGTAAGAAAAGTTAGGAAGATTGGATTTGAGGATATCATGATACGCTATAAAGATGACGGTTCAGCCGAGTGGTATACTGGTGATTACTTAGAAACGTCATGTGACATTGACGTCACACACTTTCCGTTCGATCGGCAGGTATGTACGATTGAGATGATTCCTTGGAACTACAGACAGCGCGAGCTGCAAGTACGCATTTCGCGAAATGAAGTGAATCTTGACAACTATACAGAAAACGGGGAATGGATACTCTACAACACAGCCGCCGAGAGATATGGAGATGGTCCCTTCGAATACATCTACTTCAAGCTATACATGGAGCGCCGGTCCTCCTTCTTCATCATCAATCTTTTCATTCCTGTTGTGATGTTGGGTTTTCTTAACTGCATGGTGTTCTTGCTTTCGGCAGATTCCGGGGAGAGAATTGGTTACGCCATCACATGTCTGTTGTCGATCACTGTCTATCTCACCTTAGTTTCCGACACAATTCCGAAAACATCAAAACCACTGTCAGTTTTGTCGTTTGTTTTGATGCTTTTACTTATTCTGTCTACAATAATTTGTTTTTTGACCATCATCGGTCTCAGATTCCATTTTCGAAAAGTAGAAAAACCATTGCCAGGGTGGCTTAGCAAAGTGACAAAAGCTTTAAGATTTAAAAAATGTAAAAAGGGGTGTCGGTCTCTGTTGAAAAAGTCGAACTGTCGAGGACGTAGAATAGGATCGGCAGAAAATCGACAAACCGACCCAAATACAGAATTAAATTCAAGACGGATGTCACAACAGGTGGACCACAAAAAACCTATGGTGTCGTTAGTTGGGAATTCTGTAGAGGGAGGGCCAAAGTCTGGGGTCTACAGACGGTCTTTTCGAGTGGATGATGAATCGGGAGTTATATATGAGGATTACGCAGAAGGGGAACTTCCGAAATATGAACTAGAAACGTGGAAAACCTTCGCCAAACTATTTGACAAAATTTGTCTCGCTGTGTGTCTCGGTACAATATTTGTGTTAGGAGCCATTTACGTCATGATTTCTAGCGGACGACTTGCAGTGTAAAAAATACACCGTTTGAAAACTACATAATTATGTATGCAGCAGCTCTGTTGTCATGGATTTATATTTCATACTGTGAGTCTAGTTTTACAAATATATCCCACTTTCCCGGATTTGTTTTTCACTAAGAACAGGATGGCATGGATTCTTGTTGATGGAATTTATTTACAACATGCATATCACAGCAAATACAGAAGTGAACAAGCAAGAATTAACAGAAATTGCACAACGTATATTGCATGATGTATCTAAATTAAATCCCTTTAAATTTCGTTCAAAACGCGTTTTTTTGTGTTCATCGATTGGTATATATATATATATATATATATATATATATATATATATATATATATATATATATATATATATATATATATATATTATAATAATAATAATAATAATAAATTTCTAAATGATTTTTGTTTATTCTTTGAAAAATGAGTTTTGTTTTTACATGTATCATCACGATCATGAAAGTGCAGCCAAACCACCAATTAATGTTTACTCGAACCACGCGTGAATACCTGATACATGGAAAATTCGTACACAAATAAATGCTCGACGTGCCGCCAACCTGAGAGAGAAATTTTCGGAAATGCTTTCTTGTATATTTTATAATACATTAATTTGTATTTAATGGATATATATATGTATGTATCACAGATAGAAATGGAAAATATTAAAAACAGGTGCTGATAAAAAGGCATATTCATTCAGCTTCGTACATGTATTTAATGCATAACAATGTAATTTGTGTAATTTGTCTTAAATACTGGCTTTTTCATGAATTTGTTACAAAATTCCATATAAATCCCGGATGTAATTTATAAAATTTCCTTTAAGTATATGAATATTTTACCAGGGAAGTCGGTTCTCTTCGAGATGTAAATGGAAAAAATATCACAATTATGCAATCAATGATATCACAGACCTTTTTACGCCGAGGTCAGGATATATCACAGATGTGTAATCACAGTATTTAATATAGACATTTTTACTCCTGTTGGTTAATACGAGCCAGTTCCTCTGCCAGCAGTGATTTAAAGGCATCATTATCACCCCCATTCTCGGTTATCTCCTGTTCGGTCCTCTGGGTAAGATTTCCATCCGTGCCACCCTCCTCTGTTTGTTCCCCTCCCGTCTCGTTCTCTTGTTTGGCATCATCTCCCGCGGTCATCTGCGTTGGCTCCGGTTTCTGCTCCTCGCCTTCCGGTAAGTATGAGTCCCGGGACTCCATCAATTCGGAAGAGTCCTTCCTGCGTTCACTAGATTTTGGTTCATTGTCCTCCTCAATTTTCGAAGTCTCTCCACCTTGTTGCTCGATAAAATTTTTCAGGTCTGTATTGACAATCTTGTCATTTCCTGTGATTGTTGAAGAAGGCGATACGTTACCACCAATAGAGGGATCAACGCCGGCGGATCCAAACTCTGTGTCCGTGTCCCCATCAGCTGTAATTCTGCCGGTCACGGAGCTTTGTACAGATAAATTCTGTTCTCGTGTGTTGATAGTTCCTAAAACGTAGAGAAAGACTGGATCAGAATTATAGACAACAAAAAGAAAATCAAACTTCACAAAATTTAAAATCCTAGACCTTTATATCAATTCTACTTTACGGTAAATAAAGACTTCATATCAACTTTAAAACTGATAGCCCAGTTCTTACGGATGCTATTAAATATATTTTCAAGACTTTGTTCCCTCAATTGTGACCCAAACCTAGTCCATGAGAACATGCTTTGAACAAACGTAATCTACCTACTGTGTATTAGGGGATGCTTGCATATTAATCTTTCTAATTGTGGTCTTGTCAAACAAGTCAGAATGATACCCTAGTAACCCTACCTCCTCCATCTGGAGTGGATTCTTCCTCCTTTTCCTCTAATGGTGGCTCCAACCGTCTCCCTCCTTTACTAATCAGTTGTCTCTTGCCACTTCCGTTAGTAAGTTCCTCATCCACCATGGCCTGTGCAGGAATGTCTATACTTACAAACGTGTCCGTTGTTCGTGTTTTACCCTTCGGTTTCTTTGTTTCCTTCTGTCCTAATGGTGGAACCTCAATGACAAGAGTCCTAACATGAACATCGGGCGATGCTGTGTCCTCATCGTTCTCTTCCAGAAGTGGCGTCATGGTAGTGGATTCGCGGGATTTCGTTTCTCTCCTTCGCGCTGACCTTTGTTCATCGTTTTTGCCATCTTTAGGCTCTGGGGACGGGGGAGGTGGTCCTGGTGATTCCTCTTTGTGTGTCATGTAACTTCTTGTGGAGTCCCTGCTAGTAATATCTGCACGAATTGTACTTCCAGTACCAGCAGACCTGTCCGAGTACGGATCCATTTGTGCCAGCCGCGAATCGTTCACTTTTGCTTCGCTATCGTGGAGAGTCATTTTCGTGTGTGCAGGCGTAACATCGTAATCAGCTTCGTTAACTTGAGGCCATGGTTCTGGTGTGGATATGACAGAATCTCGTTTTTTGGCAGACTTAATCAGGATTTCATCTTGTGACAATTCTTTTTCCATTGTATTAAATGTGGGTTGATTGGTGACGCCCGTTTGTCTCGAGACAGGACCACTAGGTTCCTGGGTCTGTGGTTCTATCTCTTGTGCTGACTCTTGGACATCTTCCGGAAGTTGGGGCGACGATGGTGGCGGAGGAACCTCCGGAACCTCTTCAGCAAAGCGCACACTTCGTCCACCACGTGACACTGGATGCAGTCCCTCACCTTCCTCATGACCCGTTTCCTGAATTGTTCCAAGACCTGTTATACAAAATAATTGTTAGTGTTTTGTTCAAATATTTAGTTACCGTATAAAGTTTTTTAACTCAGCTACTACTGCAGTAGGTGGCATAACTTGGTAATTGAAAAGAGCTTTCGTTCCTGACACGTGAATTTTTTGCATATTTTGGTTGTATAAAATCCTTGCTCCATTTCATTTCCGGAATTTTGCATCGACATTTTTTTATTTTCATTTCCGACATTTATTTTTTACATTTCCGGAATTTTTGGAACTTTCCGACAATTTGAACTAATATAGGTTGAAATAAAATTTTAACAGGAAATACACGTGAATATTACTTTTATTTTAAACCACATTTTCCGAATAAGAACATTACAATACACTGTATCTAGATGCAGCATCAAGTCGAGTTAAAAGTAAAGGAGATGAGCGAAAGTTTACAACACTTATATGTGCTCCATGGTAAAATCTTCATTAGTTTCTTTAAAAGGTAAGCAAAACATATTATTTGGATATCAATGGTTTATTCTGAAAGTACGGTATGATAAATGTCGGAGATGGGAGATGAAAACTTTAAAATGTCGAAAATGAAAACTACAAAATGTCGGAAATGAAAAGTTCAACATTTTTAAATATTCCGGAAATGAAATGCAGCCAAAATCCTTCGTTAAAATTTTCTTCAAAATATTCAGTGGTGTTTAACCCCCTAACCCCCCCCCCTTTAAAAACTGTACGGATCACGTTTATATTTGAAACGTTATTGACAGTGTAAAAGATTTATTCAACTGTCCATTTACATGCTATGGACAATTATTAAAGTTGATTAATCACACAAATTAACGAAATTATTTACACGTTAACATTTCTTCAAAATACTCATTGGTGTTAACCCCCTCCACCCACGGATCACGTCTATGCGCGTATTTTAACAGTACAATGTATTTGCCTGTCCACTTATACATAACAAAGAAGTATTTAAGTTGCCTTACCATACAAATTAACAGAATGAATCAATTACATATCAATTAAAAACATGCCTTCCTAATTATGTATCAAAAAGTTTTTTACATGGGTTGTCACAGTTTTTAAGTGGGGGAAGAAGGGGGGTTGCATCTGTCTTTTTAAAAAAAAATTGCCTGTAGGTGCATGATATTTTAAAGAAAATCATTTAAAATGCAGGAGTTGAAAAGAGATATCTTAATAATTCATCGCGCAATAAAATTACAGCTTGATCATTATTTCAAAAGTCAGGGTCACGTTCTAAAAACAGTAATCCCCTTCTCTGTCAAAACCAGGCACCTACATAGCATCGTTTTTGAAAGTGGGGAGGGGGTTGTTTCAGCCAGATAATAATTTACAAGCCAAGAAAAGGATTCCTGAAAAAAGATACCCATCCCCCCAAAAATACAAAAAACTCACCAAACTAACCCCCACCCATTTGCGTGTTGAGAGGGTGTTCCTATTCTCTCTGTCAAAAATATTTTTAGACTATGATAACATGGGAAGTTTGACCATACTGAAACAAACAGTGGTGGTGGTGTCATAGGGAGGGGGAGGGGGGATAAATTCACAGCAAGTCTTTCTTGAAAAAAAGTAGGGGAGAAGGAGACCAGACCCCTAATTTATTGTGCCTGCAAATCAAAGTAACCCAAATTCATTCAGCAGGTTTCAGATCATTAAAATACTCCAATGAATTCTACCAGTGTGTCATGCATTTCTGCAAAAAATCCTGAAATTGAGATGACACACCTTTGTAACAGACAGATAGTTCAGCTGTGCAGTCTTCAAATCTAATGTGACCTTCTAATATATTCCTAAGTTTTATATCTATCTAAATGGTCCATTTTTTCATTATCCCCAATGACTACAATAAACAGTAAAAACTAGCCAGCAACCAGAGAAAGAGAGAGAGAGAGAGAGAGAGAGAGAGAATGTCTAGCTGTCTACTAAACATATCAAACTTACCAGGTAGTTTTCTGTATTTCCCTATGAAGTTAATAATTGTTAGAACATGCTACTAACAAAATTAGTATAAATAAAAAAGAACAGGACAAACTAAAGATGCCTGAGGACTGTAATTAAACATGCATTCTAAACAGTTGTGTATCAAATTCCTTGTACTGAAGTTCTTTTTACTTTCATTTTTTTGCTGCCTAAAACTTTTACAGTACAAGTTAATTCATGGAATTTGTGTCTCCTGCTTAAGGTAAAAAGAAGAGCAAGGAAGACCTGAAAAAATGCAGATGGACAAAGAAAAAAAACATCAACCTTGACCTTTCAGCTTTTGGCCTTAAAGTCAAGAAGGGTCTTTCTTGAATTCAAGAAATTCATGACCTTAAGTTTCATAGCAAGAGCTTGCAGAAAATTAAAGTTATCATCTGAAAAATTGGTATGCAATATATGAATTTCTGACCTTGGTCTTTGACCTCAAAATCAAAAGGGGTCTTTTTTATCATATTGACTAAAGGTATAAAATTTTATTTCAAATCCTCAAAGAGAACTCAAGTTATCATCAGGAAACCTTTTTTTTTAACCAGATCCATTTTTTTTACCTTGACCCTTTGACCTCAAAATCAATTGGGATCTTCTTAGGGTCATTGACAGTAATGATATAAAACTTGATTGAAAAAGCTCAAAGAAATCTAAAGTTATTATCTTCAATTCATTTTGCAATCATTGAATTTCTGACCTTGACCTTTGATCTCAAAACCTCAAGTCACAAAAAGCTATGATATAAAATTTCATTTAAAAGGCTTAAGAGAGGTAAAGTTATCATCTGATTTTTTTTTTTCACAAATATGAATTTCTTACTTTGACCTTTGTCATCTTGACCTCAAAATCAATTATAGGGGCTGTCTTTATGTCACTTGAAGCTATGATATAAATTCTCATTGAAAAAGCTCAAAGAGATCCAAGTTATTATCTGGAAAACATTTCTTGCAATATATATATATGACTTATTGACCTTGACCTTTGGACCCCCTGGGATATAAAATTTCAAAGGCTTTTTGAGATATCATTCAGAAACAAAAAATGTTACACACAGACAGAATGGCAGACAGGCACTTCCAGATGGACCTAAATTCCTTTCAGTGAAAGTGGTGGGCAAAAACTTAGATCAAAGTGCCAGGGATGATCAATTTGGTTCATTTTAAACATAATTTTTTTTTATATCCAATAAGTTCATAATATGTTTCAAAACTGGCACAGGGAATAAACATCTTTTCACCATAAGTGTGAATTCATCATAAGCATGTTTGCTGTAGCAATGTTTGACTGTAATTTGGTTAGAAATGTTGGACAAATAAGACAAAAACCACAAAGTATGAGGATCTTCCATTGAATAAGTGAGACAAAAAGGAGATTCTATAAGAATATTTACTAAACAAACACATATTGATTAATAAAAACAGTGAATACTGAACAACACTGAATACTTGATACTTCAGCCTTTCAAAACACAAGAATTAGACTAAATGGAGACAGAACATTAAATCTACTTCAGGACTGCTGTTAGATCCTGCATGTTATAGGTATCAAATGCATCAGTTGTTTGTTAAATCAGGGTTAAACATAGTCTCCAGATCTACTATTACTACATACCTGTCTGCTCAGGTGTGAGAGCCCTGGGGGAGTTTGTAGGAGCCCTGATCTCTGCCGTAGGGGACTGGGCGTTTTCTCGTGAGACATTCTGGTTTGAAGGAGCTGATTTTGGTTTCCTGTTGGAGCCAGTGGACATGCCTGACTGATCACGATAAAGCTTCATGGGGGACATCTGACCATGAGTAGCAGGGGTAGTGGCTGGGGCCTGGGGCACTCTTGTGGATTGGGCAGGGCTGACAGCGTGGAGAGGGGTACGGGAAGCTGATCTCTCAGATTTGGAAGACTGAAAATATAGAATGTTAAAAATAATGCAAAACTTGTTTAATGGAGGAAGACAATAGATTACAGTCAACAACCTATTACATGAACAATAACAAATTGATAATTTCTCAATTCTTAAATGAAATAGAGATATTTTTCAGACTCATGATTATTACATTTGGATGATCGTTAATGAATCCTTCCATATCATTATAAAATTAAACTGCGTGAGAACCAGAAGTCTCTGATGAGACTGTAGCTCTACTGGTTGTATTTATAAAGGAAGATAAAAGTAGCACTTGGACTTGAAACTTTGCAACAGCAATAAATAGAATAATGATCCTTGGTTTAGTCTCTTTTTGGCAAGATTTATTATTATATCAGACTAAAACTGTAGGAGGAGTAGCCTTTTAAAAAAATTTTACTGAAATTTTGATTTAAGTAACCATGGCAACATCATTCAACAAAGTCAAAAAACAATAACACCAATTATGTATCTCTGTAGTCTACTTGTATGCTACATTATACTGAAATCAGACAAAAAGTGTAGGAGGAGTAGCGTTTTGAAAGTATTTCAAGAAAATTTCTATTTTTAGTAACCATGGCAACACTGTTCATCGAAATCAGAAACTGGTACAGAGAATTATGAATCTTAGTGTAGTTTACTGTATGCTAAGTAATACTAAAATCAGACCAAAACTGTAGGGGTAGCATTTTGAAGGTATTTCAAGGAAATTTCTATTTTTAGTAACCAAGGCAACAATGTTCATCGAAATCAAAAACCGATACACGGAATTTTGTATCTTAGTGTAGTCTACTTGTTTGCCAAGTTATATTGAAATCAGACCAAAACTGTAAGAGGAGTAGCATTTTGAAAGTATTTCAGAAATTTCTATTTTTAGTTACCATGGCAACACCGTTCATTGAAATCAAAAACCAATAAAGAGAATTATGTATCTTATTATAGTCTACTTGTGTGCCAAGTTATACTGAAATCAGATCAAAACTGTAGGAGGAGTAGCATTTTGAATGTTTTTCACAGAAATTTCTATTTTAAGTAACCATGGCAACACCGTTCATCGAAATCAAAAACCAATACACAGAATTATGCATCTTAGTATAGTCTACTTGTGTGCCAAGTTATATTGAAATCAGATCAAAACTGTAGGAGGAGTAGTATTTTGAATGTTTTTCACAGAAATTTCTATTTTTAGTAACCATGGCAACACCGTTCATTGAAATCAAAAACCGATACACAGAATTATGCATCTTAGTATAGTCTACTTGTGTGCCAAGTTATACTGAAATCAGATCAAAACTGTAGGAGGAGTAGCATTTTGAAGGTATTTCACAGAAATTTCTATTTTTAGTAACCATGGCAACACCGTTCATTGAAATCGAAAAACTGATACACAGAATTATGTATCTTAGTATAGTCTACTTGTGTGCCAAGTTATATTGAAATCAGATCAAAACTGTAAGAGGAGTAGCATTTTGAATGTTTTCACAGAAATTTCTATTTTAAGTAACCATGGCAACACCGTTCATCGAAATCAAAAACCGATACACAGAATTATGTATCTTAGTGTATTCTACTTGTGTGCCAAGTTATACTGAAATCAGACCAAAACTGTAGGAGGAGTAGCATTTTGAAAAATTGTTTACAGACAGACAGACAGACAGACGGACGGACGACGGACACATTACTATCGCATAAGCTCTTCTGGTCTCTGACCAGTAGAGCTAAAAACATAACTGTACATCATTTAAAATAAAAAGTTCTAAATCATCCAAACAGAAAATTAATCAATCTTTTTTTGGCATGGAATGACTCATAATTTTGATTTTTTATAATCAATGTTAGTTGATGGAAATGCATGCATGTTAGATTTCATGATGAATATGAATGGGCAGCTAAAAGAAAAAAAAATGTCCATACTGTATTAGATGTATAATCATGCACTGAACTATATCAGCATGGGTATTACCCAACAAATCTGACATGCTCCTAGCTAATACATATACCACAATATATATTAACCCTAAGTTGCTCCCAATCACCATAGTAACTGTTAACGTCCACATGATAAAAACCTGACAGGTGGTGTGTTTATAAAATTTAAGAAGCACAGAGAAAATTTATAAATACTGCAAGTAGTTTAGGGTAACACTAATTTTCACCCTGGAAAAATAATGAACTGTCAACTGAGGTCCAGTTTATGAGAGGTTAATTTTTCAATTTTATGTAGCCTTCAACTACATAAGTCATAACATAATATTCATAGTGATTGACCAAAGGCTGTGATACAGGCATACATTTCATGCATGTGATATATAATTTTTTATTGTATTACTTATTGTCAAAAAATATATGGCAGGCACCAGGCTTGTTCTCAAAGGGTAATATTATATTTTTTTCAAATATCTTTTGACCAATATGAAAGTAAAATAACACATATAAATTTATGCTTTTCTGGGGGCTATTTGCAGACCAACATGTCAGGTTTTTAAAGGTGTTGTATTAAATAACTGGTACCCTTTTCCTGTGTGTGGTGGAGATGTAATACTTTACCTCGAAATCAGTGTACAGGCCATAATACTAAAAATAAAATACTATATATTGTATTCATTGAATCATCTATATATGGTCTTACCGTCACCATATTAAAAACAGAATAGCTCCTGATAGCTCTAGGATACAGCACCAAGGACAAACACACATAAAAATGTACACATGAAAATAGTAGGGATATTTTTCTTAAGAAAATACTAAAAAAATAATTTAAAAAAAATCATTTCTAATCTCTAGTTTATATTAGGGATGGGAAATAAGATAAAATCATTTAAACAACTGAAACTATTCAAATGAATTTCTCTTAAAAGATTTGTAACTTGCATGTCAACAATTATCTTACATGTTGAAATATTTTCTTGCGTGTTGACATAATTTATCTTACATGTAGGGGGCAGAAATATGCCACCATAGAGATGTTATGCATTTGAAATGTTGTTGTATTTGGGGGGGGGGGGTGTTTTATCTATACACAAATAATTTCTTGTACCAATTGTTTTTGGATTAGATGCGAACAAACATATTTCTATACTTAAATCACACATGTTTTGTGATAATATTTTAACTTGAACAAGTATCCATGGGCAAATGAGGTCTGATGTAATAGAACATTAGAAAGTGATAGAAGTACATCATACACCATGATAATGCAGTCTAGCCAAATTAGTTTTCAAATTCTCTAAGAACAAAATATCCCAGCAGCAAACATCTTCCAGCACTATATAATAATGTACAGACATCACCAGAATCTACAGTGTGTGTGTGCTGTCACCAGGGTTCTACTAAGGACATAGTACCACCCCCATAAAAACTTACTGCACTGTGAAAACTCATCCACAGTCTATATTGCAGCCTTTTGCTAACCTGAAACTGTTGTACATCAAAAATAAAATACTAGGATTTACATGTAATTTTAGGACATTTTTCATTATTTGATTTAAAATATGATTGTTTTATTACAAATTAAAATATTACCCGGTACATTTGTATAATTAAAAAAAAAATGTGGAAATATCTTGTGAACAAAAAGTATGGTGACTTTTTTGGTTGTTGATTTTTTTGAAAAAAAAAGTAAAATAATTGTTATTTGTTTATGATGAACATTCTTGAACAGTTTAATAGAGATAATGACATCATTATATGAAGGTGAATAAAAAGAACATTTTTATAAAAACTTGATGTTAAAATGGCAGCTGACAAAAGTGAATCTTTACACAGAACAAGTATATCCTGTCCACACCAACACAAGGCATAACAAGCAGTTATCTGTCTTAGACTCACACAATCCATTCCTTCATCTTATAACCATGCCCAAACCCAATATATTAGGTATTTATTAGGTATTTATTTGTCCAGTTTGTAATTTGATAAAATATAACATGTAATGTCTGTTTTACTTTTTACATATTATGCTTTACATATATCTTTTAAAATTTATTTTTCAAATCTTTTACTTCACATCAGAGCTTTATTCTTTTCCAAATCTTTACCACGTTAAAGTATATTTGAATACATTACATGCATTTACTTAATTCATTTAATATATGAAGGAAAAAATTTCAAACATTTTGCCACAATGCCAATGTTCTACAGACTGGACTTGAGACCAATGAATACTTACAGCTAAAGCATCTATCAGATCTCGAGAATCAGTAGTTTGTCGTGAAATGGTCTAGAGAAGTGCATTCAAAATACATTATCATTCCTAACACTCTTTCTCAAATAACAGAAAAGTCAGGAAAGCCAAAACATGTTTAAAACATATGAGAAAATATGACATGAAAGAAAAATAATAAGGACATTATATTTAATTTTTAAGCAGAAAATGAAACCAAACAAGTTGTAAATATGTGAGATGGATGTGATGCTACGTACTGCCATTTCAGCCCTCTGAGCAGCTGACTGGGGTTGTACTCCCTCCCTTACAGAGTCAGCAGAGGGGATGTTTACATGGACGGTGGTACCATGATCTGAAGCAGTGGTGTCCTCAGTTCTGGTGCTGGTGGGTGGAGTTGGAACAGGACCTAAAAATAAAACAAACAATCAGAAACATTGTCAGAGTTGGTTAAACAAGGTAAAGACTAACTACAGATTAAGATCACAATTCATTTACTAAATAAGCTGAACTTTTCCCGATATCTGATAAATTAATATTAATATATGATTAGCTGTTCAACTACAGAAAAACATGGTTATAGCGAACATGCTTGTAATGAATTGACGCTTACAGCAAAGTGATTTTCATTCCTCATGACTTTATTATATATTGTGAACTTGATGGATATAACAAATTATGATTATAACGAAGCAAAATTGTCCATCCCTGGCTCTTCGTTATAAGCATGTCAGTGTTCATGTGTTAATTCTCAGTATCATTACCTATGGTAAGGTCAATGTTTCTGTAATTTTTCCTGGAGTAGTTGAAAGTCCTGGTTTGTTTAACCCCAGTTGGAAGTTCTGGCAGGCCAAGTGATATTGATGGAATTTTTATCTTTTCATCTACAAAACAATGAAAAATGTATTACGGTATAAAACATATAACAGGGTACAAAAAAATTATACAAATACATGTAAGACATTTCATGACAGATTTTAACATTTCTTTGAAAAATTATTTCATTTACAATGTAGCTTTAATTGACATAGTGTAAATTAAATATCAAGGCCTACTCACCCACAGTTCCACCAATAGGTGGCAGTGGTTTCTTTAGTTTGGGAAACTCTCTAGTTCCACTCATGTACAGATCTCGATATGACCCATAATCACTGTCGTTTAACCTTTGACCTCTCGACAGCCTGGGTTCTGGGAAGACTTCCTGTTCTACTCCGTCTTCATCGAGATAGTAAACAGGTTTGGTTTCCATTAGGTGGGACTCCTTATGTTTCTTCTCTTTACCCTCGTAGATGTTCATTTTCTTCTGTTGCAGCAAGTCTGTGCTGTTGGCGGTCATGTTGGTAGATTCTCGGTCCATGATTGGGACAAACTTACTTATCAATTCATGAAGTTTCTGACTAGATGCAAAATCACTGAAATATGAATCAGATATCATAGCAATGTGCTATGGCCTAGCTGCCTTTCTTCTTTAAAAGTGTTAAAGGCATTATAAGATACATGTATCAAGGTGTCTGTACATAACTTTTTGCTTTATTTATGAATAGTATTAAAAAAACATATATCTGAAGAAATTGAAGTTGTAAGAAAGAAATTCTCTTTGTTAAATTAATGAGTTGAAAAGTAAACAGCAACTTATATTAATTTTCTTTCCCTACAGTTACTTCATGAAAACTTTGATTACTAAACATTAATTACTGCCTGGTAGTTTTAACTTCAGACATACAGAGTGCCAGCTAGCTAGGTTAGGTCATCAGAATAGTTTGTGATTTTCTCCTTTCAATACTCAATTAAAAGTGTAGCAATTTATTTTTTTAGCTTTGGTTCATTTTTTTTTTTTGGTTGATGAATATAAGGAAGTTTTTTGTATGATAGAGAATTCATTACTACTGATGAAATAGCTAGTTCTCTTACCTCTGTCTGGCATGATCCAAAACTCTTACTAGAATATCTTGGGGAAGATCAAGTAATTCCTCAATGCTAAAAAAACACCACAGCAATCACATACAAGCACAAGTAACCCATTCCTTAATGTTATTAAGTAAGTATAACACACAATTAATATGCTTATCAAACCATGATTAAAGAAATTAATTTCTACAATCAAACTAATTTCCCTTCACCGAAAAAAAAAGTCTCATTGAAAAAAAAAATTCAAATCAATTAAATCAAAATAATTACCTATATAACATACCATATACCAATCAGAATCAAATGAAAAATAGCATTATCAAAATTATTCAAAATAAACATTTTGATAATATCTAAAAATTTAAATAATCTTTTTGAAGCCTATATGATTTTTCATATTTTAATAAATTTGGCGATATTTCTAAGTGATATATTTTTTCTTCATTTTTTCTCTAAGTGTGTTAAATAGATAATACACTCACCCGGTCCCCCCATAAAGTTGGGGCCCTGAACGCATCCCTGCTGCTGAGGATCTGGAATATGGTGTTCTATAGCGGGAGGAAGCAGGGGAGGTAATTCTTCTACGCATCTACAAAATTTACGTACAATTAGACTAAAAGTGCAGATGATGAATGGAAGAAGAAAACAAAACCAATTTCACACTTATATGGAAAATAAAAAAGAAAAAAGGCATATACATTTAAATATAATAGCTCCCTTCACTTAATGCTGAATTTTAAGGCTTACTCTTCCCCCCCCCCCCCCCCCAAAATATACCACTAAATGTATGATACACCAATTAAATATTCATTCAGCTGTTTATTCAATATACTATCAATATTCTACTTTATCTATCCCAACACAGGTTTACAAAGATGAGAGTTCCCCATTTGAATTTTTAAAATAATCAGAGAAAATCATTTGTTATGATTTAATCAGAAAAAGAAAAAAAATCACCCCTTTCTAAATATTTAAAAAATAAAGAAGAGGAAGAAGAAAATTGTAGATAGAGGAAAAAAGGGAGGAAGTGGGTATGTGGTTTGTAGGAAAAGGATTAATTAGAAGATCAGTTTTAAAAAAGTATGCAATTACAAGGGTGGAAAAGATGAGAAAAAATTATCAATACAACATACAGTTTTTTATTAATAAAAGTTAAACATGTAAATATAATTTTAGACACAAATTTTATATAAATAAGGTATATATTTTTGTTTTGGAGTATGTGAATTGTAATACAAAATTACAGCACCAAAAAAAAAATAATAATATTGATTACTTTTTATATACATGTATATATTGTACTAACTTTTCAGATAAAAGAGAAAACATTGCATGCATAATTTCAATTTGAAGCATAGGAGAAGAAGACATTTCAAAAGTCATTGTATGTAAATCTATATGATTCTAAATCTACATGTTGGTACCTTTATCACTGGCCCTTCATATGGCTAATGTACCAAAGAAAAATAGGAATTACAACATGCATGTTAACATCTCATTTTCAATTAATTGTAAACCACTATTTCACATGAATATAACTAATAAGTCTGTACACACATAACATTTTATTGAAGTAATTGCATTTGTATGTACAAATTTTTAATATGTCGATCAATGATCTAAATTGTTAGGACAAATTCTAAGTAAGCTTTGACATACAGTCCAAACTCATAGTCTCATAAAATGTATGACTGTCAAAAACTTTGAGGTAAATTATGCTTTAAGATAACAAAATCTGAGACTTAAATTCTTAATCATGTTGGACCAAAGTCAGACTCTGACATCACATGGCCTTGTATTTGGAATATTGGTGTGTAAAATATAAACAAGGATTTATTAGATTTATTTCTTACCAAACAAAAAAAAAAAAAAAATCTAAGTAACTGCTTAATGCCATGCAGTCACAATGTATTGTGGTGTTACAGAACAGTGATTCAAACTTGAATGGTAATTTACAGAAGGAGAAGGTCAAAACAAACAATAGGCATAAAATTTTACTGATATGAAAAATACTATCTGGTTAATTTTAGATACTGTTATGTTTGGTTCATAAAACAAGAAAAGTATCAACTTAAAGTTATATACACAAGTACATTTTGTACAATTATATACTATGAATGTATTGATGATGTCTTATTGAACTGTATTTAATGCTTGTAAATATTATCACAGTACATATAAAGTGCAACCTACCTTTGTGGTGTTCTCATATTCAATACTGCGGGGGATCATGTCTTCTGTAATATCTCTTACCAAAACTTTCTGGGGATTACTCCTAGCCAGCTCTCCAATGGATGCTCTGAAAAAATAAGTAAAAACAGTTTCTGATGAGACTGTAGCTCAACTGGTTTGAACTTAAAACACTTTGTGTATGTATGGAGAAAATAAAAAGCACATGTACAGACTATACATAAATCTGTATATAAGTAAAAGTTGGTCAAAATTCATTTACATCTTAACACGATATCACAGGGGTACAGTTGCTTGTTTTTCTTGATATTTTCTGATGTTAAAAGTATATATATCATATGTAAATAAGGCTAATAAGCGTATATATCATAGGAAAGCACTTTGTGATTTCATAAGCAAGAAAAACAATGTTTATTTCAGTAAAACAGAAGTATGGAACTGTCAAGTTCAATTGTGTGTGTGTGTGTTTTTTTTTTATAATAAGTAGCAAGATTCTATTTTACAAAAATCAGAGGATTATCCAAATATTAGTTAATAATGATGAAAAAAAAATTGTGATTATTTGCTGTTACATACGATTTTTCATGCTTTTGTTTCCTTTTTGGATTGGGGACCCAAACATAAAATTTCTTTGGGAGGAAAGTATCATCCCAGCTACATTTGAGATCCTCAGGTTCAAACACTTCCTGGACCTCCACCAGTTGAATTGGCTTCCCCTGGGGAGCACTCTTTATCTTCTTCTCACTTACTGGAGTATGAATTGGTGGGGAAGGGACTTTTAAACTACAGGAAGAGAATCAGTACCTATGTACTCTGTCATCAGATTATAAGCATTTGATCAATTACTTTTCTATTAATCTGAAAATAAAACATTTAATTTATTTCAGTAACAACGTTACTAGTTTATGGGTCGGTATACATGCATTTGTAAAAATTAAATTTTCTTAAAAAATGTTTGGATTTTGATTAAAGATCACTCTTTGTTGTTGAAATACCTTGATTTACTGGATTTAGGACCAGGTAACTTATTTAAATTAGAGCGCTCATGCTGAGGTTTTCCAGCAAACTTTACAGGAAAGAGATCCCGGGGATCATCTCCATATTCCTCCAACATGTTACATACTTTTAAGGTTGGCAAGTCTGAAACAACAATATTATATGTCTTATTGTAAGACATTTTAAAAAAGGGAGGTGTTTCACCTGTCTCTTTTTATATGCATGAAATTGGCATCATATTGCAATCATCTCATCTTTTTCTTATGACTCTTATAACTGATCAATTCAGACCAGTGTGACATCACCTTAGCCTGAATGAATGTGACATCACCTTTGCCTGAATGAATGTGACATTACCTTAGCATGAATGAATGTATCATCACCTTAGTCTTAAAGTGCATAATTTGCTGCTTATGTATGTAGTAGGCTTATGCAGAAAAGTTGAGACAAGAAAGATTATTCATCTAAAACTTTGTGTTTCAATCTCTGTTACATATTTCCATGATGATGATTTTAACCTGTTTCAATCTCTTCCTTTGGTGGGATTTCAGGTGGGAGGTCTTTGATTCCCTTCAACTTTCTCAGATTAGACTGCCAACATGGAGGATGCTGACAAAGTGGGGCACATGATGCATCCTTCTCGGGAATAGGAGGGCCCCAGTCCGCAAAGGACCAAGGAGATCGTAAGTCCCACATCTTTGGTTGCTCTTCTTATACAGGTACCTGCAACATCAAGATTTCTCGATTTGTCAGGCATGTTTTTATACACTGAAGGAAGTTATGAGTTACGTTATACCTTCTGCTTTCTTCCAGAAATTGTCCTTGATTAGTTTCAGATAAATAGAAAAAATAATGATGATACAAAATATTTAGATATATTTCAAGAAAAATACAAACGACACGGACAATAAATTAGTAAAAGTCTAATTTATTTACGTAGAGGTTTACCTTGGACGCCATATTGAAACTTGTTCTTGGCAACTTGCAGACTCGCACCAAATATTTCAAAAGAAACAACAAAGTTATCGTTATATTTGCTCCAAAAATTCGTAATTCACCAAAAATTAACGGAAGATAATTAATTAATTTTTGCTTTTTATTCTTTTAATGACCATAATTATTCACTGCGAAGAAACCGGAAGCATTTGTCTGTCAGCCCTAATCGATCATATTATGGATGCAAATACAGGACTATTCAAGATGAAGAAATTTGTGTCAGACGCTTCGACGGTTTTTAATCGTGCAGTTCAGGTAATCTTCGATATAAATATGTCTGATTTATATACTTTTGATTCCGGATTCTGGGAAAGGGTTTACGATTTTCCACGCCCCAAACTTACAACTTGTGACTTTCTTTTTCACAAGTGTCTTTTCCGATGTTTTAACCAAAGTTGTAGGTCTACTTGTAGTTGTTTTAGGTGTGGGCCAGAAATATATCTGGCGTCCTGCAGGCACTTATTAAAAAAAGAAAATAATATAATAGAATTAAATACTATGACATTGACATTTATAAGGGTCACAAAAGTGTAATGCAGTACCTAGCCATAAATGAGTCATAATTTTATTTTCCATTATAAATTTTATTGAAAAATGCATTTTTCTAAGATATTGATACAGAGTTATTTGTTGCTCATTTTTTATGACTAGACCACCATAAAATTTAGAATTCTTTGCAGTTTCTACGCATAATTTCAAAGTAATTTTATCGGTAGGCATTGAGGTGATATCACATGTCAAATGCGAAATAAAAATTTTATAACTCTAATTTGTGAAGAAATCATAGTAATTTGAGGTTAGAAATTTTAGTCTTGACAATTTCATAAATTATTCTCAATGATTAGTGTATCATTTCGATAAGGCCAAATAAAAAAATATGTGTGGTTCCGGTTACCCGACCTTCCCTATTTTATACCCCCGACCCTAAACTTTTTTTTGGCAATTTTCATATTTTTTCCGGAATTTTCCCCGATTTCCATCAATGACTCCAGTTTAAGTTTTAGTTTCAGCAATGACAGCCTCCTTGCAAAACATAGTTTAATAGTGTTAAATCCAAAGCAAACTAGCATGTAGGTGTCCCCTACCAATGTTGACTAGTATATTATCACACCACATCTAAATGCCATTTGCAAAGCAGTGATAGGTATTATTTCTAAAGAAAAAAATAAGAAAATCATTTTGCTAAAAAAACAAAAATAAATAAAATCCCTACCTACCTACCCCAAGGACCAACCTAGGGGGCGACTGAGGCGAAATAGTCGCTTTTGAGCTCCAAACTTCGCCGTAACTTATCACGAAAGAGAAGTTTAAGTCGCCTTAACATTTGTAACCCCTTTATTGAAAATCATAAAAATCTATTAAGAAACGTGGTAGTATCGTCACTATTTTATAAATCTGGTTTTATTACTGCTGAAATAAGTGAAACAGTAGGGTACTTGCACCTGTTTTGCTACTAATGGCCAATGCATCGAATATTCTGTTGGAACTCCTCTAGATTTTATGCTTCCGTGTATGTCTATTGTTACAAGTTATACAGAACAAGACGCAAAACAGCTGGACAGCTATCGATGTCATGCCAAAGATGATGGAGATGATTTTAGATCTTTTTATTGTCAAATAATTAATACATGCTGTGAATACAGACATATTTTTACTGTTAAATGGTGCAGTTATTAACTGTCTAAGAAAATACACATGTCTGATAAACATAATTAAGTAGTTCAATCGGCATGCAGTAGTGCATTCAAACTCTTTTTTAGAAAAAGAATTTAATATTGCAAACGAATTTTGAAGAGAAAATAAATAATTATGACTATGCCAAGAGCCTGAAACTCTAACCCTGAGAGGAGTGAAAAATGTGTGAATCATTTAAAAGTTAACTGTGCATTCTATGCAGGAAATGAAAAAAAGTTTGATAAACAACTTTATCAATTAGAAACTTTTACATTGTCATTGTTTTACATATTTTGCTAGATATTTATATACCTTGTAATTGGAAAAATATAAACTTAAGTTTTTTTTTTTTTAAAGAATTTTCTCTTTTTTAATTATTTTTACTAGGATGTTTAAATACAGAAAAACTTATTGAAATGTATTTAAGTAATAAACAATGAAATGTTTTTATTTTCAAAAAGTTTAATAATGATCAATATGCGCCACACGCGCCAAGAAGTCTCCCTAGAATTCAAAACTTCTCCCTACATTTCTCTGAGGGAGAAGTGAAGTCTCCCTAAATTTTGGGTCTAGGTTGGTCCCTGCCTACCCTAATTTTTTTGGAAGTGTAACCGGAACCACACATATTTTTTTGTTTAGCCTAAGCATTCAGGGTTCGACATTAATGTTAGTCTCAGACTAAAACATTTTTATTTGGACTAATAAAATCTGTGGCTAATAATTCCGAACAGACCAATAAAAAATTCTGGAAAACAAAATAAATGAATTGCCGATGTTCGATTCTCGACAACTTTTACTGGAAATCCCCGCATGTATTTTTAGCTTTAACGATTATGATTTAGTATGACACATAAAGATGGAAGTTTTGGATGCATTTTGATGAAATGAAAGAGATCCGGAAAATGATCATACTTCCTGTTCGCGAGATTTCAACAATTTGGTGGAATAAAACACTTCACGTAAATGCTTTGTTTATTTATAAAAAATACCAAACGTACATATTGTAATGCTTAGGCCAATTCAACTTAATTAGTAGATTATCATCCAGAGTCACCAAAAAATATGGGGCGGGTGGGAGGATTTTATTTTTAATTTTTTATTTATCAGTTTTTATGTGTCCGATATTAACAGTAATTCTCGCCATCTGAATGTCAGGTCAGGGTGGCCTGTTGTCAATATTTCCGCTCACGAAATCATTGTAGAAATCGATGATTGTTTTTCATCACTAAAATTTGTAGCATACCAACCCCTTCTTTCGTTCATGCCTGTCACAACACGAGAAATAATAAAAACCATTTCTCTTTCTTGACGTGCGGTCCTTGATGTTTCTAAACCGGAAATATTTTTTGAAATATAAATACCGGAATTGAACACGAAAAATTTCCGGAAGACATAATTCTTGCAAAAATAAATAAAATTGGGGCGGGCCAATTTCTGAACGGCGGACGGGGATGATAATCTATCATTTAAGTTAAATTGGCCTTATTTTTAATTTAATCAATGCAAAACATTGATTTTCCTTTTTTGACAGACTTATAAAATAGCATGTGGACTAGTAAAAGTAAAGAAACACTAGTCCGGCTGGACTAAAGCCTAAAAGTGTTAGTGTTGAACCCTGGCATTTTATGACAAGAAAATTATTTGAATAATTCAGCATGATTTAGTGAAAAAATCATGAAATTGGGCTAAAATTGACCTATCAATGAGTATTTTAAAAATTGGTTTTTTCAATCAATTATATATATTGTAAAAATGAAATTATGACTCACTTATGGCCATATAGTGTAGGTTCTCAATATATAGTAGTAGTAGTAAGTCTTCTTCAGCAGTATCACTGACTCTCAGTCATTGCCATTATGTAAAATACTTCCAGACATTCTGACTCAGTCATTTTCAGAGTCTTGTATTTTATTACGGTTAAATAATCATATAAGTGTGATCAGAATGTGATTTAGCAAAACTAAATCCTCGTTGGTTTGACATTTTAAAGTTATAAATAGTGAAGAAGATTTATACTATTTCTGGTCATTCAGATCTTGACTTTAGTGTGTCATTATGAATTATGTGTTTGATGGTGCAACCATTTGGGCAAGCAGTTATATATTTATTACTGGATACAATCAGAAACTTCATTATTATTAATACAAAAGTTGCATCCACCCAATGTAGACTGTGACATCACATCATTCATATGTTAGTTGCATTTCCATAACAGAGTCTAAAAAGTGCAAATTTTTAATGTGTAATCCATTATTTTATTTATTTATCTGCATTTTCCATGAAAGTAATTTTTTTATTCTTATTTGTGAACTTATGTTTCATTATTGTGGGAATGTAGTTTGGGCAGCCATTTGATATGGAATTTATGGAGGATTATAGATACTGGATTAACTGCAGAACAAATTTCAATTGAATTGTTGTGCACAGTTCAATCTTTCTCTTTGCTTTAAGGACTCAACTTTGCATCAGTTTACATAATAGATATTGCATAATACAAAATGTTAGGCAATATGTTTGCATTGTTAAATATACCTGTATATTTAGTATCATAATACATGGGCATTGTATTTTAGTGATGTAACAGACAATGACCACTCTTTTGCATAGACAAAAAATAACTCTCTAAAGTTCTACTGAAAAACATACTATTCATTTTATTCATGAGAATCCTGAAAAGGAAATAAAGTCAACATGGTCAATCCACAATGAAATCCTCTCTGTACCATCTTCACCAATTCTGTACATATTCCTCATTCAAACTTATGATTCACATTTTATATATATAAAATACCAATGAAAAAAAATTACTTAAAAAGTTTAAATTTTACTCTTTTATTACTGGATGTATTTGGAATTTAAAAAAAAGATACATGAATATTTGATACATGTATAAATTGTCAGCACATATGATTGATTCACTAACACCATCCCTTACCTTGGTGCATAATGCAGACATGACTCATGAAGAATGTCATTCATAGGAGTGTATTCCCCTGGGTTATTTTAGTGACTTCCAACAAGGTTCATTAAAATGTTGATTTTTTGAGATTGCAGCTTCATGTTATGGTTTGTCTTCCTTCAAGTTTCCAAATATAATTGAAATTTGAAAAGGATTCTAAGAACCCCAAATTTGCACATTATGAAGACAAAGATCTTCAAACATCTTGTGATTTTAATTTGTGATTGTTCAAAATTATGTAGTGGTATATCAACATTTACATTCTATATTTATTTTCCATATAAAGTGTGTGTAAAGCTTCAGAATTCAAAACACCATAACATGATGGGGTCAAAAGGTTATTCTCTTGTTCAAATTATGCACTCCATGAAACATAGGATCTTGCATACTTCTTGCATACATAACCCCCCCCCCCCCCCCCCCATCATATGATACAAGTATTTTTAGCTCACCTCAATGAAGTTGAGGAGCTTATATAATACCCTCAGTGTCAGCGTTGGCATCCCAGGTTAAAGATTTTGGAAACAGTTTTCTTTTCAAGTACTTCTTAAAGACAACATTCATGAGGTGAGCTCTGTGATCTCTGATTATCTTGTTTGTTTCTTTTCTAAAGGGTTTCAGTGAGGGATGACCTTTTACATATCATTTAGTTAAAACACTTACCGTATAATTTTGTCACAGTACAGTTACTTTCGATATGATACATTTTGTTACTAGTCATCAAAAATCATGTTATTAAAATTTAATTAATCATGCTGTGTAGCATGTTTTATCAATGCCAAACCTGACTGAATAAAGATCCTGACTGAAAATGAACTGAGACAAAAATGGAGAATTTGTACCATGTATCAAACTGATAATAATAAATACCACAGTGGATTGAGTGATACTATCTGTGAAAAGTTTCACTTCAATTTTTATTAATTTTGCAGTAATTTAGATAGATTATGACACTTTGATGGTTTCAGATGCAAGATCAAATTTTGTAAAGAAAAAAATTCCTTCCAAAATGTGACTGGTGAGAAATTCATTTATTTTTCAGATTAGTGAAAATATTTTTTTTTATTGATTCCTATTTATTTAGTTCACAGAGGAAAAGTTAGGATCTGCAGAGAAAACAGAGCTTGATGCACACTTTGAAAATCTTCTCCAGAGGGCTGATAAAACCAAATTATGGACAGAAAAAATCTTAAAACAGACAGAGTGTGTGTTACAACCCAACCCAAGTAAGCAAGGATCAATTGTTTTACTGGTCTACTCTTTTTGTACATCACTTGTATCAATGCACACTTCATAATCTCCAAAGGTATAAACATCTTTAAAGCCCAGTCAAATTATTTTGATGGTAGTTGTTGAAATGTCATTGTCATTTGAGACTCAGTTGTTCAATATGATAAGCTTGGGAAATGTTTAGATTTCTGTGAGCATGCTTAAATACAACATGTATTAGCAAATACACACTAATCATACTTAGACCTAAATGTATTTCATTATCATTGAGTATTTTCGAAATAAATGAAGCTTACAAAGATAGTTTGACTATAGTTTTCCCCTGAATTTTTTTCTACCAGATATACGATTGGAAGAATTTGTGTATGAAAAATTAGACAAAAAGAAGAGAGACCGAGTGAATCACCATGAAGTGTTAGGACATGTCTTGGTGGATGGGGGCAATGACTTTGGTCCAGGCACAACTTATGGTAAGTCTGACAAAAGGAAATCAGCGTGTAAATGTTGCTATTTGCCCTACTTTACTAAAAGTGAGGCAAAACTATCCACATTTAGGGTAAAAATGAAGTAAATTTAAGGAATACATGCAGTCATTATTGATGGATTCATGTAAGGCCTAAGGCATTGATTTTAACTTGATTGAAGTTGACATGAAAGCTGACTTGCGAGCGAGAGGAAGTGAGTACTTTTCCTACACAGTATTTATTGTACTCAGGACATGGTTACGTAAAACTGAGTAAGAGAGCATCTGAGTGACTGCTATTCTGTACATCATTTCAAAATATTAGCTCATAGCATACAAACTGACCTTATGTTGAATTATTGTCTCCACAGTTTACTGTCTGAGGCATATCTTGTATTGACCTGTCTCAATTTACCCTGCTTCAGTTACACCTATATGACTGGCCTTTATTTATATGTCCACCATTCCACTTTAAAAATTAAGGATTTTTTTTAATCATATATAGAATATAATATGCGGGTGATTGAGAATTTAACATTGGGAAGAGAAATATTAAAGTATTAAAATCATTTTAAAACTAAAATCATAAGATTCCAGTATCCAATATTTTTTTTTTTGTCCATTGCAAATGGGAAATAAGCACCATAAGCACATAATAGTAAGAAGATGGTATTGATGTAATCTGAGGTCACTTCATCAAAGGCAAAGGTCATTGGATGGAGGTACATGTAATAATGAAAAATTTTTATTACTAATGCTTGGTAACTTTATAATTATGTACTATGTAGTTGAGAATATTTATGGATTTTATAATCACATAGTGTAGGGTTAGGGTAAAGACCAGGATTTTTTAAATGACTATAGTGACACAATGCCAAGGTCAAGGTCAACCACAGAATGGTTTATTTTCCCATTACCTCACTACATAATTAAGTATATTTCAACATGTATATTTACTAAATTAGAAAAAAAAACAACATATAGTTTCTTTGATCAGTTACTTAGAGGTCAAAAGGTTGATATAATTCATTTAAAGACACTGAACCCTATATGTGTTTTTTTGTTTTATTCTTGTTGTTGGATGCTTTTCAGACAAAAGATAAAATTTCATCTGTAAAAAATAATGATGACTTGGCCACCATTGAATCATGTGAATTGGAAGCTAACAAAAGTTAGCAAAAGATAAAAAGAAATGTATATGTTAGAGTAAATGATGTGACTCCTTGCTATTCACTCAGATGCTGTTTGGTTTCTGTCTCTGACAAGACTGGTCTATAACCCTCTCTGGAATATGTATACAGACAGGACATTTATTGGATCCTGTCTGGTATCCTGCTTTTATCATCTCTTCTAAAATGAAGATGCATGGTGATAAGTAAATAGCAATGACTTAGTATCCAATGAATGTGTAAGATTTAGATTAATAATGAGGTTAAAAGATCAGTGCTATATTCATGAATTACAAATAGATTTAATAAAAATATTAGTTACAAACTGTGATTCATATATATTGCTATAATTTTATAGAGTGAATATGATAGTGCCTAATTAAATGTATAAGCATCTGTGTGAAGCAATCTCCATTTAAATATCAAAAGTCAAGGTCATATCAGAGCTTTTAACTTTAATAAGATTATAGATAAGTAAGAGGGAGATACATGAAAGGATTTATACTGTTCTTAAAATAACTCATCCTTTTAATCTTAACCTTAATGTTAGAAAATGGAGATCTTTCAAGAGATTGTTGATATAAATGTTGGAAAGGTCAAGGACACATGGAGAGAATAATTTGAAACATTACAGTTTGCGCAATAAAACATTTTACATAAACATTGCAGATATAATAACAGAGTTTTATATTTATTTGTAGGTAATGCCCTAGTAAAGACTGGTCAAGCCCAGCTTAGGATAGGGAATGCAGAGAGGGAATTTATACAAGCCACGGCTAACAATTTCTTACAACCTCTTCACAATTTTTTGGAAGGGGACATGAAAACTATTCAGGTGAATCATCAAGTGTAGTATTGTATATGGCTTGGTCTTTTATGTATAGCGATTAGTGATTTTATAAGGGGGAAAAAAGCATAAAATGATAGAAAATTCCTCACATGATTGAGATATACTGCATGCAGTATTCATTTAATACTTTTGAAATTCATCAAGCACTGAATGAAGCAGTCTCACAATGAAGTAATATAGAAATTCCTTTAGTGTACATAACTTCAGTGTCCAGGGTGTCATGGGAAGCTTACACAGAGTGATCATGCTTAGCCTAGTGATTCCACAGTATCTAATAATGCACCTCAATGTATGTTTCTCTCCCAATAACAGATAATTGTGATTTTACCACAAAGGTATTCCAAAGTGTTTGATAAATTTATTGATTAAAGACTCGTATTATTGATGCCAATGCAGTTGTTTTTATAGAAATGTAATGGAAAAAGTAACATGGATGTTAAATTTGACTGAATATCTCCTGCCTATAAAGCACCAATTGGGTCTTTTGTTAAGAGGACTATTTTGAAGAAGCCAAATCCAATATGGGCTCATTAGCTGGGAAATCTGTCACTCAAGGGTATTTTGTGCAGTATTGATTTACAGAGCCTAGGTTTTAATCTTCATTGAAAGATTACATGAGACAGAGAGACATCCATATCGACTACCAGCTGCATTAGTTGGTGATTGTCCGTCACAGAGATTTGTGGGAAAGTGAAGTTGAATGCTTCAACCCATTTTTCCTTGAACCCTTTTTAAATTATTCATAGCAAATTTCAATAATATATGCTATTGCTGTAAAAGAATTTTTTCATGAGAACTTAATTTAAGTGTATTTTTTTTTTTATGTCTTAATGAAGAAATAAAGACTTTGTCATTAATAATTATTATAGAAAGTAACTCTTAAAGTTCTGTATCTTACAGAGAATACCTGACTGTGAAACATTTATAGTATTCCTTCAAATGCATTTTCAGTATCAGGGGTCCATTTTACAAAAGAACTTACGACTAAAACCAAAAACTTTAGCTGATTGTAAAATTTTGCCAAATTAATGATTCTGTTTACAATTGCTAGCGTAAAAGTATTTTTCTACATACCTTTAAAAAAGATTAAAACCATTTTCTATTTAATGTAAATTAGAAAGTTATTAGCAGAAATAAATTTTGGTCTTAGTCGTGAGTTCTTTTGTAAAACAAGCCCCTGTTCTACACTAACTGGTATATTTATATGTACTTTGATATGTACCAAGATTTGATTGTGTTGTTGTAGGGTTGTCAGTCTGGTATGGATAACTTAAGTTTCTTACTCTATAGAGTTCTAAGTCAACAACCTTGTATTTCACTATTCATGTACAAGAGAGATGACTTGAGGACCAAATTGTTTTGGCCAAACCTCAATGAATGTGAGATTCCTAATCAATAAGAGGTTAACCATTCCTTTTGATGACACTGGTCTAGACAGACTTGTGCCATTATATTAGTAGTTTATACATGTATCTCACTAATTGATTTTTCTGAACTTATCACCAGCTGTCTTCTCCCTTTAGATACCTAAGGTCCTACATGTATTAAATTCTTAACTGATAAAAGAAAGATAATATTTTTTTCTTTCTTCATAAATATTTGAAGATCTATTAATGAAAGACAGACAATCAATTTAAAAAGCAAGTCTCATAGGTTTTTTGCCAAGCTTACAATATTGCATCCATCTTTTCCAATAAATCTTTACATTGAAAGTTCTGTAAGTTGGTGGACATACAGTTCAAATAGTTGATTCTAAATTTATGGTTTATGATGTTTCATGATTATAATGTATACCCTTGTAGGGATAGTTAACTCAAGTAAACAAATAAAACTTTACTAGTATAAGCCATTAGTCCATGAATAAATGAATCTTGTTGCTTTGTAGTTTTGAAGGAAAACAGATAATAAAATGAATTTGTAGTAACTCTAAAGAATAAAATCTGGTGGAGACTTTGAATACTTTCTTTTGTTTTACAGAAAGAGAAGAAAATTCTGGAGACAAAACGATTAGACTTGGATGCTTCCAAGAACAAACTCCGTAAAGCAAAATCCTCATCACAACCACAGGTAAAAAATTTTGAAAGCTTTATCAAAGGAAATGGGTTTATTCAGATTAACATATTCAAATCTTAACAACTGTTAGTGTTACACTACATTTTGAATAACAAACATATTTCATTTTATTGCAATTGAATTTTCATAACAGTATGTACATGTTCCTAGTACTTGTAAGTCATGGGTTAGATTATTTTGTTCATCATGTAATAAGTTGATAAGACTGAAAATGTTATGCTGCTATTTCAATTAAAGCAGGACACATGACATGGTCTGTGTTGAAGAATAATAAACATTTGTAAATGAGGATGGTGGGTGGGTTTGGAAGGGGGGGTGAGTTCTTCATCATGACAGAACAACCATGCTGTTTTGTAACTGGTGACCCTGCTATGGAGACGTAAAAATAAGAAGATAAAAAAAACATGTTTGTTGAATTAATAATTTGTTCATTCCTTAATTTTTTTTTAATGAAGCTTTTGATTTAGAGGTAATTAACTCCAGGGTAGACAGACTTTAACACAATGAAATAAGCTAGCTACAAAGCACAAACAGATTTAAAAAAAAAATGATGTACAATTTTAATTTTTTTTTTAACATTGACAACAGTGTAGGAAATTCAGTTCCCTGCATGTGAGTCACAGCTTCTGATAGTAAATCTTGTTACTAGCAGGTGAATTCTTTGTGTACCTAGAACAAAAGTACATGACATGTATTTTTCAGGTACACTTGTAATGATATTCTGAAATGTATTGTTTGATATACAAAGTGTAGTTTATAGAAATTATAAAGGAACTACAACAGATATATTCTATAAAGAGTTTTAAGAATGTCTGGATCACATGAGAATCATGTGACTTTATTATAACTGTGTGTTTATAATGTTCCAGTCCTCTCAGAATTCCTCCCAGAATGTGTTAATGATGGTTGAGGTCAGTCCAATGTGTTGTCTCTTGTCTGTATTGTTGGTGATTTATTTTGTTATTAAAGTCCAGTTCATGTGTACTTCTGTTGCTAAAGTTAGCCCAGAATTTTTTATTTCTTTTATTAGTTCTGGGGACTAAATGATGCCACTTTTGTTTTCTATTGAAATATGAATCATGCAAAATTATCCCAGTTATCTTTCTTTGACCAATTTTGGGATTATTTTTTTTTTTATTCTGCATGTCTTGGTAGTACATGTACTATAGCTATGCACCAAAAGTCAAGGACCAAGAGTCATTGTTTTTGTCTGTGTGTCTGTTTGTGTAACTATGTATTGATGCTATCCTATATGAGATAGGTCAGATCAAGGTCATGAAAAGAGGTGAAAGGTCACATGAGTTTACCAGGATAAGAATTTTTTTTTTACTTTGGTTGGCATTGGTTTCAGAAAGACAACTATGTTGTTTTCTTATCATTTTATTAATCAGTATTAAAGTACACATATGTAAGCATTAAATTTGTACATTTTACACTTATAATTTCTTTCTGAAGTTTTGAAAAAATCTGCAATATATTTAATATTGGACAGTGTAAGTACTTAATAGGGACTTTGTGAAGGGGGCAGATTATTTGTTAATATTGTATTTGTTTATTAATGCTTCCAGGAAGAGAATCCTGTCAGGTTTCACCTTGTAATTATCATTTGCTTCTTATTATATTTTTGTGAATAGTCAATTTATGTCAGTGCTGCACAGTAGCATTACAGTCCCCTTGTACAATTACAGTGTGAAATTATCTAACTTTATGAGGAGTTGATATGTGTTAGGTGTTTTTTTTTATTTCATAAACTAATAAGCATGAAAATTACATGAATATAATACATATAATATAATTTTTTTTAGTTTTTAGTCTTGTTATCAAAAGACCATTTTCAGTTGATTTCTTAATTACAAATAAAATTTGAAATGTATTCACATTTTTAATTTTAATATTTTCCTTTTTAGCTCTTCTGAGCCAAAGGCTCAAAGAGCTAATGCTATGCTCTTTTGTGTGATGAGTGTAAACTTTTTAGAATATGGGCCATATCTCAAGAACCCCTTGGCCAATTTTTGTCAAATTTGTCACAGAGTATCCTTGGCCCAAGGGCTCTGGTTTATACTAAAACTAGGGATGTGGCTTTAAACAAGGGAAGATGATTAGGAAAATAGAAACAAAAGTGCTGGTTGCTATAAAATCTTCTTCTCAAGAACCACTGGGCAGATTATCACCAAACTTACATACAAGTGTGAAGGCATGTTGTAGATTAAACATTGTTCAATGCATCACCCTGGGGCAATGACTTAAAATCATCAAACTTTGTCAGTGGAGTCATTTTAGGGTCTCAGAGTATGTTAACCAAAAAGTAGGTCACCATGACCTACTTTTGGAATCTCATTGCTATATCTGAATATTTAAGATAATAAGGGGCTTCAAATCATTAAACTTTGTCAGTTGATGCATCTTAGGTTCTCAGAATGTTTTAACCAAAATGTAGGTCATGATGACCTACTTTTGGCATTGTCTAAATAAACAGGATACTTAGAGGCTTCAGATAGAAGTGATGGGTAATACAATTTATCACAAGAGCGATTCAAGGCCCTTGATCCTCTTGATTTGAACAAGTTTGACTTTGACAATCTATCCAAAAAAGACCCCTCCCCCCCCCCCCCCCCAAGAAAACCCAACTAAAAACCATGAAAGGAATTTTTCCATTGCACTAGAGATGCACACATTAACTTAGTCTTTCTTTTCAATACATGGCTTCTCTATGAAATCCAAAACTTAATTCAAAGAAGAGAAATCGTATCAAGCATTTTGCAAAGTATTATTAACTGAGGTTGCCATCATGGATCTAGTGTTAATCTTTCATGTTAGCTTTCCCTGAGTGGGGAAGTCTATCATTCAGGAACATAGTTCTGTGTAGAGACTATGATCTTGAAATACTGTTTTTTTTTTTTTTGTTTTTTGTTTTTTTTTTTTTTGCTAAGGAGTTTCAACAAGGGAGGTTATTAAAAGATGGCTATTATGAACAAATTGATTATAAAATAAATTATGATATTTGACTTCCATGATTTGAGTTGGTTTCACAGTACTTGTAATACACTATTGTGACTGATTTATTTGACATTCTTAAGATTGTTTGAAATTGGTTAACACAGAAGTAATATTGATACATTTGTTGTAATTTTTTTCAAAATTATTAAGTGATGTTTTAGCTGCTAATTGTATGACCATATCAAATGTTACCTGTGTATATTATGCATGACTGCATGAAGTAGTGAAAAAATTTGAAATGATGATAATTAACCCCCCTAGCCCCCCCCCCCCCCCAAAAAAAAAAAATTGTACTTTATCCTTGCAGTCAAGTTGGGGAAGGGGGTGATGTTTCATACCGAAGTCAAAATGTTTGTTCGTATGTCTGCCTGTGTCATTTGATATCCAGTTATTGATAGTTACTTTGTAAAAAGTTAACTATGTATCAAATTTTAAGCCATTAAATGGACTATCATTAAAATTGGCTGTGGACAGTACAGATTTTTTTGACTAGACAAAAGTTGAAAATGTTAACTGCAGTTATATTTACTTCAGTTAACTTAATACTAAAATTTTCTTTCATTTGCTTTGAAATTTGTGGTGGAGAGACTGCATGTATCCAATTTTTAACATTTTGATTAAAAGATCTGCATGGTGTATACATATATAACAGTGCAAACAATTTCAGGAGAAAAAATGTTCATGGTCTGCCCCCCTTCCCCCTCCCAGTATATCACAGAGAAAGACTGTATGAAGGAAAAGCTAAAGAATCAATCTATTTGACAGCATAAATACTTTAAAATATTTGAAATGGTTGTTTATTACAATAAACATGATATGACAAAAATTTGCCATGAATTCCAGAAAAACTGCATTCCAGATATGTTAACTGTATTAAGAATGCTGCATTGATTAATCTGTTGTGTGTTTATTTACATGCTAATCCAGGATGATGCTGTGGCTAGAGTAAGAAAAATGCATGTTTTTTATTTGTTATTGAAAAAAAGTGCTTTACATTCATCAATTCCATTCCTCTGTCTTAATATATACAACACACATACCCATAAACACAGATTTGTATTTTTTTTTAAATTTATTAACTAAAGCTTTTGTATTGCAAACATATACATTGTACATGTCAATAAACATTTAATATGTAGATGATGTTTTTTATAAGGGGGATACATGCATGTCAGGTGGAGGATGGTTATCTTTGATGGATGCCTCTTTACATTAATCTAATTATAAATCTTGCCATCTCTTTTTTCCCCCCTTTCTTTCATTTATTTTAGAGGTGCAATTGTTTAAAAGCTATCATTAATATTATAGAATCTTTGATTATTCCTGTTTTATTTTTAAAGAACCATTTCCAATATATCTTACAATAAAAGCAAAGAGGTAATAATTGAGAGAGAACTATGAGGTTTTACATAAGAAAGTTAATGGCTAATGGTAATATATTAGTGAGCCAAAAGTACAGGAATACAATTAACAATCTGCCTACAGTTATGTAGTGACAATAAATTAATCGCGCTGCTATGGATGAATTATGCCTAATGAAGCCGAAAATTAAACCTTCTGTAGGTTTTCCTAAATTTCCAGGAAATGGACTTAAACACAAGGAACCCTATGATATAGGCCTTGGCACATAGCTCTGTAGGCAAATCAATATTCAGTGTTTATGAACTGCTGGTATTACCTTAGATAAGTTGAACAAGATTCCATTTCCTGTGGTGTAATTGCTGTAAGACTGTTGTTTCTGAAGATATGACTCTTTATTGTCATTGCACTGTTGATTTGGCTGATGAGAAGACAAGAAGTCTTATTGTTTCTTTTTAGTTTTGTATTAATTGCATTACTACAGAACTTTCTCACTGTCTAATTTTTGTAGGCGGAGGCGGAATTGCGTGTGGCCCAGGCAGAGTTTGACAGACAAGCAGAGATAACTCGATTACTACTGGAAGGAGTCAGCAGTGCTCATGTATGTCAATTTCGTGAAATTTCCCCGAAAAACATAGAACACAGATGTACAAACTGTATAAAATAAATTAAGTTCTGCCTAAGTAGTTCAAAAACTAAAGGAGACACCATTGTGACAATTGCTGAACCAGTGAAGTCAAATACATCATACATGTAAAGGTTTTCTTTTGCTGAGGTACTTATAGTCACTTAAATATACCCACAACATGGTCTGTATATTCACAAATCAAGTTTCTATCCATGCTTTATGGCACAGAAATTCATTATTGCCATTCCCAAATGTTTTTTGTGAAAATGTAAAAAGAAACATCCCTGGTGAATTTTCTGGTTTATAATTGATTAACAAAGATGTAATGTCTTTTAGACAGAAAAATTACATGAATCCAAGCACTTGCAAAAATTTTGATTTATATAATATTCACATCAACTGAACCTTTTCTCCTTTATTTCTTATAAAAACCGATCACATTAATCAAACAATTAACTCTGGACAAGTTTTGTTAAAGTCATCTGTATGAAAGATTTTAAAGACTTACGTGGGCTACTCAATCTATATAACATATGGATCAATAATACAGCTGTACAATATTTTACGTTCTTTCACCTACCTTGATATGAATAATTTATACAGATGTAAAAATAAATAATAAAATGTCTTTATTTGTTTTTAATACAAAGATTTAACGATTTTGCAACCATTGCAGAAAAAAATACTTAACTCGCTAATGTGGGTTCCTTGAGAAACTCTTATTTTCGTAAGTCAAAATGATCCTAGTATCATTGTGTAATTTTTACTATTAAAATTCATATTAATAAAGATAAGTTTGAAAAGAAAATGATTTCTTTTAACAGTTCTTTTTTCCTTTCATAAGGTGCAAATAATGTCTTTTTTATGATATTTTTACAGTGGGTTGAAAATATTATAAATCATAGTGAGGTGCATAAAAATAAAAAATGTTGCATAAAAAAATGTTTTACTCTGTAATATTTGAAGCAATATCAATATTTTATAAATGATAATTTGAAAAGTATTGTTTCTTGCTTAGGATCGATGGACATCATTATTAAATATTTTTTTTTATTCTGTTTTAATTTCTAAACTTTAGTATTTATTTATATTTATAGACAAGTATTTATATACTATTTGTAATTCAGTAATCGAGAAACATTTTAACGTTTTTTAGGCCCATCACCTGCGCTGCTTAAATGATTTCATCGAGGCCCAGTTAACGTACTATGCTCAGTGCCAACAGTATATATCTGACTTGCAGCACCAACTTGGAAGGTAACATTTATTACACACTGTACACAGCATGTTTTTCTGTAGTTTTTTAAAAATAATCTTCTATTTCCTTTACTTTAAAAGCTTCTGTCCTCATTCAATATGTTTTTGATTGAAGAATTACTTGTTAAAATTTTTTTTAACCTACAGTACTGTATGTTAATGATGTCATTTGCATTTACATGATTTTTGTACTGAAAGTACAGTTGGTTAGTTAGGGAGCAATTTTAAATTTTTTAAAGCTATTTTTTTTTAATTACAATGTTCTTTATGTTGGCTAATGCTTTTCACATGTATGCATGCGATTGTCTGAATTTCTTCGGTTCACTACACAGTCGTTCTTCTTGCAGTCAGACACAGAGTTTCCTCCCATTCCCTTGTCAATTTTTGTATCCCCCTCCCACATGTTTTGAAGTGTAACACAATTTTTTTTTTTTCATGCACTAACATAAATATCCTTTAACTATTGACGAATTAAAAACATTGTAAATAATTATGTAATTCATTATTATTTTCATTACTGAATATTTCATTTCTGAAAATTACTGTAATTGGTATCAAATCAGAACACTAAAATTACACAATTATTTATTTCCACCAGAAAAATTGTATACTTTAGTTTAGATTTAAGATTAAAAGTCATTGATTAGAATTCATTGCTATATTCATCAATCTCATATTACTGCTGGTACATTTGATGAATTGATTGATGAGTGTGAACTATTCCAAAGTAAACCCCAGCAGTGTAGGAGTTAGTGTAGGACTAAGTGGCCTTTGTCTGACTGCTATTATTTTGTTTCAGTTATTCTCAGACTGTTGGTGTTGGGAACAGTTCCTCCAACTCCTCGGGGGCAGGTATATCCACCAGTATCCCCTCTTCTGTCCCCCTGCAACCCTCTGCACCGCCCCAGATCAATGTCATAGCAGCCACACCCAATGTAGAGAAAAAACAGGCTCGCGTTTTGTATGACTATGATGCTGCAGATAGTTCTGAGCTTACCTTATTAGCTGACGAAGTAAGATATCACTCGTAGGAATTTTACACATTCTTTTTTTTTGTAATTTGAGTTGCATGCTTGAAGTGGTTTTTAGGGTTTTATATTGTTAGAGAAATATAGATTCTATAACTTTTGTGAGTTAGTTACCTTTTTTTCACCAACTTGAGTTCCTTAATCTCCTTATTTTTCAAATGACAGTAGGCTTGTTATGAGTCTTTTCACAATTTAAAATTTAAGTAACTCAAATTGAAGAAAAACTGGTATTAAACTAACTAGCACATAATATAGAACTTGTTTCTCTCTTTGCGCAGCTAAATTTCAGATCATCTGTACAAAATTACAGCACAGGTCACCCCAGTATTTTGTGGTACAGTGTCGTAGTCTATCAAATGCTTGGTATGGTTTCTCTAATGTTAGATAAAACAAAGAAAAAAATAGTGTGTAGGAGTGAAGAAACTTATAGTGGCATTGGGAGAAACAATTTTTTTTTTCAGAGAAAGTTGAATATATGTTAATAATCTTTCATTTTGATCTGAATCTTGTTTGAAATCTCATGCATTATACATTTTCTGAATCTCTAGATCATTCTTCAGTAATTTCCCTTTAAATTTAACATGTTTATTTCATCTGTTTTCTTTTCTTTTGTTATGAATTACATAAATTCAATAGATCATAAAGAAATTTTTAAATTCAAATTATTTTCACACTCACTGTATACAGCTGAAGTTCACTGCAGTATTATATATACTACTTTTCCTGCAGATTGAAATTGAATTAAATTATGTTGCAGTGAAATTCCCTTAAATGTTGGGTGAATAATCTAATGAAAAGAAAAAAAGAATTAATGAAAAATTGAAAATAACCTGAAGCAAAATCCATTACTGTATAGAGTATATGTATACATAGAGTTTCCATAATTTGTGCGAGTTAGTTACAATGTGCCTGTTTTTCTCCAACTTGAGTACCATAATCTTTTTAATCATCAATTAAAGACATGAGGCTTACCTATTGACAATTAAAAAGTTAAGGAACGTGAGTTGGAGAAAACTGGTAAATACATTATGGAATCTTTTTTTTTCCCTTAAAATTTTTCAAAACCATTGGAACATTATCACTGACTTGAAATACAAACAAATACTAGTAATACATAGCACTAGCACAATGTGACATCATGACAGGTGTTCTCCAACATGTTAGAGAACCAAAAAAAGAATCACTGCACGGGAGTGATGAAATATATATAGCTCTAATGGGAGAAAGGTATTTCCGAAGTCCATATTCTTCCTAAATAAATAAATTTCCATGTTGAAAAATTCCATGCAATTTTTCCCAACACATAAAATAGAAAAATTGTTCTGTAGAGTTTCAGTGAATTTCCTTTATATTCTATATGCATTTTCTCTATAATTTTAGCTCATAACAGTTTACAGAACCCCAGGAATGGACCCTGATTGGTTGATGGCCGAAAGAGGTCCCCAAAAGGGAAAAGTTCCTACGACATATCTGGAAGTATTAGAATGATAATGAACCCACAAAATATTAGCATGACCATAAGATCTTCTTTTTATGTGAGATTTTAATTGACTTTGAATGTTGCAATATGTCGTTGTTGAATTTTTGATATGTAGGCTCTACCTGTTTATTTTATGGATATCTGTTATACCACATAAATAATCTGCAGAATATTGTTATATAACTTAATATACACAAAACATTCTATTCCAATCATATGGCAAAACATTAAGTGACCACATTGTATATTTCTAGTATTTCTCACGCTGTATGAAATTTGAAGAAAAAAAAGTGAGTGAATGGGTTTCGGTAAACATTTCATTACTCTACATGTATGTGTTATACCCTGTTTTTATCCATTCAATATTCACAAATCGATTTTACGTATTCATTTATGTGTACTGTCATTATAAAAATGTATGTTTTTATTGAACATTGGCATGTAGTGTACAATTTTTTGTTTGAATTATGTTCTTGAAATTGCAAGTCTTGATTGAATTGAAAAGGAATAGATAAAGCTAGGTTTGTTCTCAGCAAACTTTCTTGTGAACGAAACTTCATGCAAGAATGAGTTTCGCATAAAATTGAACTTAATTTTAGGTTAAATTCATATGATTTAATATTCATATAAGTTTGCATTAATTTCATGTGAAAAGGTTTCATATGTTTGTTTGTATTTATTATTTCAACATTTATTAAAAACATTGAGAGGTTTTAATGATTTAGGCATACATGTAAGAATAGTGTATTTCTGTAATAGAAATTGTTCATGAAGTACATGTATGTGTACCTGTAATTTTTCTTTCAGAATATAATTTAAGGTTTAAGATATACTTTACGGTTTGAGAATTTTGAAGAGTTTTGTATGCACATGCTAAATTATCCTTCTCTTGCAATAGGTAATTTTTATCCTCAAGAAAATATTTTCTTGGTAGTCGGTAGTGAAATAAGGAATTTTTCTCTATAGTTAAACCATTGGAGACAACATGCAATCCTTGGGACAGTTGTAAACTGCTATTTTTGTGTTAACTCAAGGTCACTGTTAGAATTAAATAGCTTTTTTTTTTATTTAGGTTAAAAGTGAATAGCAGTATTATATGTGTTGCTCTGTAAATTGTTGAGTATTAATTTTGGTGGATTTAAATGAAGTGGAGCCATTCTTGTGACATGTTGGTAATACTCTAGGGATTTTTTTGAGTTGAATAGACTTCAGTGTTGTAAATGCTATACTGTATATTTATTTCAGAATTCATGTACTAGTATTATTAGAAGAGAAATATTCCTTTATGCTTTAACGTCAGACGACATGTTCTTCAGTAATATATAATTTTTTCTAAGAATTTGTCCTTGAAGTATTGCAACTTTATAACAAGTTTCCTCACAAAAAATTGAGGTACCTTTCCAGGCATTTTGCAAAATACCAGATGATGGTGATTCTATATAATCTTATTGGGAATCTCTTGAATTGTCAGTATCACAATTTTTGCTGTATTTATTTTTAAAGGCGTTTTGAAAATAGTTTAAAAATCACACGAGAATGATAATTATGAATATTTTTCTATATATTATGAAGAGATAAAAAACATATATTCGAAGAATGTGTCGTCTGACCTTAAACCCCAAAAGAAAGTAAAGATTCTGACTGATGATTTTATTAAATATATTCCTCCTAAACACAAATTGATCTGGTATATGGGGCATTTATCACAGATTCCATGAAATTCATCCTTTGTCAAAGTTACATGAACCATTTTGTTGTTGTGAGAAAATACCCAATCTTGCACCAAATTTGATTAAAATTGTTTTATAATTATAGTCATTAAACCATGTACCAATATTCTAAATACAAAATCTGTAATTTCTGGTTTCTCATTTTTCAAGGAAGCTTTTCAGAAGAATGATAATATTTCACTACACAGTGGGTAATCCTGCTAGGGTTTAGATTCTCTTTGATGGATCTGTATGTAGCTTTGGGTGAAAAGAAAATCAGTACAACATTGTTTTAAACCTGCATATGTTTGTTTCATTTGATGAAAACATTCATTTTAAATAAAAAGTCATTGATATAAAACTATTTTGTTCTTTAATTTAATTTAAAATATTAGTTACGTTTTATGGAATAACGTTGCATATGTTTCAAAAACTTCAGTATTTTCAATACTTTTAAGAAAATGACTGGCATACTGGAACAGACTTCTTAGCTCTCCTGGTCGATAAATCCTGGGATAGAACCGGACTTTACTACGATACATGGTTTTATATGCTTGTTTTTTGGGTTTTTTTTTTAAATATTTCCATCAGTGGTGTAGCCTGTTATCCAAAATATTAATTTCCGTGAAATTCCTTGAAAACTACATTTTTTTTAATCAAAGTTTTTAGAACGTGGGACACAAGCAGATTTAGTTTGTTTCCAGGTGATTGAAGTTAGCATGGTACTTAAAAATAACTGGAGTGTTCCAAGGAACGCAAGTGTCGTCTGCTTTGTAGCTGCATTAAAGATGTAAATACATGTAAATCTTAAGAGTGGTCAGCTATTTATTTGCTACTAGCATGATTACTTCATGAATTTGCCTGTATTTAAAGAAAAGAAAAAAGAAGTTTAAAACTGCGATAAAATCTGACAATCAAAGAGAAATATGATTCCCCAACCCTCAAATGAATTATAAAATTGAAATTATTAGAAATAATTATTTATCCCATGTTTACCCCTTTATCCCGTGGATATGACTCATTGGATAAATTTTTCATAATCCACAGTTGTGACGTCACAATGGTTTTTGCGTTAGCGCGATGAAGTAAAATAAAGTGGAGTCCTATATAAAACAGTGTAAAACATTGGTTGTGAAGTAGTAAACATGGGATAAAAAGAATCTCCCATGATTTGTAGTTGGATATGACTTTTATCCAACTCATTGTGTGTTTTTATCCCCTCGCCAAGGCTCGGGGATAAAAAACACACAACTCGTTGGATAAAAATCATATCCAACTACAAATCATGGGAGATCCTATATTTATCATTTTATTAATCTGCTTCTAACAATCCTCCAAAAGAGATTTCAGTCTGTCTTTACTGCAATTGTCAGTCTACACGATCCAATTTTGTATTACCGATATCGATGCCGATGTATTTTTATAGTACTTTAAAATATCAGTTTGTGTGCTATGTTGCAACATATATTGAACTCTCAGGCACTTGGCATGCACCCCCCCCCCCGGAAAAAAGGGGGGCTAATTGTCGAGATACGTGAAAAAATCTGATTGGAAGAAAAACTGTCCAAACTCGAAAAACCTTTTTCGTTGAAAAAAAAGGGGGGGGGTAGGTTCCAACCTTTTTTGCAAAGAAAATTTTTAGACCTTATTACATCAATGTGGGAGGATTTAACCGATATGCTTTAAAAAGGGTAACGATCCGGTCAATTAAAATTTTCATTATAAATTAACAACAATAGATAGCTATTAGAAAATCAGACACTAAAAAGACAAAATAAGAAAGGGTAATTATATTATTACTGTGCATACTAAACAAGAATAGTCTGGTAAACTTTAAAAATAACATAATTTCATAGATCTAAAACTTTCAAGTCAACCTTTCTCCTCTATAATTACAGACCAGTAGATCAAGGTCAATTAATTCACTCAAACCAGAATATTAGTACATGGGGCACATTAATAACACATTTACATTTTATACAAACTGGTCAGAGATACATATACAACAAGATGTGTTTGTGAAAAATTGATGCCCCCGTATGGCATGCAGCTTATGGCGAAGGTTAAAGTTTCTCAAATGCAAGTCAAACTCCAGGTCAAGAGATCAAAAATGTTGGTACCCAAAGAAAGGTCTTGTCTCAAGGAATATACTTGTTGAAATATGAAAGCCCTAGCACCAACTGTTGAAAAGTTATGGCGAAGGTTAAAGCTTTTTAAAAGTAAGTAAAACGTCAAAGTCAAGGTCAGAAGGGTAGGTCTTGTCACAAATGATACACATGTTCATGAAATATGAAAGCTCTAGAACCAAACGTTCAAATATTATGGCCAAGGTTAAAGTCTTTCCAAAGTAGGTCTAACTCCAAGGTTAAGGTCAAAGGGTCAAAGTTGTTGGTCTTGTCACAAGGAAAGCACATGTGAAGTATGAAAGCCTTAGCACCAACTGTTTAAAAGTTATGGTCAAGGTTAAAGTTTTTCAAAAGTAGGTTAAACTCAAGGGTCAAGGTCAAAGGGTCAAAGATGTTGGTATCCAAGAAAGGTCTTGGCACAAGGAATACATATGTGAAGTATGAAAACCCTAGCACTGACTGTTAAGAAGTTATGGCCAAGGTTAAAGTTTTTCAAATTAAAGTAGGTCAAACTCTAGTTCAAAAGGTCAAAATTGTTGGTATTCAAGGAAAGGTATTTTTAAAAGTCATACACATGTGAAGTATGAAAAGCCTAGCTCTAACTGTTCAAAAGTTATGGCCAAGGTTAAAGTTTTTTAAAAGGTATGTCAAACTCCAAGGTCAAGGTTAAAGGGTCAAAGTTGTTGGTATCCAAAGAAAGGTCTTATCACAATAAATACACATGTAAAGTTTGAAAGCCCACGCACTTATTGTTCAAAAGTTATGGCTAAGGTTAAAGTCTCATAAAATTTTGCAAAAGTGGCTCAAACTCTAAGGTTAAGGTCAAAGGGTCAAATATAATGTTGATAGTTAAGAAAAGTCTTGTCACAAGGAATACGGAATATTCATGTGAAATATGAAAGCCATAGCTCCAACCAATCAAAAGTTACGACCAAGGTTAAAATATTTCAAAATTAAAGTAGGTGAAACTCCAAGGTCAAGGTCAAAAGTCAAAGTTGTTGGTATCCAAAGAAAGGTCTTGTCACAAGGAATACACATGTGAAGTATGAATGCCATAGCTCCAACTGGTCAAAAGTTATGGCCAAGGTTAAAGTAAGTTTTTTTTCAAAAGAGGGTCAAACTCCAAGGTCAAGGTCAATGGGTCAAAGGTGTTGGTATCCAAAGAAAGATCTTGTCACAAAGATTACACACACGAAGTTTGAAAGCCCAAGCACCAACTGTTCAAAAGTTATGGCCAAGGTTAAAGTCTCATGAATATTTTGCAAAAGTGGGTCAAACTCCAAGGACAAGGTCAAAAGGTCAAATATGATGGTACCCAAAGAAAGGTCTTGTCACGAGGAATACACATGTGAAATATGAAAGCCATAGCTCCAACCAATCAAAAGTTATGGGCAAGGTTAAAGTTTCTGCGGACAAACAGGCAGACAGACGGACGGACAGGGCAAAAACTATATGCCCCCGAATCTTCAATTACGGGGGCATAAAAACATAACAACAAATGAATAAAAAATGAAGATTAAAAAGAGAGGGGGAAATATATCAAGGAGGACAGATAGCATTTTAAATGTTTAGGTTTTTAAACATACATAGTTTTTTTTCTTTTTGAGCTGACATAAGATCCATTTTAAAAACAATAAGTCTGTAAGAATAACAATTGCCCAGGTACTTTTTTCTTACATTAACTAAAGCTTTACATTCTAGGGTATAATGAAATTCATCAGCAATTTGAGGATTATCATCCACAAGAGCTATAGTTTTATCAAAGACTGGAGCTGAATTAAGGTGTATGGATTTACAAAGCGATATAGAATGAATTTTACGTAAATTAATCTTTCATAAGGAATGGTTACGTGATACCTATATAAAAATGTTCTTAAAAATTAAACACTTGAAATCTTGATTGCACTTAGCTGAGTTTGCTTTTAATCTTCTTCAAAACGAAATTACGCCATTAAATTTGGAATGTTAATTCTGAAATAAAAATTTTCTTTAATGTCTCTTCTGAAAAAAAAGACACATGCTTCATACCACATACAATACGCAGATCTTTATAGATCTTAATGTGTCCTAAAACACTTATAGAAGGTTAAAAATTGTTAGCTGTTGAATATTCTAAAGACAAAAGATTGAAACCCTGTTCATCACTTATTTTTGCATATGATTAACATTGCAATTAATAAAACTTTTTTTCACATTCAATTGTAAAGTATTTTTGTAAGGTTGTGTCTCCTCAATTTTAAATTACTTCCTTTGCTGTGCTTTTATCGTAAATTGTCATCGGGGGGCGGGGGGGGGGGGGGTAGTAGTTTTGTAGCGCGTGACAGCAATTGTTTGATTTTTCGTATTACGATTTCTTTTAAAGTATGATTCAGCTAGATATGTGTATGAAACAATAAAACCATATAATTTGAGAACCATCCTACTCCTTGCAGCAGTGCTTCCTAAAACTTCAAAAGGTCGGGGGTATGGGAATCTGGCCACTTGTGGTCACTCTTTTATGGTCTGGACACGATCTAATCACCATATATACCGGGTACAACCCCAGTCGTACATAAAATTTACACATCAGACATGATCGCCATCACCCTCCTATCTGTGATCGCTGTGGCAAGTAAGTATATTTTTAATTAAAATCATTTTTATATTAACACTTTTAAGCATTGCATGCAAAAGCTGAAGCATCTAACGCTATTTTTGTCCCTTCCAATTATATTGAATTGAAATGAATTATATCATTTTTAGTACAACTTCTTTGAATTGAGTACAAAATTCTAATTTCGAAAAATTTCTGCCTTAAAATATATTTCGCGCTAGTTATATTTAAAACAAAACAAAAGAAAAATAATTGTCATAAAAAATAAATGATCAAAATTTGCAAGATATTTTTTTTTCGCATCAGGTGCTACTAGGTACTTGGACCCAATGAATGCGCGGATTGTGGGTGGAGCCCAGGCTGATGAAAATGAATGGCCTTGGCAGGTGTCCCTCCAGTCTCAAGCCTTCTCTTTCTTCCCCTGGTCACACTTCTGTGGAGGGTCTCTGATTGCCCCCAACTATGTCCTTACAGCCGCACACTGTGTTGATGGACAGAGGTAAGTGAATGGATGAATATGGTATATGAATGTATAACCACTACAAATATTTTTAAATCACTCTTCTTGAAGGTACTAATATGGAAAAAAAAATCTTCCTTATTATTTTTACTCTGAAGTTATTAAAAAAAATATAGCAATAAAAATATGGCCATTCTTTTTTTTTCACAAATCCAAAAGAGTTAGAAAAAAAGTTATAGCCCATGCAAAAAGATTGGTTTTAGAAATACCAAAAATGTTGACAATGAATCAGGCACGTGGAATTGTTTTTGATAGAGAATAGAAGAGTAATTGACAACTTACCTGAAAAATTTTTAAACAAGCAAAGAAAGAAAGAAAGGAGAATTGTCCAAACCCGAAAATCCTATTTCGTGTGTGTGTGTTTGGGGGGGGGTCCAACTTTTATGACAAGAATTTTTTTTGGAATACATTACATTAACATGGCAGGATTTGACTATAGTACAAAAAAGAAGCGGCCTTTCAATAAACATTTACGTACTGAATTGATAGTAAAACATTATTTTGGGGAAAAGTATGGGGAATGGGGGCGGAGACGGGGAGGGGGAGGGGAGAGAGAGAGAAGCGGCTAGGTGTCGATACAAATGCTCCAATATTTGGTACGTTATTGATCATATTAACACATCGAATGTATCCATTTTTACTTTAGCTTAGATTTTTTTTTTATTTATAGCGTTTACATAAAAAGGTCTTAAAAGCTCTTAGATTTATACTTTTTGTTCAAGAAATCACAAAAATTGATCATTAATTAAACTTTTTTTTAAAAAAATCAATTTATATATTTGATTACACTGTATATGATGCTTACACTGTTTTGATTCAGAAAATAATTGATACGCGATTTAAAGCCGAATTTGATACATTATCAGCGAGGACCTCGATCGAAGCAAAAGCACATATTGTCATGCAGTAACGATGACTCCAAATGAGGTTAATCAATCAAATTTCATCACGAAATATCTCGCTCTATAGCCATTGCTTTGCAGACAACACATGCAAAAGAAAAAAAACCCAAAAACCTGTATTTTCAAATTTAATTGTGCTTTTTCTCTATTTGTTTTTGCACGGGAATTTCTAATTTTCATTAATCCAATTTCATTACATTGCACTTTGGCTGTTTATAAAACAAATTATTATAAAGTTAAGATATATAAATAACTTTCGGTAATCGTCAGAGACATCACGTTCATTATGATGGTTTTAATAGTGTCGTGTATTGATTAAAACACACAAAAGAAATTAATAATATCTATTGTACTCGGAATGTATTAAAAATCAACAGTAATTATGAGTTAGTCAATTTTACATTATAATAATCATAGTCGTCCTCGCTGTTGTTATCGTAATTTTTCATCCTTTGTTATTCATTTAATTTAATCAATATGAACCATATTATATTTCATCAACAGTACCCTTAAAATCTTTGTATTTAAGCGATAGTTTGATCAAACAAACATTTGTTCTCGCCACACGTTAGTTGTCAATCCGAATAAAAGGTATTGAGCTGATATTTCCGATAAATAGATTCCATAAAGCACTGTAAAAGACGTAATCATGACACATAAAAAACCTAGAATAAAAGATTTACTTAATATCTAACTCTGAAATTACCATTAATAATACATTGCATCTCGATGGTTTTATTTTGTACTACAATACAACCTTGAACCTTACACAGACTAGGATAAAATTCAGAAAGTTCCTCTGTCCAATTCATTACCTGTTGAAATATGAGACGCGTTCACTGAATAATGTAAAAGGTAATCAATTAATAAAAAAGGCACGAAAAATAGTTTCTTTTACTTTTTTTAATCCCTCAAAGATTCCATGTTAACCTTTACACATGTACGAAGTCTCTGCACCCATGGCTTGAACGTTAGCATGCTCTTCTTTAGGAATGCTCAAAAGATAATGATGGATATCCCCCCCCCCCCCGGAGAGGGGATAAAAAAGATCTAAAATTGTAGCGTCTTCCTTTAAATTGACGATTTTCTTGAGTTTTTGGAATAAAAATTTGCCACAATGAGCTCTGTAAGCGTTCCTTTCTTCAAAATTTCCTTTACTGCTGATTTGCAGTATAGGATTGTCAGGTACAAGAAAATCACCCTAGGGAACCCGCTAAAACTTTCCTCAGTATACAGTTTTAAAAATAGAAGCTACCATTGATGATCCTTCCTTTGGGGTAGGTACTACTGTATTACTGGACCTTCGAGTAAAAAGAAAACCACTGTAAGACCTGTTTGGAAGCTCTGGCTTCTCTTTGCAATAAAAGGACGACAGCTTCCTCTTTGTATTCTATATTTCATTATTGTTCTTTCCCTTGGGCTTTGAAAAATGCACCCATGTTTTTTTAACCCATTACCCAAGCCTATCATACCTTCTTTTGTTTTATGTTTAATATTTAAAAGAGCCTTGGGGCAATTAACGACTGTTTTCTTTTAGGCATGTGTAAGAAAATAAGGCAGCCATCTAACAAAATACCCTTTTTTAGATTCATTCCCTTTGTCAGAATTCTATAAAATGATGTGGTGATAAAATGTTTAGTGTCTTAGCAATGTTTTTCACTGTAAATCTGGAATTTTCAGATATGTTGTTTACAACATCGATATTTTTTGGTGTCCCTACAGATTTCGATCGACCAGTTCGACTGCGATCGTTAACACCCCTTTTCACTTTTGATTTTTTTTTTTTTAAATCTATCTATACACCAAACTTTTGGAAACACTAGTCTTTCCAGATACTTCACATAGGTTCTTCAGCGATTTTTGTAATGAAGCGTAATGTATACGCCCTCATTTTCATCTTCTTGGCAGATTCCATTTTTAATGTTTTTAGCTCAGTGAAGTAGCCATGCTTACTTTAAAAGTGATTTTTTTTTTTTTTGCGAAGGCAGTAGGAAAAAGCGTCGGGTTTCGATGATAGGAGTTCTTACATAGAACTTTTTCGACTGTGAAAAAATAAAATCAGCTACTTCTACATTTATTATGATGAACCGTATGTTGCATTACTTATTGAAAGACCGTCGTACATGTAAATATTTCTTAAGTCGAATAGTGATAAAAAAAAGATGATGTAAGTTTTTTAGTCCCTCTATCTTTCTGTAGTCTGTTCTTCATATCTTTGTCTCCATATCCTTCAAGGAAAAAGATAGTAAATGTAGACCATTTAAAAAAAGTTTATAACAGAGAAAATTTATTTACAACTGACTTTTGCAAAAATTAGAATTAAAAAGTTGAATGAATGTGATTACTTGCAGATACATATGCCAATAAAATCATCAATCAAAGTATTCAGCAAATTACATGTAACTACTAACGTAAAAAAAAGTAATTAGCAGAACAGGGCACGGAGATCTTGCAGAAATAATGAGATATTACAGACTGTACCGTTTTATAGATTTCACATCTATCGCGAACGCTTTTGCTATAAAATTTCCGATAAATACACACAAGTAAGGGAATAATTTCGAATACAGTCTTTCTAACTGACTGGTAAAATTGATAGTGGTTACTACAACAAGAAACATCGTATTTTTTAAATTTTTTTTTTTTCAAGAGCGAATAATGCTTCAAAAAGTTTCTCTCCAAAATACGATATGTTTTGTTTGGTTTGTAAGACATATATAAATAAAGAAATCTAAAAGCTTACCAAAATTTGAAACTCGATTGATTGATTTTGGTTTTTTATTTTAGGAAAATAAATTAAAAGATCATTAAAATTATTCGATAACAAGATTTTGATACCCTATTTAAACTAAATTTTCATTTGCAAGGAAGAATAGACTATAATAGTATTTTTACGCCAAGAAAAACTGGGTTAAGATGAATCAGTGAAATGATATTGAACGTATACAGACCCGAGACAACAGGTGATGGAACAGAAGATAATCCTACTTGTACCTTTGATCTTGCCCCATTTGTATCTGCAGAATCATTCTGCACCTCGTCAGTGCTCACAATTTGTCAATTACCCCGAGTGGCTTTTAATGACCACTTCCTGTGAGTTAATTGATAAAATTTCATAATGGTATACGAAACATTAGCAATGGTTCAGCTATTTTTTCCGAATCAAAACAATGTATGATAAGAATCAAATTAGAATAATTAAGAAAAAAGTACAGATGCACCTGAAAATTTATTACACAAAAATAAAGGGAAAATAAAACCCAACTTATTTGCTTTGATCATTTATACTGATGCTTTGTAATGAGAAAATTCAATTAAAACTTCTTTTTTAACCATTACTGTATCGTCAACGAGACTTGATTTTCAGAAATTGAGATTGTTAATGGAAATACTAACACTATATTGTGTCTATAAAATTAATTGAAACTGATAAGTATTCATGTACAACATAACAAAAGAGAATGCCAGGCGAGAGGAAAATAGTTTATCCCTGATTGAACACGACAAAATTTCCAAACTAAAAACTGTTCCTTTCCTAGTAAAGGTGAAAGATTATTTTTATGCTCTCGTAATCGAAGATTGGTTTGGTTTGAACATATTTTATTGTTTAGATATTACAACAAAAGGATCGGACATAAGTTCTTAAAACTTAGAACGTCCTCTCCTTTATAACAATTCATCACACAAAATAATGTTAAAAATTAAACTACACTGGAACCAAAGGTCAATACGATTATCTTACATAGGTTGTGCATGTACAAAATTGACTTGATGTAGTATGTACAAATGAATTAAATATATAAATTCAAAAACGACCAGATCTCTTAATAAACAATTGCACATTTAAAAATAAACTTTCATTTTCAGAAATGCTAATCGAATCATCTCCCCATAACAGTACGTGAGTGTCTACAATACGTAAATTAATCACTCTAAAAATAGCATTAAACAAATCGTAGATTCTGGGGCATATAGGTTTTGGTCTGTTCGTTTTCTGTGGGTACCAACATATGTGACCTCTTGACCCTGAAGTTTGACCTACTTTTTCAATATTTAACCAAACTTTAACCTTGGCTACAACTTTTAAATAACTGGTGCTAGGGCTTCTATATTTCAAATGTGTATTCCATGTGACCAGAGCTTTCTTGGGGTGTCAACATTTTTTACCTTTTGACCTTGACCTTAGAGTTTGACCTACATTTGAAAAAGTTTAACCTTGGTTATAACCTTTGCAAAGTTGGTGCTAGGGCTTACATATATCACATGTGCATTTCTTATGACAAGACCTTCTTTTGGGTACCAATTTTTTTTACCTCCTGACCCCGACCTTTGAGTTTGACCTACATTTTTTGTAAAAACTTTAACTTTGCCTATAACTTTTAAAAGGTTTGTGCTAGGGCTTTCATATTTGAGTTATGTATTCCTTGTGATAAGACATTTCCTTTGGTGCCAATATTTTTGACCTCATGAACTTGACCTTGGAGTATCATTTACTTTTGAAAACTTTAACTCACCATATTTTCTGAATGGTTGGTGCAAGGGCTTTCATATTTCACATGAATAATCCTTGTAAGACCTTTCTTTGGGTATCAACAGTTTTGAACTCTTGACCTTAGAGTTTGACCTACATTTGAAAAACTTTAACTTCGGCCTTGAGTTGTCATACGGGGGCATTAGTTTTCACAAACACATCTTGTTCTTTCCATCATTTGTTAGACTGATTGCAATTGAAGACACTCAAAAGTAAGAAACAGGGAGGGAAAGACAGTCATTAGACAATTTTTTGCATTAAAAAAAAAATGCATTTCCAAAACCTCAGTGCAATTTTAATACAAAATACCAGTGCACTTGCCTAAACAAAATGTTTAGTATAATAAGATTAGAACAGTCACCTCAGCTTATTTTAGACAAGGATGATAGTAATATTATAAAGAATAATTCAATACAAGAGATTGAAAAACAAACCGAAAACTCCCACAAGTCACGATCTATCACCTTAAGAGTGCCTATAGTCATTATTTTTTTTAGACCGCCTCTAATGTTGATAATAGTTATTTATTTTTCCATATCTGTTCTGGATCTAGTTAAATCACAACAGAAGAGTGAAATGGAAACATGAACTTATCAATATAAAGTACTTTTAGCGCTAATGTGATAGGTCCTGTTTGATTGATAGGTACAGTGTTTTAGGGAGCGATAGAGACAAAGCAGAAAAAATTGCTCACTTTGCATTAAAGTTTAATACAGTGGGTCTTATATAATCAGTTTATAAAGGACATATAACATACAAAAAAAGCAATTTTCTCTGCTTTTTCAGCTTTCAGAATTTCAAAAATGACAAGATTACTAGAATTTCTAATACACAAATATTTGTATTGATTTGGTCACAATAACAAAAATATAGTTGAGATATTTTTCTCATATTGATGGAACAAAAACAAAGCGTTTATTTTTTTTTTTGGTTATCAGGGCTAGAAACATCCGAGTTGTAGCCGGCTTACATCGCCAGTCCTCCACCTCCACAGCCCAGGCAATGAGTGTGTCTAGGATCATCATGGTAAGCGTCTTTTTAATTTATGTCTAGGATCATCCTGGTAAGTGTCTAGATTTGATTTATAGATAGGATCATCCTGAAAAGTGTCTATTTGATTTATATATAGGATCATTATGGTAAGTGTCTATTTGATTTATGCATAGAATCATCATGGAAAGTGTCTATTCACTTTATATCTATGATCATCATAAGTGTCTTTTTGATTTATACAAAGGATCATCATGGCAATTGTTTATTTAATTTAAACATAATATCTTATCATAGTAAGTGTCTATTTCATTTATGTCTATATGATGATCGTGGTAAGTGTCTCTTCAAGTTATGCCTTAGATCATCATGATATGTGTCTAATTAAAATATATCTAGTATAATTAAGATTATTGACTATTTCGTTAGTGTCTAGGATCATAATGGTTAGTGTCTAATGTTCGGTATTGTTTAAGATCATCGTGATTAGTGCCTAACTAATCTATGTCTAGGATATTCATAGTAAGTGTTTGATTTAGTAAAGAATCATCATGGTTAGTGCATTTTAGGTCATCTGAATCATTCAAGTGACCTATTGCTATCTGTTTTCGTCCGTCGCCGTTTGTTGTTCTTTGCTAGCCGTGCGTTAATATTTAAATATTTTCAGCTTCTTCTCTGGAACCGCTGAACCAATTTCGGCCAATTTTAGCATTTAGTATCTATGGTTGAAGGGGAACAAAATTGTGAATTTCATGGTCCTCCCCCCCCCCCCCCCTGCGAGGAGTGGGGCTAAAAACCATCAAAGTTAATGCAATCTTTAAAAATATTTTTTCTTTACCCCTAGACAAAGCTGTTTAATGTGGGCATGATTGTAATAAACATTGAGCCCTCTACCAAAATTGTGAAGTGAAATTAATGGCCACTGGATCTAGGTTGGGGCTCTGTTGATCATATAATGAAAATGCATGCATTCTTTTAAAAGCTCTTCTCTCCTATAGATTAAGCAGATAAACTATGTGCATGGTTAATGCATTATCCCTGAGTATTTAGCAAACACACTAAGTGCATGATTATGATAAGAAAAGATGCCTCTTCCAAAAATTGTGAAATCCATAGCCCTTGGGTCTGGGGTTTTGGTGTTAAGGTGGGGTTTTATTAATTATATAATGAAAATGCATTAATTCTTTGAAATTCTTCTTCTCCTTGGCATCTAGGAAGCTAGCAGAGTACAAAATTGTAATTAGGATGGGTGTTTTTCCATAGATTTTAGAAATTCTGGACTAATGGGTCAAGTGTTCTGGTCCTTGGCACAGCTCTACTGATAATGTAGGGAATTTTGTACTCTACTGCCAAAAGTTATTCCCCTTTCATAAATGATGATTAATTACTGTAAGTATTGTAATTGATAGGTCAAATCTAACAACCAAGCTTTATGCTAAACGTGATGACTTTAACTTTTCAATCGTCAACTTCCCTTACTTATGCAGCAATATACCTTCATCACCTGCATACGGGGTATATATCTCTCAGTTGATTCGATACACAAGAGCATGTTCTACGTATGTACAATTTCTAAAACGAGGTAAATTATTGACAAACAAGTTGATGAAACAAGAATATCAGCTGTCTCGTTTAAAGTCATCATTTCGTAAGTTCTATGGTCGATACAATGACCTTGTCAGCAAATACAATTTATCATTGAGTCAAATGCTGACTGACGTTTTTCATACTAATTGTTAGGCCATTATTTACACACTGAATTGTCGACGTATTTTCTGTTCTTTCCCGATCATGTCAAGGAGCACACGGCGGATGTGACCGGTCGGCAGGGGATGCTCACTCCTCCATGGCACCTGATCCCACCTCAGATGTTTGGAGGTCCGTGTTTGCTCTGCTCCTATTTTGTAGTGTTTGATGGATTTTTGAGCTTGAATACTATTCTTTATCTCCATATATTTCAAATTGAATAAAAGAATTAAGCAAGATAGAATTTTTGTAATAATAATAATAATAGTTTTAAATAGTCAGACAGACTTGTAAATAATAGATAAATAAAAATGAGACAAACGTATATATGCGAGGAGCAAGCCTTTCAATAAACCTTTTATACTAAATTAAAAGTAAAGACTTTCGTTAATAAAAAAAAATGTGGGTAGAGGGGCAGACCACGGCACCCCTCACTCCACCCTCGATCACCCAGATTCTACATGCCTGGATTTTATGGTCACCTGAGTAGAAGTTGGATGCAAGTGAAATATCATTTCATAGCTATTTGTATTAATATGGAATTTTCAAATATGTGTTTAGACCAATGTAGAAAAAATAAATCCTTATATTCACCTGGAAGGTCACGTGCAGGTGAATATAACGTAGTATTTTTTCTACAATGTTGGATCTCAGCCAATCAGAGATATAGGATTAATTCAATCATATGATAAAAGTTAATATAAACTCCAAATTGATGAAATTTACACGCATCCGGAGATGCCTATTAATAGACATGCTTCGAATTTTCATTTGGCTTACACTTTCCGGATGAGTAATCAGGTTGAAAATTTTAAAAGAGATATAATAAGCCAGACAATATCAAAAATTGGATTGAAACCGTTAATGTTTCAAACGCTAAGAATTCTAATTTAAATATGCAAATAAAAAAATGCCTTAGAGGGTATGAAGACAGGAAATTGTTTTGAATGATTTCTCCATTGTTGTGGTCTACAACTATCTTTTTTTTACATGTAGCTTCTACCGTCTTCTAAAAGCATCTTTGCATTGGGTGTGTTAGATTATAGAAAGTTTAGTGCAGAATTTAATGACTATTTATATACATGTTTTCATGATTGCCCTCAGTCTGGTTGTTAGTATGGATAATTACAATATAGAATAAATTGTGTATAGTATACGCCTATCTGTTTTGGACATGCCTACTGCTGTGCTTTGTCTTTATGTAAATGCGATCAAGATATTAATATGCAATAGTATTTAGTGTTATACCGGCGTTGTTTGTATACACCTAGATAATATCGTCTCATAATGTACAGAAGTTAATTTCACTGTTGAATACTTTACTAAGTAAGTAAACAATATTTATTACAGTGACGTGACAGTGACATATCCAGATAACTAATTCGTTATAACGAGATACTAACTCGTTATAACGAAATAATAACTCGGTATAATGAGATATTGACTCGTTATAACGAGATAATTATCTCGTTATAACGAGTTAAATATTTTTTTATCTTGTCAAAAATGAGCCTATCCGGCTTTCGTACATTTCAAATCATGGCAACTAATTAAATGTACATTTAATAGTTATTTTGCATCTGACTATATAATAATTTGGCAGTATTGACCAATACTTGTAGTATTTCTTTCTAGCACCCTAATTATAACGGTAATGGAGCGGGTTTTCCCAATGACATTGCCTTACTGGAATTGAGCGGAGAGGTGACCTCCAACAGGGCAACAACTATTGCTCTGGCCCGGGGGACCAGCAGCTTTATCGGAAACCCCGACTGTTGGATCACTGGCTGGGGAAAGACGTCGGGTGAGTAGAGTACTGCCGACAATCATTACTTCATCTAACTCTGGTGTTATTGAAAAATGTTCTTGAATGAGAATGTGACTTTTACCACTATTCATTTTTTTAAAACAGATTTTCATTGTCCTCAGTAAATGGGAGCAAATTCCAATCAATTCAGAAACAAGGCCATCTCATTTTAGCTCATCTGTGACAAAGAATCAATTGAGCTTTGCTGATTGAAATCATATTTAAAATATGCAAAGATGTGACGTCAACTTTTTTCTTTTCTTTTTCAAATGGACCATGGAGTTAAGTTGTGGGAGTGGGGTTAAAACCGGGAATTAAATTTTACATATGAATGCATATGTTAAGAATAAAATCTTCAGAAAAATTCAGCTTTAGTCATATTGATATTCAGGAATCTCTAAGTAGTGTGGGTTTGTTTGATTAATCTATAGTTATTTAAGTGTAGGGTTGTTCCCCAATATGAGGTCAGAATTTTTTATAGGAATATAAATATTATCTGAAGAAAAAGTCTAGTATGACTCAGGTGAGAGTTTTGGCCCGTGGGCTTCTTGTACCGTATCAGATTTGCACATTGACCTTGTAAGCGAAGGCTGAATGCTATTTGAAACCATTTCCTCTTTAGTCAGTATAGTAGTAAGGATAGAAGATTATTATGAATTTTTTTTATATTATTGATGAAGGTTTTTGTTTTCGCCACCGTTTTGTTGTCGCCTCTGTATAGGGCCTTGACTGAATTATTTTTATTGAAAATATTATGAGATATGTTTGCATTCTGATGAATAATATTGTCTAACATCTTTTACAGGACTTTAAAGCAATTGTTTCTTTATAAAGGGAATTTTAGTTTGCACATTTAGGATCTGACGTTCATTTGTTTTGATACATATTTAGTTGAAAAATTACTTTTATTGCCAAAAAACGTTATAATCTTTCGTAGAACTTATACATTGTTTTTGATATAATTTTTACAAAACACAGACAAAAGCTCAAGTATATGAGGTCTATTTTTAAGTATTTATATACTAAACATTTTGCAGTACATTTATTGTATCCATTTCGTTGTAAATTAAAATAGCAAAAATAACGTTATATTGTTATTTATTGTATATTGTATACAAAAATACAGAATAAGAACTATACAATTATCTATTTTGTACTTCTTCCTTCCATAATTAGCAAACAGTGGGACATCTGAGGTTCTGATGGAGGCACGGATGGATGTCATTGGCAACGGAGACTGCGCAAACCAATGGAGGGACATTTCCGGTGCATCCATCTTTGACACGCACATTTGCTTACAGGCTGAAGGAAAATCAGCATGCAACGTTAGTTACTTCAGTGGAACTTGAAGTCCATATTTTTTGATAATGTAATTTTATCTCTCTGAGTCAGTGATATCTAACCATGTTGAAACTTGAGTTGGATTCAATTAGATTCATTTTATATCGTGCAGTCTATTACCACTTCGTATTTTGATGACATTTGCTATGATAAAGGTTAACCCAAAACGGCAACTTCTATTTCATCAATAATAAAAATAAAGCATTAGAAAATATTACAAAATAGTTTTTTTTATGAATTCACAGAATATATTTAATGGATACAAAAAGTACTCTATCTCCAAACGATTGTTAATGTTGAAAATTTGATGAAATCCTGTTTTATTCCTATTGGAATGGAGAAGACATAGCTTAAAGTGTTCAGATGAAGAATATTTATGTGATCTAGAGCTTGCAAAGTTTTATGAAATTCTCGCAACAGAAATTTTTTTTGATGGTGTAAGCTTTGTTCTTTTAGGGCGATTCTGGAGGACCACTTGTATGCCGGGATAATGGAGCGTACGTCTTGGCTGGTGCCACGTCATGGGGAATCACCACATGTGAGGGATACCCAAGTGTCTATGTCCGAGTCAGCAAATACCTGGACTGGATAAACTCTAACATGAACTGAGGCATATCAAAACCTGGTCACTAATTAATTCTTGAATAAAAAAAAAAGTATTGCTTGTTTTAACGTAATAAAGTGTGTTTTCAAATTTTGATGATGGATACATATATTACTTTCATATATTATACAAAAAAGTAAGCTGTAAATATTTGGGTATGTTGTTCCAGAATTGCTAATGCGAATTAACGGTAAAGTTTACACTATATAGAGAGAATGAACTTGTTTGTTACAGTCCGGGATTGGGTCTAGTTCACGTTCATCCTGGTGAAGTCATTTAGTTTGTTAATACCACTAGGGCGGAATGACTTCAGCCTGTGCATCCAGAGCTTTTCCTTGACTTTTCTCTGAGCGTCTGTCCATCTTGGATTATGGTCAATAACCACTACTGTCATGTCCTCCCATTTGTGACCTTCAAGGTTGAAATGTTCCCCAACGGGTTCATTGAGTTTTTTGGTCCTAATGGTAGAACGGTGATTATTGACTCTCCTGCGGAGATCTCCTGTTTCACCAACATACTGTTTGGAGCAAACTTTGCAACTGATGAGATGAATGCAGTTGTCTGTGCCCTTCCATATTATCTTTCTTTAATTTCTTTTTATCATGTATTGTTACGCTATTTTGAGAGATTAAGACAGTGTACGATTTACTGCTTGGTCGTAATTAATTAGCGATAATTAATTCGTTCAATTATGTAAATCGCACTTCATCAGAGTACACCCGATAGACCGGACGCAATTCATAGTGCTCCGGATTTCTTTGTTCACAACTGTTTATAAACTTCAAATTAAACATGTAACACTGTAAATATTTAGTGTTTGGTAGTTTAGTAGTAGTGCTAGTTGTTTTTGTTTCTCTATTCCTTTATTTTTGTTTTTATGACTTTTTTCTTTGTCCTGAGGAAGGGACAGGTCGTCCCGAAAATTTGACAATTATTATTGTTCGTGTCGTTGGTCATTTTTAGTGCTTTATATATATATATATATATATATATATATATATATATATATATATATATATATATATATATATATATATATCTTTTTCTTATTTTTCTTACAGCAATCTGTTGAAATTCCAATGGGCACTAATTGTAGCCCTTTATTATCCGACCTGTTTTTATATTTCTATAAAGCAGAATTTGTACAAAACCTTCTACATGAGAAGAAGAACACTCCTGCTGTGACCTTCAACTCGACATTTAGATATATCAAGACGTTTTTTCAATTAACAATAGTTACTTTCATTCATATGTCGACTCGATATATCACAGTGAACTTGAAATTAAAGACACTACAGAGTCTTTCACAAGTGTTTCATGTTTGGGATGTTTTACTGACTATAGAAGATAATGGCCAACTTATGACTAAACTGTATGACCAGCTTTTCCACCGTCAACTTCCCTTATCAATGTAGTAATTTTCCAACATCACCTGCATATGGTGTTTATGTCTCCCAACTGATTCGATACAAAAGAGCATTCTCTGAGTACGATTAAACCTACTTTAGATTAAAGCTACTGACAAATAAGTTGAGAGTAACAAGGATTTCAACAATCCTGTTAAACGTCAACTTTTCTCAAATTTTACTGTTGTTATTATCACCTTGTTTGCAAATACAACCATAGCGTTGGATCGTGTTTTGTCTGACATAACTGAAAGCATTTTTTAGGCCACTGCTTTTATACTAAATTCGACCACGGAGTATTCCGTATACCTGATCAAAACATAGGGCTCACGGCTGGTGTGAACGGTCAACAGGGATGCTTACTCCTCCTAGGCACCTGATCCCACCTCTGGTGTTTCCGTGGGTCCGTGTTTTTGCCCTGTCCACGTTTGTTTTGTTTACTGGATTAATGAGATTGATTACTGTTCGTTATGTTCACTTTTTACTTTTAAAACACTTGCCTCATGAAGTATGACTGAGGCCTGATTAGTCTGAAATTTCAGCAAAGGTGCAACAGTATGTTTTAAGAATATGTATCCTCTAAAGTATTGAAAAGGAATGTTTAAACAAAACAAAGAATATTTACTACATTGTGAGCATAGTGAATATATTGTTAAAACAGACTTGCAAGGTCAATTTCTATCATATCTAGTGAAAATTGAGTTCAATGTTTCATTTACAAAAGAAAACAACTTACCCTAACATTATTAACCACATAGGGAAATGGTACATAAATGAAAATAAAATGAAAGTTAAGATTATGCCAAGACGTTTTTTTTGTCAAAATAACCAATCAAACATAAAAATGAACTAACAGAATGCGTTTAAAGATGCATTGAAATACCAATGTTCTATATGAACAATTTAATAAAAAATTCGACAATTTTGATATTTTAGTGATAACTACATATACAAATGCATACATAAGAGTTTTCTATATTAATTCTATTATAAATTCTAAATGATGTTTCACATGAAAGTTAAAAAAAACCCACCAGCACAGGTGTATTTTTTTTTTAAGTGAAAAAAGCATTCAGTTCCGATCTGATTGAAGAAGAGGGAATCAAAGCGTTAACAAAAGCATAAATGTCTTGATAACAGTTACTTATTTTGAACATAAGCAAACCATATTGTGTAAATGACGCCTACATTTTGGATGAATGTTTACACAACTATTTTCAATTTTTTTTAATGCATCACCGTTCATAAAGTTGGCTGCCTACGTAATGTTTGGTGTCTTGGCAAAATTCACTACACTAATATTTCATTTCATCCTTATTTTATAACCCAAAGTATGTTATTAATGAAGATCTTTACCCCCCTGTTTGGTTAATGGAAGAAACCAATTTAAAGTTGATAATATTTCAAGAGTAAATATCCTGATGTCGGCTCTAGGATTCAATGCTTGTCAATACGTCGTAGATCTGTGTTAAAGCCTGCACCATACTCTACAATGAATACCTTTTACAAAGTATATAGACGGCAAAAATGAATTTATTTTTATGTAAAATCTTTCATTTTGAAATAGAACTTCATCCCACGTTAAGTGGCGTTCAATTCAAAAACTGCCAAAAGAAATTTTAGAATTAACTCATAAAACTGTATGAAGTACTTGATCTTGGAGTCGGAAGCATCTCTGTTCTGAATCGCGAGCCTCACCTCCACGGGACAAATAGCATTGCTATATTTGCTTTGATCTATATATTTATCATAAACCCCACTTCGTCATTCTCTCAAAAAGGATTTCAGAACCAAAAATAAATAATAGGAGTGGTAGGGCATGAGCGAAAAATTAACTATTGATCTGGCTTTCTGAATTCTGTAATCCAGCTGGTCCGAAATTCCACGACCACAACCAGAACAAAAGCCATCCCTGTAGTAAATAGCGAGTCCCGTGAGTAAATATTTTAAGTAAGTGACAAAGAATGCATTTGGAGTCCTGTGAACAGATTGGCTTTCAAAAGATTGCTCCAGAACCTTTACTCCTGGTTCCACACTAATTGCGAGAAAACACAGAAGCTAAATTGATAAATAAGATAGCACTCGTGATCTATTGTGAAAATGGTCATTAAATAAATTTTAAAGTCAACTCAGTTGTCTTAAAACCGATATATTCCATTAGCAATAAATTGATTACATCTGTACTAACTTGCGTGAAATCAAACATTGCGTTAATCATTGTTTATGAGCGTAATTTCTTGTGCGTTTGTTTTCTTTGCTTCGTAATCCTGAAAATTTGTTTCAACACTTGAAACAATAACCTACAAAAGGTATTCGTCATTTATTCCCATCTAGAAGCATTAAATGGACCATGTGCCAAGTACAATGGACCGTTAGTTTAGGACGGAAGTCGCGTAGGAATAAAACGCGTGATCAATCAATATGAAACTAATCCGCGTGCTGCTATTTAATAACGAAACAGCGCTATCATCTTCATTTAAAATAAATGATATACTCTGCAAAAAAATTGAAAATAAACAGAAAAGGTAAGTTCAATTCAATTAATAATTTCGAGATATTTTAATTACTGTATCACCTTTTAGGCTTTTCGATGTTACTTATTTTTTTAAAGGAATTACAAGACCAACTGTGTTTTTTCTTATATAAGAAACTTATAAGGAACTATAACCGAAGTCTTGTTTGCTCTATTTTTTTGGACAGATCTTCAATTTCAAGTGTTACAAGTATCAGAAATTTCTATCTTTAGGAGGTCAGTGGAAATAGATTGGGGGAAAAACATTAAAGATTAAAGTCATCAATAATTTCCCGAAGGACTTAAAGGATTACAGCGTCGTCCGAATTATTTTACACAATTTTGATTGTATTGAATCAAAATTGTGTAAAATGTCACTCAGTCTGCTTCCTTATCGTCATTGTTCCTTGTATTCATTTTGTTGGAGGTCTTCCTAGAGTCCTCTGGGAAAGGATATATTGCCGTTACATCTCTGAAACGCTTTTGTTTTTTTCTTTCTTTTTCGTTTTATTCTGGCTGCGAAGTGTCAAAGGATTTATGTGATAAGGCTATAAAATTCTCTGAGTTTTCAATGGATCACTCATTTTTCTCTGTCCCCTTCTCTCTTTATTTGTCTTTCTCTCTCTCACTCTTTGGCATCATGTTTGGTGAACTGAACTTCTGTGTGCTATATATACAAACAGTATGAAGATGAAAAGTTTTAAATAGAGAAGAACTATAATTACCATATATTTTCGTGTTTCTCTCCTTTACATTTATTTATGTAAAGCATAACTTGGATGGATAAGGAAAAAAGAAATGATTGAATTGCTCCCTTCTTCCCTCAGCTAAAATCAAATACGAATCTAATTGCAATCAAAGTATTTTTCTTATTAATTGGAACTAGTCTTCAGATACTTAGAAGTTTTGTGTTAGAATTGCATCAATCGTGTGAGAAAGGCATGTCATCTTTGAATAGTTCTATATTCCTGCTCTCAGAGTAGAGGTTAACAGTGTTGAAGTGCAGTTCTCGGTACGCAGTATGGATATTTCTTTTCATGTAAAGCATGATATGCCTTTGTTACCAAATAATAGTGCGAAATTTCCAGCTTCCATTGATGACTCAGTACACTTTATTTCCACTTATTGTTCGGAACATTCACGTTGTACAATATTGATGATACTTTCAAATGAATAAC